CCGGCAGCACCCACGAGTGCGGCGAGCAGTAGATAGATCATGGCGAGAGAGAGAGAGATGCTGACCGCGGTCGAGGCAACAGGCGACTGATGTGCGCCGTCGTCGAGCAATCGCCTCTTATATCCGCGCTTATCTCCGTGACCTTGCTCCTTTATCACCGCCTCCATCTGTACCCTGCCTCCTGCACCCCGCTCCCACCCGCACAGGTGCAAGAGGGAGATGTTGGCTCCCACGAGGTGTTGCTGGTGTTGCCACCTCTCCCGGTTTTCCACGGATCGTCCTCTTCTGGAACGAGGAGGTTGCTTTCCTGCGAAGTTGTCTACAGGTCTTGGGGTGCTTAAGGGAGTAGGCGGGTAGGTAGGTGAGTGGGTGAATAAGTGGGTGAGTGCATAGAGGGTGATTGCGTGAGTGGCCGAGTGAGTGTGTGGTGCCACGACCGCGGAACAACTCCGCAAGCGCCGCGATTCCCTCCCGGCCCCTGCTGTAAACACACACACGCACGCAGCGCACCCACGTAGTGTCCTGGTGGGGGATTGCCTGGCACATCGGGTTTTAATCCGATGGACCCCTAGATGGAAAGTCCCACGGTTTCCCGGGGCCAGGAGATTGGCCGATCCTCGCAGGACAGGTTACGAGAAACTCGCTAATGAGTGCGCGCAGTTTCGAGGGCTGGGACGGGAGCGCGCCATCGCGAGCCTTCTTTCAGAGGAGGAAGAGGAGGAGGAGCTCGCCAGGACAGTGAGGGGGGGGACAAGGGAGCCTCCAGGGATACAGACCGGCATAGGGGATGTAGCCGGCCATGTGACCCATTTGCGCAGGGAGGTGACCCAAGCCCTCGAAGAAGTGACCCAAGCCCGCGAGGAGGTGCACCAAGTACGCGGGGAGGTGACCCGAAATATGAACAAATTGCAGTCCACAATGGAGGTAGTCCAGGCCGAGGTGGGGGGGCTACACTCCACGGTAGAGGGACTAACCGGGCGGGTGTCCCAATTAGAGGCAGAGTTCGGGCAGATGCGTATCAGTAGTGGGAGGGGGAGTGGGCAAGGGCCTCCTATGGAGCCACCGCCCTCCCCCGGGCGTGTTATCTATGCGACCGTCGGGGGCATCTCGTGAGAGACTGTCCAGAGATCGCCTGCGCTAGACACGCGCCAGGGTTAAATGCCAACGCCCCCTTGAGAGTGGACCAACTAGGGGTGCAATAGACGTGGTCCCAACACAAATGGATGATAATAATGGTGAGCGAGTGACCCCCACGCAGATGCCGACAACAACACCTAAGGACGCGGCGACTGCGAGCGACTGGCTGCGGGAGCTAGTGGCAGGAATCACGGGGGCCACGTGGCTGGTGGAAGGGCAGGTAAATGGGCGGCGTACCCGGATTCTGCAACACGATCGGAGTTGACATGGGCCGCCTACAGGCCCCGGATCGCGCGCTGCACACTGCGAGTGGAGCTGGGATGGGACTGCTGGGGAGGGTCACCCTTGAGGTCCACCTCGGACACCAGCTGTGTAACCAGGAGTTCTATGTGCAGCCCCGCCAGCGATTCGCCACCGTGGAGGGCAGCGGGGAGTGGATTCCGTTCCTGGGATAGGGGCCGGATCGCCCCCGCTTACCACCCGTGGCCGTTATCCTGGTGTCGGCTGCCACCATCGGGCCCCTCACGGAGGTGCTGGTAACAATGCCTTCCACCGACCCCTCCCACCGGCCATTGGGTGAGGTAATGTTGACTCCTCACCCGGAAGTTGGCGGCGTGGTACGGGGTTGTGGGGTCGGCCACGCTGGTAAAGAGACGGACTGTGGATGTGAAGCTGAGTCGACTTGCTGAAAACTGGTACCAGTCGGGTCAAAATCTGCCTTTGTAGAGGAGGTTCATGAAGGGTGTTACTGGGCAGTTGGACGCAGTCGCTCCCCCAGCAACAACAGAGGGCAGAGGAGTGACACAAACAACAACGAGCGAAGTCATCCCAGTCAATAAATCCATGGCACCTGGGTCTCTGGGTCTACCCCGTGACCTCCTGTCAGCCAGCTTTCGACACTTTACGTGACCTCAAAGTGCACCTAGCCTGGCACAAGCGCCGTGGTGATGTCACTGCCACTTAGAAGCAAATGGTGGCTGTTGTTATTGGGTGAATGAATGGAAGATGGGTTAGTGGCTAAGTGCGTGAGTGAGTGGGGGGTTGAATGAATGGGTGGATGGGTGATTGAGTGGTAAGGAGGGTTGTCACCTGTTCAATTTTCCCGAGGTTCGTCCTGTTGTTGAGAAAATAGCTGCTATATGCTATTGAGAAGGGTCATTGCCCGAAACTCCGTGTTGAGTTTTTGTTGTTATTCTATAACAATATTAACAATGTAGCACTCAAGAGAACAATTCACATTGAGTTACCACCTCTACTGGAATTGCGAAGTATTCGTCTTCCTCTGTTGATACGTCCTGGATTTTTCCAACTCAAGAGTTGGCAACACTGGTGAGTGGTGAGAGACGGTGGTGTGGCCCTCGCTCTGCTCAGCCACCTTTGCGTCTCCCCGGTGTCTATTTCTACACTTTGTACCGGCACTCATATGAGACTGTGGACTTAAGGGGGGATGCTATGCTTAGAACGAATTCATTGCCCCCCCCCCCACCCCCAGTGCTGATGTTCGCTACAGCCAGGAATCGAACCCAGGTCACTGTTGATTGCGCAGTCGACACCTGCTCACCACCACACACCTTCCCACGACCCCCGTGACCTTACAGGGAGAATATCCAGGTGTGAGGATTTTCCACTCGGACCAAAGCAATCTCCCTATGGGAGAGGGGGGGGGGTTACGAGCCCCTGAGGTTTGGTGGACGAGGCAATGACGAATTTACAACTTACAGGGGGAGGTTGGGGGGGCAATGGCGCTATCGTAACACAGGAGCGAGGGAACCACGCGAGACGCACGCAGCCTGCGGGAGTTGGTATTTCTGCCGCTGCTGTGTAATCAAGCCTAGGGGCACACCCAGTGGCAGCTGCCCGTGTGTGCGTTAGTCTGGCGGTAGGGGGCGATGCAACTGCTGCTGCCGCTGCTGTGGTCAAGCCGAGGGGCACACCCAGTGGCAGCTACCCCTGTGCGTTAGTCTGGCGGTAGGGGGCGATGTTGTTGCTGCTTGTGTGATCAAGCCGAGGGGCACACCCAGTGGCAGCTGCCCGTGTGTGAAAGTCTGGCGGGAGGGGGCGATGCTGGTCTTTGTAAATTACAACACGGGTTCTTTAACGTACGTTGAAGCAGGTGACGCGAGACCTATAGACTCACACAGATACCGATACTCACAGAGAACCATATTCACAGAAAACAATACTTATAAATACTGATAGACTTACATAGATGCCCATATACTCACGGAAGAGACCCATAGGTCCCATACAGAACTACGTGAAGGAGAGGCATCATCACAGCAGCGATGATTCACCACTCTGCGAATCGAGACGCAGTCATCTGGCTCATCAACCACCTCGATGTGGAACCACTGCTTCTACTCGGCATCAAACAACAGCCACACGAAGATGATTATTGATGGGCGTGATGTTTCTCTTTCAAATCGAATCGGTGACGTCGCTTTACTTCGGGCTGTCTTCGCGAATTTATACTTTGCCCGCTGCAAAATGTATGCGAATCTCTCGATCTGTGCGAGTCTATGGGTCTGTATGCGAAGTTAGAGATCCCAGTGCGAGTCTGTTAATCTGTGCGAGTGGATGGGTCTCTGTGAGACTTTTGAGGCCTTACTATTCGTACGGCTGTTGATGAAAAACGGCTGTGATTTTGCATGGAGGCGTTTGACGAGCCAGATTATCACGTAGGGAGGATTGGAGTGGCGAATTTTCACAGCTGGAATGTCTCCACCACCTCCCATCCGTGTTTGGGGTGCCACGGTGCAACGATGTTCACGACCTTGCCAGGTTTACAATTTTCGTGGGATTGATCCCAACCCGATGCCTGTATATTTGGAGTTGGCATGTTCTTCCCGCGGGCGCGTGGATTTTTGTCCGGGGCCTCCAGTTCCCCTCCACATTTCGAAACATGCGTTTAAATTCTTTGGCTGCTGTACATTTCCACAAGCCACTTCGTTGAGCTATGTGGTAGCCAGGTAAATTCGAAAGAGAGCTACATAGCTCAGTGGGCCCTTACCTGGTAAAATAAGTTGTTCTGGCGAGGTTTTACACATCGCACCAAGCACTCATTTGGAGGCCGAGTCAGCCGAGGGGGAGGGGCAGGATCGGTGCAGATCATCGTCAGTGGCGTTGGTGGCCGTGAGCGGAACTCGAACCGTGGCCCACCGAGGATTGTAGTGCAGTGCGCGAACCGCCGTACAACTCCCCACGCCCAGCAGCAAACACCACGCACACGCTGGACAAGCCGAGGCAGCGGTTTTTCTGTAAAAACTTTACTTTTGACAATTTCCGGTTTGACAGAACGCACTCGACCGACGGCAGAGGGCGCACACAGATCAGTAGTGGGGGGGGGGGGGGGGGGGGGCGTGCGGACCTCGCAAAAATGAGGCAGTAGAGGAGAAACAAAGGTGGCAGGGCCAGGGGAGAATTCCAAGCGGTAGCGCAGAGCATAAATAACCCCCCACCCCCCACCCTTCTCGCCTGGGGGAGGGGGGCACAGGGGTGATGGCGCCAGGGGAGCCCCGTGGGGGCAGCAGCAGACGCTTGAGCCAGAGCAGAGCAACAATACTCTGGGGGAAGCGAGCAGGGCATGGGTGGCACCAGATTTGATTGCCACAGCACCAACCGCAAGAATTGGAGAAATCTCGTGGGGTAACCCGGTGGGGACTGGCCATTGGAAAGCGGCTGGACCCAGACCTCAGGGAGAGGAGAGGGGAGAGTGGGGGGCGCCCTGGGAAAATGGATCGAAACACTCCCCCTTCCGCCAAACAGCAGAGACAATGTGTGTAATTGTTAGGTGACAAGCAAAGGTACACCACAGGACTGCGTTCTAATCTTCACACATTAAACCGTGTCGCACTGCCTCAAACTTTTAACAAACGGCACAAAAAAAGCACGTGGGGAAACCAAAAGTAAAAGGATTCCAACAGGTCACCGACTGACACGTCTTCCATGCCCCCCCCAACCCCAAAAACCCTCCTCCTGAACAAATACCCTCGTAAATATAAGACGGCCCATCGCAATGTCTGCAGGCTGGCAACCGTAGTATCCCCAAATTGCCTTGCCCACATCACCAGAACGGTGTTTGCTGGTAACACCGCCGCCAACGCAGTGGCGTGCAGGCGGCCTTGCCAAAAAACACCACACCAGCCGGGGAGGCCAAGTGGCTGGGTGATCACACCACCAAAATGTATGGCTGTGGTTCTTATTCAGTACAGGCAACAGCCCCAAGTGTTCACTCTTCATATATGGCAAGGGTTGCAAGGGAGATGGAGCTGTTACAAATCTGCTCGTGTGCACAGAGCAGCTGGCCGGGTGGATTATTATTACAAATCGTGGGATTGAGAGAGGCGGCGAGAGCTTGGGGAGGGGTCCTTCTCTCAGCAGTCGATGACACCAGGCCATGTCCGTGGCAGAACAAATGCGTTTGCAGAGGCGACGCTCACAAGGATTCCTCACCAGCCCCGCGTTGTATTGTATCGTAGACGAGGCCGTTACACGCAGCACAAGCATGCCAAGGATCGGCACGCACACTGCGTAGGGGACGCAAGCGCGAGAGCCTTGACCCCCAATGTGAAGCGTCACTCCATACGTTCAACACGGGAACCAGTGGTGCTCGGTGTGGCCTGGCTTTGTCGTGGCTGCCTTTAACAATCTTGAGACATCTGACAGTCTGTTCTATAATCGCGTGTTTTAATAAACGCAAACTGGATGTATAAACACGAGAGCAAACACAACTACGGGCACGCAGGTAGGACCACGTGGTTGTTAGAGCCGCCTCAGCATAACGTCACTGCACAAGACACCGAGATGCTGCTGGATCCTCACAGTACCCTCGGGCTTTGTTCGGCCAGCATTACACATCACGTGTTAGACGCAGACCGCTTCACTATATTGTTACGTGATTATGGCATAACGCGGTGTGTTCTGCAGGAATGCTACCACCACGTTATAGAACAGACTGTATACAACGAATTGTATTTGCCGTGACTTTCTTCCCATTTTCTCTATTTTGTACACCCATCGGGTTTTTTGCAGCCTGCCCGTTGTAAATGACCATTTGAAAACAAACTCAGATTCACTCCTCATGCAGTCCAAATAAAGACTTTAGAATCGGGGTTGTTGCAGTGTGGAGCATCAGAATTGCACCCAAGGAGGGCGGGCGCTTGTAAATAAACACCACGGGTCACACGCGGGCCTCATCTCGCGTTTCCGTTTATTCTCCGTTTTGCCGTCGAGTCGAGTCCCCCACTGCATCGGGTCTGAACGGTCGCCGTCCCTGCTGCTCTGCAATAACTTAAACCGAGATAATCGTCTCACTAACGCAACCACCCACCCCTCTATCCTGGGCACCTGGAGCACTGGGAGAGGCCGATCCGCTTGGTGACCATACGGCGGTGCTGCTGCTGGGCTGGCAAACTCTCAAGTTTGACAAATCCCCGGCTGAATAAGGGAAGGGAAAGTGGGGGGGGGGGGGGGGGGGGGGAGAAGGAGGCAAAGCCAGCATTGGTACCACCGCCGTCTCCTGGGTGGCATGACCCACACCACATGCAGATCTGGGGTCCACCCCGCCACCAAGTGCTAGGGGCCCACCACTAGGCAGGGTTTAAATATCCGATGAACCCAAACCAATGCAGGGGTGTGGGGGGGGGCACTGTCTCTCTCCAGCTCAATCATTGAACGACAAAGGCAACAAACACAGCGGAAACTTTACAGAGTCCAGAGAGGTCGTGGTTGGCCGACAGAGGGGTGGCGGCGATTGCCGTGGGTGTCGTTCCGACTCCGCCTCCCACCATCGCCGCCTCACAGCTCGTCCTTGTCAGCCCCTTCCTCCCCTCCCTCGTCCTCCCCACCGGGGCCGGCCCCCGCTCCGCCGTACAGCTTGCTCACGATGGGCTGCACCACCTCCTCCAGCTCCTTCTTCTGCGCCTTGAAGTCGTCCGTGTCGGCCTCCTGATGGCCCTCGAGCCAGGCGATCTTGTCCTCCACGGCCTTCTCGACGGTCTCGCGGTCCTCGTCCGACAGCTTGCCGCCCAGCTTCTCCTTGTCGCCGATCTGGTTCTTGAGCGAGTAGGCGTAGCTCTCCAGCTCGTTGCGAGCCTCCACGCGCTCCTTCACCCGCTTGTCGTCGTCAGCGAAGCGCTCCGCGTCGGACACCATCCTCTCAATCTCCTCGGGCGTCAGGCGGTTCTGGTCGTTGGTGATGGTGATCTTGTTCTTGTTGCCCGTGCCCTTGTCCTCTGCGGACACGCGAAGGATACCGTTGACGTCGATCTCGAAGGTCACCTCGATCTGGGGGACCCCGCGCGGGGCCGGCGGGATGCCCGTCAGGTCGAACTTGCCCAGCAGGTGGTTGTCCTTGGTCATGGGGCGCTCGCCCTCAAACACCTGGATGGTGACGGTGGGCTGGTTGTCGGCGGCCGTCGAGAAGATCTGCGACTTCTTGGTGGGCACCACGGTGTTGCGAGGGATCAGCTTGGTCATGACGCCACCCACCGTCTCGATGCCCAGGGTCAGGGGGCACACGTCCAGCAGCACAAGGTCGCCTGCAGCAGCACACGGCAGAGAGAGAGTGTGACGATGACGACAATAAAACTAAGAAACATTTTTATCTCACCAGGTAAAGCCCACCGAGCTTCAGAGCTCCTTTTCAGAAGCAACCTGGCTATAACAAATGATAGCTTAAATTATAGCAGCAGCCAAATACACCACAAACGAATGTGTATAAATGTGGAGGGAAAGTATCCATGGAGAGACACTGCAAACTTCAAATATACAGCAGGCGTCAAGGTCGGGATAGAACCCACGACGTCCTGTATACCAGGTGAGGTAGTTAACATATCCTAGCCACCGGCGCCCGTGACAGACACAGGTACACGAGCGTATGTTTTGATTGGGCAGCACCGTCATATTTAAAAGCACGATGCCACGTTTGGCACATGGATTGCAATGCTGAGCTTTCCCAAAACTAGCACGCACACCGCATGTACATGTGCACACGCTGGAGTTGTTCACGCACGTAGGCACGAATCTTCAACCCTAACCGTGTGTACACGTAGCCAGCCCCAACCCTGTGCAAGGGCTACCCAACCTACATGTGAAAGAACCAAAAATCTGTACACGTACATTGAGAATAACCAAGACAAGCATGTGTGGAGCGGTTGCGCAATGGTGAGCGCACTGCGCTACAAACCCAGCCACCAAAGTTCAATTCCCACTCAAGGGTAATAACAGTGGCGAATATGAACCGGTCCTGGGCCTCACCTAGGTCGACTAAGCCTCAAATTAGCATCTCGTGTGAAGTGTTAACATCACCACTGGAGAGAGAGAGGTGGCCAAGCGTGGTTGCTGGCCGGCCACCCACCCCCTCTCGTGTGCTGTACCAGCCTTCCTTAGGTGCTGCTGACAGCACTTACCCCAACAGTCTGTTAAGGCTAACACGGGGGATCTTGTCTGTGTCCGCGCATTTGTGTCAGTGCCACACGTTCGATTAACTTCTTTGGTACCATACGTAGCCAACTGTGCTCAACGCAAGTTTAGACAAAAAAAAATTAACCCGTAAAAACAAAGTTTTTCACTATAAATCCTTTATATGAATGGCATCGGTTTTATTTTATTATTCATTTCTGTTTTTCTTGAGTAAGAGTTTCATTTTTATCACATTGGTATTTTTAAATGAAATATGAATAAAAATTCCCCTAAAAAGTGGAAAATTTTGGATTTTTTTTCACGAAAATAAATTGTCACGCACAACGAGTCTGTGTGCAAAATGTCAGCTCGATTGGATCACGGGAAGTGGGTTAAAAACGACCGAAAGATTTGCACGGTCGTAAGCGCGCAAGCAAGCAAACTTAATATAAACGATTTAAAAACCAACGTCATTCGCCACCAAGTGGCGGTGACGTCACCACGGGACTTGTGCCAGGCTAGGTGCCCACTGGCAGCAGGTCACGGGACAGACCCAGGTGCCATGGGGGTTGACCGAGATGACTGGCAGATGCACCACTTGTGCCCCCTACAAAGATCCCCCGTGTAGCCTGAACAGACCGTAGGGGGAAAGTGCTGTTAAGCGAGCGCCTATGAAGGCCGGCACGGCACACAAGGGGGTGGGTGGCCAACACCACGCCCGGCCGCCTTCGTCTCCCTAGTGACGTTGTTTACACATCACACCAGGTACCTCATTTGAGACCGAGTCGACCTAGGGGAGGCCCGGAACCGGTTAAGATAATCGTCACTGGTGTTGGCCGTGAGTGGGAATCGAACCCGGGTCGCCAGGTTCATAGCGCAGCGTAGCGCTAACCGCTACAAAGACACAAGCGCACACGTACCGGTGTTGTCCTCCCCGGACAGCACGCCAGCCTGCACGGCGGCGCCGTAGGCCACCGCCTCGTCGGGGTTGATGCCGCGCGACGGCTCCTTGCCGTTGAACAGCTCCTTCACCAGCTGCTGGATCTTGGGGATGCGCGTCGAGCCACCCACCAGCACGATCTCGTCGATGTCCGTCTTCTTCAGGTCCGAGTCCTCCATCACCTTCTGCACCGGCTTCATCGTCGAGCGGAACAGGTCCTGCGGGGCACGGGCACAGCGGTGGCAAGGCCAAGGTTAGGAAGTCAGTACGGTGGAGAGCGAGCTCCATACCCCGCGGTTGTTCAGCATATAGCTCGACAATAAAGCTACTAAAGACTTCCATTCTCATTTTACCAGGCAAGGCACCATCGAGCTATATAGCTCTTTTTCAATTTGGCTATTACACATTATAGCAATGAATTGGCTTCTCATCAAAATCAGGTGGACAGTGGCCAAATGCTAAAAAACGTGTTTCTAAAATGGAGGGAAAAACCAGAGGACCAAGAGAAAAGTCCCTACAACCAGTGAGAACATGCAAACGCCAACTATATAGCAGGCGTTAGGGTCAGGATCAAACTCACGACCCCCTCCTTTCTGTATACCAGGAGAGGTAGTTAACGTGTCATAGCCACTGTGGCACCCGACAAGGGGCAGATGCCCCCCTTATAGCCTGAACCGACTGTTGGGGCAAGTGTTGTTAGCAAGCACCTATGAAGGTGCCTGTACTGTACACGAGGGACTGGGGTGGCCAGCACCATGCCAGACCACCTTCATCTCCCAAGTAGCGATGTTTACACTCATTTGAGGCAGAGCCGACCTAGGGGAGGCCCAGGACCAGTTCAGATAATCGTCACTAGCGTTGGGAATTTAACCTTTTAGTGCAGCGCGCTAACCGCTACTACCTACATAATTACACAGCACAAAGTTAGAGCATATACACAGTTACACGTAGCACACAGACACCGTTACACAGACACCACCACCACCGCCGGTGACCCTCCCCTTCTCACCATGTTGAGCTCCTCAAACTTTGCGCGCGTGAGCGTCTCGGAGAAGTCGTCGCCGTCGTAGAAGGACTCGATGTCGATGCGCGCCTGGTGCTGCGTGGAGAGCGTGCGCTTTGCCTTCTCCACCTCGCGGCGGAGCTTCTGCACTGCGCGGTGGTCCTTGCGCACATCCTTGCCAGTCTTCTTCTTGTACAGCTTGATGAAGTGCTCCATCACGCGTTGGTCAAAGTCCTCGCCACCTGCGGGTCGAAGGGTGGGGTGGGAGAGCCGTGGTCAGGTCAGCGTGCTGTCAACGCCGCAGTTCGGTTCGTAAAAGGTTACGGAGCCGAACGTTCGAAAAAGTCAGAAATAATGTCTCGTGGCGGGTTCGTTCGTTTAAGTGTGGAACGTTCGTATCGAGGACCTGCCTGTAAAGGGCGGTCTCTGGTTTTAGACGGTCTGATGTACAATGTTAATATAACACTACTGTTAGATCGATTTACGATGCATCTTCTGACACTACTACACTTTCTTATTTTACCAAGCAAGTCCCACAGAGTTGTGCAACTCTTTAGAAGAAACCTGGCCACAGATTATCTCAACGAAGTGGCTTATCTCGTAGAAATTTATAGCGGCAGCCACATATGCACGACGTCGATTCTAAAATGTAGAAAGAATAACCGGAGTAGCCGGAGAAAATTTCACGCGAGGTCATTAACATCTCCTAGCCACTGACAGCGGCACCCCATTCCCCCACGGCACACCCAGGCAATATTAAAAACGAGGACCACCAGCCGGGAAACTACCAGAATGTGGTGGTGGTTGGGTAAAGCGTGTGGCAGAAGAGAAAGTGGGTGGGTGCGGCAAGGGGAGGGGCACGGGGGGGGGCGTGGCACTCTGCTCACCAAGGTGGGTGTCTCCGTTGGTGGCCACCACCTCGAACACGCCGTGGTCGATGGTGAGCAGCGACACGTCGAAGGTGCCCCCACCCAGGTCGAACACCAGGATGTTCTTCTCGCCCTCCTTCTTGTCCAGCCCGTAGGCGATGGCCGCTGCAGTCCTGCACGCACGGGGATGGACGGGCAGAGCCAGTAGGACCATCAGCGGGGTGGATGGCGGTGGACGAGTTGGAGTCCAGCGTCTCCTCTACCGCGTTCGATGGTCAGCGCTCATTGGGGTTAATTTTAGAATCGGTCACGAGAGGTCGACCGATACCGGCCAAAAACTCACCCAGTGTTTTGGCCGGTATCTGTTAACCCCACCACCGTGGCACCCCACTGTATAGTTTCCCCCCCCCCTCCCGTGTCCCCCACCCGTGTGCCCCCCCCTACCGTGTAGCTCCCCTGCCCCTACCGTGTAGCCCCCCCCCACCCCCGTGTGTTGCGTACGGCTCGTTGATGATGCGCAGCACGTTGAGGCCGGCGATGGTGCCGGCGTCCTTGGTGGCCTGTCGCTGGGCGTCGTTGAAGTAGGCGGGCACGGTCACCACCGCGTGCGTCACCTGCAGACGACAACAAACCCCCGTGAGCAACTTGACGATCGAGATGCAACGCTCGTGCTCCCCAACCCCCCCCCCCACAGAACGGGAGGTTTGCCCGGTGCGTGCGTGGAGCGTGGTCGCGAGCGCTGTTATGCGTGTCGCACCTTCTTGCCCAGGTAGGCCTCGGCCGTCTCCTTCATCTTGGTGAGCACCATGGCCGAGATCTCCTCCGGGGCGAAGGTCTTGGACTCGCCGGCTATCACCTCAACCTGGATGTGGGGCTTCCCCTTCTTCTCCAGAACCTGCAGGGCGGCAGAGAGAGGGGGGTAGGAACCAGAATGAGAATCTTTATTTATCTTGGGAGAAATCCGCCGAGCGATGAAGCTCTTTTTCACAGAGGGTACCATAGGCAGAACCACCACCATAACCACCAATCCACACCACATGTACGGTGTGAAATAAGTTTCAAACAAAGACAAAGATTCCCCGCATGACCTGAACAGACTGATGGGGCAAGTGCTGTTAGCAAGCAACACCGATGAAGGCTGGCAGAGCACACTAGGGGGTGGGTGGCCAGAACCACGCCCTGCCACCTTTGTCTCCCCCTAGTGGCGATGTATACACACCACACCAGGTACTCTTTTTCAATTTGGCTATTACACATGATAGCAATGAATTGGCTTCTCATCAAAAATCAGGTGGACAGTGGCCAAATGCTAAAAAACGTGTTTCTAAAATGGAGGGAAAAACCAGAGGACCAAGAGAAAAGTCCCTACAACCAGTGAGAACATGCAAACTCCAACTATATAGCAGGCGTTAGGGTCAGGATCAAACTCACGACCCCCTCCTTTCTGTATACCAGGAGAGGTAGTTAACGTGTCATAGCCACTGTGGCACCCGACAAGGGGCAGATGCCCCTTATAGCCTGAACCGACTGTTGGGGCGAGTGTTGTTAGCAAGCACCTATGAAGGTGCCTGTACTGTACACGAGGGACTGGGGTGGCCAGTACCATGCCAGACCACCTTCATCTCCCAAGTAGCGATGTTTACACTCATTCGAGGCAGAGACGACCTAGGGGAAGCCCAGAAATATTTCAGATAATCGTCATTGGCATTGGCAGCCGTGAGTGGGAATCGAACTCAGGTGCCCCCGGGTTCGTAGTGCAGCGCGCTAACCACGACACTTCCGCTCCACACGAAAATAACTGCCACACATACATGGCAGTGGACTCGCCACTTGAGCCGAAGAGATCCAAGGATCGCTCTCAATGACACGTTTATATTTACGTGATCCAACCCAAAAAACCCCCAAAAAGGCCTGACACTACTACGCGTTAACCTTGTGCAATTGTACGAGGGGTAGCAGGGACTGTGGAAAAACCGGCGACAATGCGAGGGGGGGGGGTAGTGGGGGCGGGCAGGGAGCACGACGAAAACTACCGACACCCACGCACCGTGAAGGGCCAGAACTTGATGTCGTGCTGCACGGTGGGGTCCGTCCACGAGCGCCCGATGAGCCGCTTGGCGTCGAACACGGTGTTCTCGGGGTTGGAGGTCAGCTGGTTCTTGGCGGCATCGCCGATGAGGCGCTCCCCCTCGGCCGTGAAGGCGACGTATGACGGCGTGATGCGGTTCCCCTGGTCGTTGGCGATTATCTCCACGCGGCCGTTCTTGAACACGCCCACGCTGCCGGATTTCAAAACCCCGGAGGGAAGAGAGGGTACAGAATGAGGCGTGCGCATGTAGATTCCACGACGCACATCTCACCAGGCGCGCGGTCCATTTGTTCGAGTGCTCTGACGCATGCGCGAGCGTTCAGAGAAGCCAGATAATGCATGCACATCTTACTTTATCGCAATTTATACGACACCTTAACCGAGGCGTTTAAAGAGAATTGAAGACTGGTATGTGTATGTTGTATGAATGGAATGGTAATGAGATGAAGAAAATAGACGGGAAGCAATGGGGGGCAAGCAAATCTGTGATGATTAAATTGACAGTAAATTAATGGATCGAATGGATGGGAAATTAGTAAAAGCCATGAGAATATTCACGATCGTGCACGTTTGCAGCAAGCGCTCACACGGCTGGCTCTGCACTTCAGTGCGCTGCACAGTGCACGTGTGTGCAGGAGTGTATCAGTGACCGCGGGTGCGACTCAATACGAGTGTGTGGCGAGGGAACACACACACACACGTGTGTGTGTGTGTACACGTGTAAGAGTGCGCTGGCACCTCACCACGAGTAGGTGGTGCCCAGGTCGATGCCGATCACCGTGCCCATGTTCTCCTTCTCCTTGTCGTCCTCGGCTGCGCGGCACAGCGCCACGCAGCACACCGCCACCACCACCACCAGCGCCATCCTCCCAGGCGCCATCGCTCTGCGGACACAAACGAGGGCCTCGTTAGCGCTCTGCACGTACGCTAAACGTCTTTCACACCGGCGATGAGGTGTACTGGATGTGGTGTGCCGGGTGAGGAAACTTTCTTCTACAGGGCGAGATGTCATCCCTTGCCTGGTATGCGGTGGTCGGAGGTTTGAACGCGACCCCGATGCCTGCTACATGGTCGCTCGTCTCTCCCCAGGCCCTACGGCTTTCCCCCCTCCACATTTAGAAATCAACATCACGCGTTAAGAATATTTGGCTGCTAGAAATTTCCACGCAACCCACTTCGTTGAGCCATCATGCGATGGCCAGGTCGCTTCTGAAAAAAGAGCTACACAGCAGCTGAGTGGAGCTTACCTGGTACAACATAGAGGCCTGGCGACAGTCACACACCTGGGCTCCACAAGTTGTAATGGGGGCGCCAGGTATATGCATGTACAGTATACCGAACTTCTGTGCTCCGTACGTAGCCAACCGTGCTAATCGGAGGTGCGGGGGGGGGGGCAGTTACCCGTGTGGGGGGGGGGGGGGGGGAGTTAGCGTAACTCGGGGAGGGGGGGGCGTAACCCGGGGAGGGGTGGGGGAGTTAGCGCAACCCGGGGGGAGGGGGGGCGTAACAACGGGGGGGGGGGGGGGGGGGGGAGCGTGACCCAAGACTCAACGTCCGTTACTTAGTCGCTTACACAGTTCGCCGTTTCGGGGGGTGGCGATGCCAATGAACCAGACCTCACCGCGCCGGTCACTGCGTAAGCTTTGGCGAAGGTGGCGAACATAGACGCTGGCAGTGGAGTACTGCACAACTTATCCGCGCCACTGCTAGCTCGTGGTTACTGTACGCTTACCAACGCGACACCGCAGCCTGTAGCAACTGTTACGCACGCTCGGTGATCGCCCATCCAAGCCATAGCCAGGCACAACACTTGCTTAGCTTTAAAAAACGCAAGACGCGAATCGACTCCCGACATCTTTGCGCGAATCGACAATTCGATTCGCGCAACACCGCTGCGAACAGGGAGACGGGCGTGTCAAGCGGGGAATCGATTCGTTGTTTTTAGCGAATCGATTCGCAGTCGTCAGCGTCCATTTGACGTCTCCGTCAGCTCCGCGCGGCCAGTCGAGGGCCGCTCGTTACGTTCGACGCGCAAGAGACGCCCACCGAACTCGTCCTGCCATCTGGAGGGGCGGATTAACAACCCGCCGGATATTTAGAGAGACGCGGTTATCGGCTTGGCGGCGTGAGGAAGGCGCGGGACTTCACCCAGCAGCGGATAGAACACGGCTGACGCGGACCAACCACCACCGTCACGACACTCACCTCAGTTGCGTTATGGCGACACTGCTCCTGGGCTGGACCGTAGACGTGGCCTCGTCTTCGCCCGGCTCGACCCGCGCCCCAACGGATTTAGACCGCCTTCGTCAAATGGAGACCTACACACAACCCCCACCGGGCGGTTATAACCGAGAACCCTAATTGGCAATGATCACTTAACGCTCACGGGACCACGAAGGCTCCTCCACCACCACCACGCGCAAGGCTCAACCCCCAACGTTGCTCTGCAGATGACTGACGGGCACCTCCTCCCGTTGCCGCCCGCTTTATATACTTCCAGGCGGAGGCGCGTGGACGCCTCCCATTGGTCCGCGACGGTCGAGTCGCCGCTGTGGACGCGCCCCATTGGTCGAGGGGCGCCAAAGCTCGTGGACGCCTCCCATTGGCTCAAGCGGCGAGGCGAGCCAAGGGGCGGGGGGGGGCGTCCGGCGATGCCCTCGCGGACGCCGCTGATTGGTCCAGCGCACGACGGTCGATTCGATTCGTCGTTCTGTTGTTCGGCGATTCGGAATCTTGATTTAGACTGCAGGAGGAGTAGAAATCCGATGAGCTGTGAAGCTCTTTGCTTCCCGCACAGATGTTCAGTGGGGGCAAGGTGGGGGAGGGGGGTCTCAGAAAGTTACAACAACAAGGAGTGCAAAGATAACCGATAGGAAGGGTAATGGAGTCACTAGAATGTATAAATACTTGGGCACTGGCTGTCCCATTTGTCGACACTAAAATGAACGCACGGCAAGGCAGCGATACAAAACAGCAGCAGCAGCAGTCCCAGAGCCACACAAGACAACGCACGGGAGGGCCTTCAATCACCCCGCGCATTCACATTGAACTATCGATACGACCCCTACTACGGACACGGCAAAGGATCAAAGACTTGCAAATGTGGTTTGTCGTATCCGGCAGCACTAATCTTCCGCTGCAGGATATAAATGTACACATCTAATTTTAGCGCGAATTAACGCATCAGCATTGTCCCCCCCACCCTGTTGTTATTTAACATTGGCAGCGCACGTAAATGTCCTTTGCTGATGTCGGCATTTACCGCCCTCGAACCCGATGGATAACAACAATCTTCACGCATTGGCGCCTCGTCCATTCATTGGCGATTCGATGCAACGCTCCGTTGTGTACTGGGGCCCGATCGGCGCGGGGGAGCGGTGGCGCAGCGGTTAGCGCGCTGCGCTACGAACCCGATCGAGTCACCAACACCGGTGACGATCGTTTGAACCGGTTCTGTGCCCCCCCCCACCCCTAGGTCGACTCAGCCTCAAATGATAACCGGATGCGATGTGCAGTTAACGTCGCCACTAGGCAGGGCGAAGGCGGCCAGGCGTGGTGGTTGTGCCGGAACCTCGCGAACAGCACTTGCCCCGACAGTCTGTTGAGGCTACACGGGTGGTTCGTTGTCTTTGTAAGAGTCGGTATCGGCCACAAAACACGGAGTCGACTCAACACGGATTCATGCAAATGTTGGAATCCGAGGAAGTTTCCCTGTGACGTCACGCGCGATGACGTCACGCGCGTTGCCGGCGGGTTTCACCATCGGTCACCAGAGCAGCCTGAACAGACCACGTGGCCAGCAGATGTTAACTACCTCGCCTGGTGTGCAGGAGGTCGTGAGTTCGATCCCAACTCTGACGCCTGCTGTATTTTTGGAGTTTGCGTGTCTCTCTCATCATCGTCACGGTGGCTAAGAGATGTTAACTACCTCGCCTGGTGTGCAGGTCGTGAGTTCGATCCCAACCCTGCTGCTGTATATTTGGAGTTTGCGTGTCTCTCTCATCATCACGGTGGCTAGGAGATGTTAACTACCTCGCCTGGTGTGCAGGAGGTCGTGAGTTCGATCCCAACCCTGACGCCTGCTGCTGCTGTATATTTGGAGTTTGCGTGTCTCTCTCCCTGTGGATGTTCCATCATCACCACCTCCGGGTTTTCCCTCCCTGTTTAGAACCAATGCGAGTATTGACGGCTTGTAAATGTTCCACATGATGACGACCCCCTTTGTTGAGCTGTCATTTGTGGGCAGCTCGCTTCTGAAAGAGAGCTACGTAGCTCAGCGCGCCTTGCTTGGTTAAAGTCAAAAACTAGTTCAGTTTGGTCAAATAAATAGTGTAGTTTTAGTTGAGCGAGTAGCACGGCACGGAGATTCCCTGGACACGAGCATCACAGACATCGCCAGAGTGAACACAGTAGCAGCAACGGCGGCTAAAGGGCCGTCCATAAATGACGTCACGCAACTAGGGGGGGTCAGACATTTGTGACGAGGGGGGGGGGGGGGTGAGAAATGTGACGTCACATCAAAATGCGCAATTTTAAATATAAACACGTTCTACTTAATTAAATAACTTTTTAATAAATGTTTTCTCCTACATCAGAGTGCAGCGCCAATTTAATACGCACTACAATGACAATAGTTTAAAGCGATTTGAAGCGTGTTTTATTTTGGTGGGGGGGGGGGGGCAGAGCTTTGTGACGTCATATATGGGGGAGGGTCTGACTTTTTGTGACGATGGGGGGGGTCAAAAATCCTCCAAAATCGCGTGACGTCATTTATGGACGGCCCCTAAAACAGCGAGCCCACGTGCTCCGCATGCAGCAATGCCAAATCCACTGCTGGATGAGGGCCTCCAGCCGTGGATTGACATACTTCACCACGCCAGTCACGGGGGTTTGTTGGCTCGGTGAAGGCGGAGGATGCATCGGGCAGGAAGGGGAGCCATAGAAGTGCAGTACAGGAATTGATTTGACTTCACGGGCGGCTGCCGCTCCCAAATGTTTAGCACAACTCCGAAGCAGCCTATAGCACCTGTTATGCAAAGGTAGCCACAGGGTGCCCTGTAGCCCAGCACTCACCGAATCACTGCTCTCGCTCGCTCACTGGCGCTCAGTCGCCCCCGTATCACTCCTCTCGCTACGACTGAACTATTGCGACTCGAATTCTAAATGTTGTAGTGGATTTACTCTCCAACACACAACCGGGGTGTGCTGAACCAGTAGCTAATTGGCACGTTTTGTTGACACAACCTTCATAATTGGCGGTCGGGTGGTGGCGCGGTTAACGACACGTTTATATTGATGCCATCCAACCCAACAAACCTCGATTATAAAGCTCACTGATGTCAAGATTTGTATAAACGTGCCGGTTCATGTTTATGTAACTTGTACTTGTATACTTGATTTATTTTCATTCATATTTAGTGACTTGATTTCCCCTCCTTTACTTTGCACTGCTATTGTTGTTGTCTTCGTGTATGTTGTTTGTGGATATAATGTTGTGACCCCCGTACCCTGACTAGACATCTGTGAACCAAGAGCTTGACAACTCATCGGATTCCTCCAGGATCAGTATTCTGGTTCTGTTTGGCGCTGGTTGAGTTTCACATTCACTCCACCCTGCCGTGTGCTGGGACTGCCACCACTGCCCACGGTCTTGGGCTGTGGCCTCGGTGTGTCTCCATGTAACTCTATGCAACTCCATGTGCCTCTACGTAACAAAGATTTACTTAAAGCTTTAGTGGAATTCATACTCTTTGGGTCTTTCGGTAAAGTCACGTAGATAGAAAAATTATAAAAAATGACGACGTTTCGATCACAACATGAGCAATCATCTTCAGGTGAAAAATTACAGCAGGCGGACTGATTATTTCTTCCTGCCTCAGCACTCCGCCTGCTGTAATTTTTCACCTGAAGACGATTGCTTGTGTTATGATCGAAACGTCGTGAATTTATTTGATTTGATTATTTTTCTATCTACGTGACTTTACCGAAAGACCAAAAGAGTAGTAACACAGGATATCTATGCAACTCTATAAGTCTCTACGTAATTCTATGTAACTCTATGCATCTCTACGTAACTCTATGGATGTCTATGTAACTCTATGCATCCCTACGTAACTCTATGGATGTCTATGTAACTAAGGATATCAATGTAAGTCTATGCGTCTCTACGTAACTCTATGGATGTCGATGCAACTCAGGATGTCTATGTAACTCTATGCATCTCTATGTAACTTTATGCGTCTCTATGTAACTCTATGGATCTGGTGTAGATGTTCTATTTGGGGGGGGGGGGTCCACGTTTCGCAAGCATAAAAGGAGGGCATGACCGTGGCCGAGAAGACCCGAAGCATCGACCAGCCTCACACACACAGACACGTGTGTACACATCAGGATAATCTATGTATTAAAAATTGTTGGATTTTCAACATTTGAAGGGTATGTTTGTACATTTTTCAGACTTTCAGATAATTTACATTTAGTAATATTGTGACGTGTATTCGTGCAAAGAGGAGTGGCGTGACCCGATGCACACATTCACACAAAGACCGTTGGGGCAAGTGAACAAGTAGTACCTATGAAGGCCAGTACAGCACCTGAGGGGGTGGGCGGCCAGCACCACGCCCGGCGCGCTAAACCGCTGCACCACAGCTCGCCATCATCACCTTCATCATCATCATCACCACCACCATCACCAACTTCATCATCACCACTACCATCACCACCACCATCACCTCCACCGTCACCACCATCTTCCTCATCACCACCACCGCGATCACGTGGCGCTGGCCCCCATGAGCCTGTTGAGTGCCTGCGACAACTCCTTGACGGTGCGCAGGACGCCCTCCCGCTCGGCCACGTGAAGCCTTGCGCCAAACCGCTGCTCGAACTTGTCCGGGTGCCACAACACGAGCTGGCGGCGTAGGTGGCGCCTGTAGGGGGCGCCTCCCTCCTCCGTCCGGTCCACGCCGTGCGCCAGCACCGCCGCCATCTCCTCGGCGGTGCCGTGCGGCGCCGGCCACGGGATGTCATCGTACCGCAGCTCCCCCTGCCGCTGCGCCCCACCCCCGGCAGAATCGGCAGCGGACTCGGCCGACCGCGCCAGCTTCTCCGCCGCGGCCAGGAGCCGGCGCTCGTACGACTCCTTGGCGGCGGCCGCGGCGTCGGCCGCGGCGGAGGAGGCCGCGGCCGCGCGGCGCTGGCGCTCCGAATGCTCCGTGGCGAGCGTCGCTCGCAGCTCCTGCCGCCAGCGCTCCTCGCGCCGCTCGCGCTCCTCGCGGAGCCGCCGGCGCCGGAGCTCGGCGGCACTGGGGCCCGGGCGGCTGCGCTCGCGCTGCTCCCGGGCCAGGCGCTGAACCCAGCCCTCGAAGGTCTCGGGCTCGGAGCCGTTGCCGTCCGCCGCCTCGAAGTCGTCTGGGTCGGAGCGAAAGTGAAGAGAAGCATGGAGGAGGTGCGTGTGACCCACAGACTCATCACACGGAGAGACCGACAAACTCGCACAGAGACTCGCAGACTCATCACTCGGTGACCCACAGACTCGCACAGAGAGACCCACAGACTCGCACAGAGACTCGCAGACTCATCACTCGGTGACCCACAGACTCGCACAGAGAGACCCACGGACGGATGGTGAGGGAGTGGGCGTCTCACCCTCGTAGCGCCCCCAGGCAGTGTTGTACTCGTCCTCACACTCGTCCTGCACGCGGCGCAGCCACGCGGAGTCCTCCCCACGGCTTCCCCACGGCCCCTCCTCCTCGGAGCCCCAACCCCCACGCTCGCCCAGCATGGCCCCCACCAGCGACACCGCCTCCTCCTGCTGCTCCGCAAGCCCGACCTGGTGGTGGAGGCGGGAGGTAATGGGACACGCGGAGAGAAGCGGGGGTGGGGGCGGAGGAGGAGGATGAGGAGAAAGAGGAGGAAGAGGGGGGAGGAGGTGAGAGACGTGGGGAGGAAGGGGAGGGGGAAGAGGAGGACGGGGGAGGAGGTTGGAGACACAGGGAGAAGGGGGAGGAAGAGGAGTAGGAGATGGGAGACACAGGGAGTAGGAGGAGTGGGGAGCAGGTGATAGACATGGGGAGGAGGAGAAGTAGAAAAGTGATGAGTGAGTCACAGCAGGGAGGAAGCAATGGGGAGTTGGGTTGGGGGAGGAGGGGATCGGGAGTGGAAGGGAGTGGGGAGTGGGGTGAGGAGGGGGGGGGGGCACACCTGGTGAGGCAGGCGAGCCAGGAGGTGTGCTGCGGTGATGCCGTCCAGGTTGCGCACCTGGAGGCAGTCCGGGCAGTACTTGCGCAGCAGGGCGATCACGCGGAGGCAGCCTGCGGCACCACAAACAAAGATCCACCATGTAGCCTCAACACAGTTAGGGCAAGTGCTGTTGGTGAGTCGCACCTGTGAAGGCCGATAACGGCATGCGAGGGGGTGGGTGGCTAACACCACGCCCGGCCGCCATAGCCTCTCCAAGCGGCGATGTTTACGCACTGCACCGGGTACTCATTTGAGGCCGAGTCGACCTAGGGGAGGCCCAAGACCCCTTTCAAATAATCGTCACTGGGGTTGGTGGTGGCCGTGAGCGGGAATCGAACTCGGGATCCTGCCGCATTTGTAGCGCAGTGCTGCATTAAACACGACAGCGACCCACTCCTACAGCTACTGGTGAATACGCACGCACAGGCAGAGCTGCCATGGGCATGGCCACGTGTCCCCCCGTGTCCCCCATGCATCCCCACCCACGTCCCCGTTGTGTTCCGTGTCTCCCCCATATCTTTCCCCGTGTGTCTCAACCCTGATCTACATGACGTCTCCCCCCGTGTCTCCCTGGTGTCTCTCCCCGAGCGCCCCCGCGTGTCCCCGCACCCTTGTCCGCGGGCCGTCTCAGCGCCCTGTGCACCACTGCGTGCGCCGCCGTCTCCCCGCCGCGACCCCTGGCCGCCGCCCCGTCCACGCCGCGGCGCAGCAGAAGCCGCACCACGGACGCGTGGCCCCGGCGGCTCGCCGAGATCAGGGCCGCCCCCGCCGCCGAGCTCCCCCCGGCCCCCGCCCCGCAGATCTCCGGGTGGCGGCGCAGCAGCGAGCGGAGGCGGCGGCACGAGCCGCGGCGCGCCCAGCGGCGCAGACGGCGCAGCAGCCGGCGGGAAACTCCCATCGAGACGGCCTGCACAAGGGGCAGGGGGGGGGAGTCACGGGGAGATAAGGGGAGACACGATCAAACGCGGAGAGAACGAGCAGACACGGGGGATGCGGAGAGACACGAGGAGACGCAGGGAGACGCGCGGGAGGACACGGGGAGACACGGAGAGACGCAGGGACACGGGGAGAGCGCGGGGAGACATTGTAAGACGCGGTGACACAAGCACGGTAAGTTACAGGGCATGGGGAGACAGGGGGCAACGAGAGATGCAGGGACAGGCACGGCGAATTACAGAGCCATGGGGACAGGGGTGCAGGAGATGGGGCCACGGGGATAGACACGGGGACAATAAAAACAGAGACATGGAGATAGAGTCCAGGGAGCAGCAGCGACACTGGGGAGAGGCAAACTCACTGGGATAGAGCGATGAGGAGACGTTGCGATACTGAGACACTGCGGAGAAGATAGCAGGGTTAGAACTGGTTATGTAACTGCTGTTCATGAGACACGGGGGCACAACCATCATTCCACATTCGTGATATACACATGGAATCATTAGAAAAATGAATACGCACGGTATGCACGATTCACACAAACGGTATTTACTATGAGCCAAGAATGTCTGTGTGTCCCGCGCGTGACGTCACTCCACGTCGACCAGCCCCCCTCATTAATAATCATGAACAGGTGACGTCCTCCACATGGACCCCCCCTCATTAATAATAATTAGCGGCTGACGTCACTCCACATGGGGGCCAAGGCACCTCCTTCCCCCTCCTCAGCGTCAACTTACAACCCTCACTACAAAGGCAGAACCCTCACGTCACGCCATCTCCGTGACGCTATTGAGACATAGAAGTAAAAAGGACGTCGAGATGAACAAGAGATTACAGTCATACCTCGGTATACAACCGCTTTGGAATACGTCGAATTTGGTATACGTCGTGTTTTGACGAGAAAAAAATGTCTTGGGATACGACGTCTTGCTTGGGATACGACGTCTTGCTTGGGATACGACGCGCTCGCTAGAACGTGTATGGGTCGGGATGAGTCACCGCGTACCCGCGTAGACCCCGTTCACGACTGAAACAAAGCGCCGCTCCTCAGTCTGCCTGTACAGTAGATCTGGTTCAGTGCACAACCCTTGCGATAACTCTGTGAATTTTCACGTGTTTTATTGTCATTTTAACGTTATTTTGTTGCGAATTCAGGCGAGGAGGAGATAGAGGAAGCTCCTACTTCACTTATTAAATAAATGTGTGCAAAATGGATGGAAGTGCAAAGTTTTGCAGCAAATACCACCCCAATAAAGCTCTAACAAGCCGTAACAGTAGTGTGTGGAATGACCAGATAATGTCACACTTCAGGAACATTCTTAGAAGGCAAAAACAAACTTCAATGGGCAGGTTTTTAGTAAAACTCAAACCTGGTGAGCCTCAACCAGGTCCAAGTCAAGAAAAAAGACAGAAAAGAGAAAGAGAAAAAACCACAGAATTTCAGCTTCCTGAAGTTGTAATGGAAGGGGACTCCACTTCCAAAAAATACCATCTCCTCCTCCTCATCCTCCCCTGCCTCACCACCATCCTCGTAGGCGATCACCTCCTCTCAGCAAGGTGAAGCGACGTTACATTTTATTTTAATTTCAATTAATTTTAATTTATTTATGCATTTATTTTAATTTATCTATGCATTTTTGTAATAAGTAGTGTCTAAATTATTTTATACAACCCCATTAATGTATAATATGCCATATAAAATATAATTTCTTATACTCTGGAACGGATTATTTCCTTTCCATTTATTTATGGGAAAGATTCGTTGGGCTACCTCATTTTCGGAAAAAGTCCTTCCTTCTGGAACGAATTAACGTCGTATTCCGAGGTAGCACTGTAAAGCATTTACATCAAATAAGTCTGTGTCCCCGCGGCCGTACAAATTGCACACGCATTGATGCAATAAATATCACGTCGCCAGCTGCTTTTCGCTTGCAAGTTTCGTCGCCAAATCGTACGAGACGGACCACACCAACAGCACCGTGGGTCTCTGTGTGTGTGAATCTCGCCACGTGTCTCTGGGGAGCGGTGGCGTAGCGGTTAGCGCGCTGCGCTACGAACCCGGCTAGGAACCGTGTTCTCCACCAACACCTGCGACGATTATCTGAACCGGTCCTGGGCCTCCCCTAGGTCAACTCAGCCTCAAATTAGTACCTGGCGCGGTGTGTAGAAACATCGCCACTGGGGAGACAAAGGCGGCCGGGCGTGGTGCTGTTCTACCCACCCCCTCGTGTGCCGCCGTGCCGGCCTTAGGTGCTGCTACTCGCCAACAGTCTGTTGTATTTGGTCACTGTACCTCCCCCAATCGTTCACCAACAACCCGTACTGACCGGAGTGGTGAAGTATGGCCAAACAACCCCTCTGTCCCCACGCGTGGGGGGGGGGAAGAGGCCGCCGTCCAGCAGTGGATAGAGCAGCGCCCCGGGAGCTCCCACGCACCCCGGCGGCGTGGACCACTTCCGGGTCGGGCCGGCCCATTAAGTCAGCAGGCGGTGGGGGTGGAGCGCGTTGGACGAATCCATTCATCACATGATGTTACTGGTAGGAACCTCCTGGTTTCACCAGCCCACAGGTGATTATTGTGTCCGTCCGTCGTGCAGGGAGGGGCTGGGTGGGGAAGGAGGGGCTGGGTGGGGAGGGGCTGGGTGGGGAGGGTGGGGAGGGGCTGGGTGGGGATGGTGGGGAGGGGCTGGGTGGGGAGGGTGGGGAAGGGCTGGGTGGGGAGGGTGGGGCTGGGTGGGGAGGGTGGGGCTGGGTGGGGGGTGGGGCTGGGTGGGGAGGGGCTGGGTGGGGAGGGTGGGGAGGGGAGGGTGGAGAGGGGCTGGGTGGGGAGGGGCTGGGTGGGGAGGGTGGGGAGGGGCTGGGTGGGGAGGGTGGGGAGGGGCTGGGTGGGAGGGTGGGGAGGGGCTGGGTGGGGAGGGTGGGGAAGGGCTGGGTGGGGAGGGTGGGGCTGGGTGGGGGGTGGGGCTGGGTGGGGAGGGGCTGGTCACCCCGTGGTGCCCTTATAAAACTACAATGCGGTGGGCTCTCATGGGATTGTTTTCTTCGAGACTAAAGTGCTCTGCAAACCCACTGGCTACCATCAAAGGTTTGTACACGAAGCCATTCAGATATACAAACACAGACATAATTTCAACCGTGATGATGGGTACAAACTTAGTAATCATTGGAAAGATGTTATCAACCATGCAAAAAAGATTTAATTACACATTGTTGGACCAGGCACTATTTTTTACTTTACCGAGTGTTAACATCCCTAACGTTTAACAGTACTCTCTTTATTGTCAGCCAACATTGGTATAAACATGGGCATTTTCTTTCCTTTCCTATTATGTACATCCACAGTGACTTGCGCACAAACACGTCCTTGACCTCGACCACGATTACCCCGTCCCTCTGTTAGCCCCCCCCCCTTCCGATACTTTCCATTCATTGGCTACCACATTCTGATAAGCCCCTCCCCCCCTCCTCCCTGAACTGGTACTTAAGAGCCTACATCTTGAATCCCTCCCTCACTTGATGCAGCTAATCTGGCTGTGACGGTCCCACCTGATGACGGAGACTTGTGTTGCCTCCGAAACGTCGTTATTTTCATTTTTATTTCATTTTTTACCTACGTGACTTTACCGAAAGAACTAAGAGTATGAAGATGTTACTTTACCGGCATCTGCACAGTTGCTCAGGAACCACGGACGGAGGAGCCGGAAATGCAGAGGCAGCCACGCGGTGAGGAACCGGCACGACCAATATTTGTCCACGCTCTGCGGTCCGCGAAATATAATCTAAAAACTAAACTATTTTTTATTTTACCAGGTAAGGCCCACTCAGCTGTGTAGCTCTTTTTCAGAAGCGACCTGGCAATCATAAACGATAGCTCAATGAAGTGGCTTATCAGCATCACGTGGAAATATATTAGCAGCCAAAGACTCTAAACGCGTGACGTTGATTCTAAATGTGGAGGGAAAAACCGGAGGACCCGGAGAAACAGACATGCAAACACCAAATATAGAGCAGGCGTCAGGGTTGGAATCGAACCCACAGCATCCTGTATACCAGAGGAGGTAGTCAACATTTGCCAACACGTTGCCATATATGAAGGTGTTATCGACCAGTTAATGAGTGTTTACACGTGTGGGAGGAAAGCGGAGCACCCGGAGAAACCCCACGCGTGCGAGGGGGAAACACTCTATCCCCGTATAGACGGAACCTCCAATTAGCACGGTTAGCTACGTACTGTGCGAAAGAAGTTCAACATCTGGTACAGGTGACGTCCACATTTTTGCTCTACTGCCTTCTCCTGACAGAGCCAGGGGCACGGGCTCCTTCTCGACGCCCACCCAAGGGTAGAAGGGAGTTTTGCAACCCCATCTGTGGTGGTGATCCACCAGCCTCTCGCTGCTGTTGCTGCCTCCTCAGCACCGCTGGATCAGACAGCCACGCGCAGTGGCATAGCCACCACCACGCAGCTACTACGTCATTTCAGTGTTCTTCATTGGCCACCAGGGGCCACTGGCGGCCTTTCGTGCGGTCCCCCTTAACAATACACAATATATTATTGGTTCTTTCGGTAAAGTTACGTAGAAGGGAAATAATACAAATAAAATAAAGTTCTCACGACGTTTCGATTGCAACACAAGCAATCATCATCAGGTGTGAAAACCACAGCAAGCAAAAAACACAGCAAGGTTTTCACACCTGATGATGATTGCTTGTGTTGCAATCGAAGCGTCGTGATAATTTTGTTTTATTTTCATTATTTCCCTTCTACGTGACTTTACCGAAAAAAACAAGATTATGAATCCCTGCAGTCACGAAAGCTTTAAATCGAAATTTAATAAACAAGATGTAAAAACACCCCCCCCCCCCATCATCGTGCTGCTATCAAACCCCCAATGGTTTCAAATGGTGTGGTGGCCCTCACACTTCTTCTTTCGTATGGATTAATAACGGCAGATAAAAGATGCCATTAGAGTTGTAATCCACTTAATTGTCTGGTTCAGAAGCAGAGTGGATCTCTGTCCATTCCTCCTTTCAAGGAGTGTTTACGCTGGGATTGATGGTTTGTGATTCATGGCCGCACTCTCACAGGCCACCAAATCTTCGATGGCGTCATTTGAGCGTCCGGTAGCCGCATTGGCCACACGCCCCCCCCCCCCCCCCATGGCCTGGGTCGGTCGATGGTCGACTGCTGGCGGCGTGGGGAGGTTGAGACCGGAGGCGGGCTTGATGGGCAGGGTCCTGTATGAGAAACGTAGATTTTTTTTAACGTCGGCCGCAGTCCAGACTCTCGCTTCTATCTCTCGCGTTCACACTAATTGTGGCTTATCGGGCAAAAGTGGGTCCCCACCCTGAGAATGCTGCTGCTGCGTTGCCAGTGGTGCGAAAGAACAAATAAAAATCTCAGCGCATTCCTTAACATTTGCATGGCCTTAAAATTGTATGTGCAATAGGCGACGTTTCAGGCATTTGCCCGTCTTCATGGATTTGACACTCCTCTCCTCAACGACACTGGTGGTGGAACCATCGACCGCATGAGAACATCAGCAGCACGCCAATGCTGCAACTCGTCTCCTTCATGAACGCAAACGTAAAGGCAGTCACGGAAGTGCAATTGTAGCCACGCAGCCCACACTATGGACTGTAGAGTAAGACTCAACAATATACTCGTAGATATAGAGATATATAGACTTAGAGACACACAAACTCATAGAAACATTAAATACACAAGCCACAGACGTGCGATTGTAGCCATACAACCCACACTATGGACCACATAGCAAACCCAGAGACACATAAATATACACTCACATTCAAAAAGTACACAAGCCACAGTAATGCGATAGTGGCCATGCAAGCCACACTATGGAACGTAAAGTAACCCCATAGAGATAGACTTGTAGAGAATCAGAGATACATACACACCATCGGTAGTTAGAATCAATATCAGCTCCGCCATCATCACCGCCAGTCAACTCAGCTTATAAAGATTTAAAGTGCCTTATTCCAAGGCGCTTTACAATTTTTTTTATTGTACATAAGACGTTAGTGGTTGAGATAGAGTGGGGTTATTAGTGGTGTAGTTATGACAAAAGTGGTTGGGGTAGTGATAGGGGTGGGGGTAGTATTAGGGGCTGGGGTAGTGATAGGAGTTGGGGTAGTGATGGGGGCTGAGGTAGTGAGATAGGCGCAGTGATAGGGGTTGTGGTAGTGAAATTGGTGTAGTAATAGAGGTTGGGGTAGTGAGATAGGGGTTGGGTAGTGAGATAGGGGTTGGGTAGCGAGATAGGGGTTGGGTAGTGAGATGGAGTAGTGATAGGGGTTGGGGTAGTGAGATGGAAGTGATAGGGGTTGGGGTAGTGATCGGGTTTGGGGTAGTGATAGGGGTTGGGTAGTGATAGGGGTAGTGAGATGGAGTAGTGATCGGGTTTGGGGTAGTGATCGGGTTTGGGGTAGTGATAGGGGTTGGGGTAGTGATAGGGGTTGGGGTAGTAAGATAAGGGTAGTGATAGGGGTTGGGGTAGTGATAGGGGTTGGGGTAGTGAGATGTAGTGATAGGGGTTGGGGTAGTGAGATGGAAGTGATAGGGGTTGGGGTAGTGATCGGGTTTGGGGTAGTGATAGGGGTTGGGGTAGTGATAGGGGTTGGGGTAGTGATAGGGGTTGGGGTAGTGATAGGGGTTGGGGTAGTAAGATAAGGGTAGTGATAGGGGTTGGGTAGCGAGATAGGGGTTGGGTAGTGAGATGGAGTAGTGATAGGGGTTGGGGTAGTGAGATGGAAGTGATAGGGGTTGGGGTAGTGATCGGGTTTGGGGTAGTGATAGGGGTTGGGGTAGTGATAGGGGTTGGGGTAGTAAGATAAGGGTAGTGATAGGCGTTGGGGTAGTGATAGGGGTTGGGGTAGTGAGATGTAGTGATAGGGGTTGGGGTAGTGAGATGTAGTGATAGGGGTTGGGGTAGTGATAGGGGTTGGGTAGTAAGATAAGGGTAGTGATAGGGGTTGGGGTAGTGATAGGGGTTGGGGTAGTGATAGGGGTTGGGGTAGTAAGATAAGGGTAGTGATAGGGGTTGGGGTAGTGATAGGGGTTGGGGTAGTGAGATGTAGTGATAGGGGTTGGGGTAGTGAGATGGAAGTGATAGGGGTTGGGGTAGTGATCGGGTTTGGGGTAGTGATAGGGGTTGGGGTAGTGATAGGGGTTGGGGTAGTAAGATAAGGGTAGTGATAGGGGTTGGGGTAGTGATAGGGGCTGGGGTAGTGATAGGGGCTGGGGTAGTGATAGGGGCTGGGGTAGTGATAGGGGCTGGGCGAGACCTGGTCGTAGCTGGGGGACTATCAGTAGTCGCTGGATCGTGGGCTAGGGGAGAAGAGATGGAGGTTGTTTTAGGGGAGGAAGTGGAGATGATTGTTTGACGTGCTGTGGGAGTTTGCTTCACCTTTATTAATGATCACCGCTGATGATTCTGAAACAACTAAAACCACCGATGTAAATGCCCCAAACATCCCTCATGTAGCCGCGCCCTCCTGAAAACGCGTTTTGAGACTCGGGCGAGGCCTTCCCACGTAAGCCGATGATGCCACGGGTGAGGGATGCGTCCTCGCTAAATACGATACCACACGGGGACGGCGGGCAGCAGCAGTGCTGTACACGTTTATTTATAAAAAAACAAAACAAATGACACCCGCACCAAACGAAACAAAAACCGACTCGGTACGAACATTCACTTACAATTCACGGGGAGGAGACACGGGGAGGGAGACACAGAGGCACAGGAACGAGACACGGGGAGGCACAGGGAGGCACAGGGAGACACAGGGAGGAGACACAGCGAGACATGGGGAGGAGACACAGGGAGGCCAATTTTACTCGCCTCTCCCTTCTGTGTCGAGACTACGGTTCCAGTCACTCACTACCTACTCACTCTGTGTCGTGTCGGTGTTGTTGTCACTGTTGTCAGTCTGTATCTTCCCATCACTTGGCAAAGGCCTCCACCCCATCCTAAAGCCACCACCTGAGTACGGCCATTATCCGTGCATGGCCCAACCCCGGCCCACAAACTGTGCCGAGGAACCGAGTCTGAAGACACTGGCCTTGAAGGTGGTCTCCTGCAGCTCGGTCTCAATCGAGACTCTGATCTTCTGAACCCTCACGACCCATCTCAACAACTGGATGCCTCAGGGGGCTCCACCCCCTGCCCACAAATCCGTCGCGCGCAACCTGGCACCGTGCTCCCTGCACTGTGCCCAGATGTCTCCGCGTATCCATCTCCTGGGGTCTCCCCGCTTACCCCTATCTCTTTGTTTCTATGTCCCCATATTTCTGCATTTCCCTGCCCCCACATGCCTGTGTCCCCATGTCTCATCATCCCTGTGTCCCATAATTCCCTGTGTCCCCACATCTTTGTTTTGGCCATGTCTCATCTTCTCCGTGTCCCTGCATCTCCACATCTCTTTGTCCTCGCATGCCATTGTCCCCGTGTCTCATCGTCCCCACGTCCTCATCTCTCTTCGTTGCCACGTCCCTGTATCTCCGTGTCCCCTGCATCTCATCGCCCCCATGTCCCCATGTCTCTGTGTCCCCATGTCTCTGTGTCTCCGTGTCTCCACGTCCCCGTGTCTACTGCTTCTGCTGTGTGGCCTCCTTGCGCGCGGCATCCTGCAGGAGCTGCGTGTCCACCTCGTCTGCCGGGAGCTGCACGTAGCGGACGACCGAACCTCGGATAAAGCAGTTCTTCACCGAGAGCTACAGGGACAAGGGGGGGGGGGAGAGAGAGAGAACGATAGAGAGGGAGGGAAAGAGACAGAGGTGGGGAGAGAGGAAGGAAAAGAGAGACAGAGGAGGCAAGAGGGTGGGATTGAAATATGGTGATGAATTTTCCAGCAATAATAACTCGCTACATTTGAGAACCCAGTTTAATCTGTGCGAGTGTATGGGCCTCCATGCTAAACTATTTACATTTTTTTATTTTACCAGGTAAGGCCCACTGGAGCTATATAGCTATTAACTCTCTTGCCTGGTATAGAGGTCATGGGTTTGATCCCAACCCTGATGCCTGTTGTAAATTTGGAGTTTGCGTATCTCTCCGTGGTCGCGTGTATTTTTATCCGGGTCCTCAGGTTTTTCTCTCCACATTTAGAATCAACATCACAGGTAAGAGTATTTGGCTGCGATAAAGCCACTTCATAGAGCTGTCGTTTGTGGCCAGGTCGCTTATGAATAAAATAAAAAGCTAAACAGCAGAATAAATAAAAAGTAATGGGAGAGTGAAGGGTCACCACTCACCATGTGTGGGTACTTCTCGGGGTCAGTGACACTGATGTCGGTCAGCTTGATGTTCAGGTACTGCAGAGGGCGAGACCCACACAGGTCAGGTCAATGGTCACAGCACACACACAAGTTACGTCCAGCTAAATGTTCCTCATCGGGAATAAGTCCACAGAGTAGAACACTCCAGTGTGAACGGCCAACTCCTACCTCTCCCCTCACTCTACTCCCCTCTACGCACTCTCCTACTTCTCCCCTCTCATCTCACTCTACTCCCTTCCACACACTCTCCTACCTCTCCCCTCTCATATCACTCACCTAATCTCCTCCACTCACTCTACTGTCTCTCCCGTCTCATCTAACTCTACTAATCCCCTCCTAGTGCACAACACCTGGCAAGCCCTGGCGGTCACCCACCAATGTACTCGGCGGGTTCAATCCTGATTAGCGTCTGAGACCGAACGAGATTGGGCACATTGAGGGCGATTTGGTTGCACACAAACTCACCTGATCTACGGAGTGTAGCGTCCCACAGATACTGTGGGTGAACAGAGGACAGTGTTACACCACACACAGCATCACCACACACTACATACGCCCATCACCAACACACTACTTACATCACAACACATACTCATTGTGTTCTGTGGGCCTGTGTGTAAGCTATAGGTGATTAAGTCTGTGTGTGAATATATGGGTATCTATATGACCTTATGGATGTCTATAAAAGTCTACAGTTTTTTTACAAGAATATTAGTTTCTGTGTGGGTCATTAGTGACCGGACCGAGACTCAATTTGCTACACTTATGAACCGAGTTTAATCACAACTCACTCTGTGTATAAGCGCGCACATTTCTGTGTGTCTAATGGGTCTCTGTCTCTATGTGAGTCACTGGTGACCCAGCTGAGACCTTCAACTCGCTGCGCTTGAGAACCCAGTTTCACCAGTGGTTGGGTGGCTGATATCCGAATTCGAACCCAGGTCCTGGATGTTACCTGAGGTCATTCTTGAGCTCCACCACCACGTCTTTGCCCACCAGGGACTTGAAGAATGAGTAGAACAACTGTGAGACACACACACACATCATCATCAGCCGTGACCTATCTACTGCTGGATGAAAGCCTCCCCAAGCCATCTCTGTCTCTCACACACCACCTCGGGATGCCTAAATCGCTGAAGCACTCGAGCCAATTCCATCGCTCCATCTCCACAGTGGCCATCCCCTCGGTGCATTCCCTCCTTTGGCTGTGGCTCTATCGTTCGCGTGCCGGGGTGGCGAGATGTTAACTACCTCGCCTGGTATACAGGACGTTGCGGGTTCGATCATAACCCTGATGCCTGCTGCATATTTGGAGTTTGCGGTGTCTCTCTCCCCATGGTCGCGTTGACTTTTCTGCGGGTCCTCCATCTGTTTTTTCCCTCCACATTTGAAATCAACATGCGTTTAGTGTATTTGGCTGCTGCTATAAATTTCCACAGGCCACCTCGTTGGGTGATCATTTGTGGCCAGGTCTCTTCTGAAAAAGAGATACATAGCTCAGTGGGCCTTACCTGGTAACATAAAATAGTTTAGCTTTGGTCAAGTTTTACACATTGCACCAAGTACTCATTTTAGGCCGAGTCGACCGATTGAGGCGCAGGACTGGTGCAGATATTCTTCACTTGTGTTGGTGGCCGTGAGTGGGAATCGAACTGTTATCCAACAGGTTTAGAGTGCAGTGCGCTAACCGCTGTACAACTCCCCACAACCAGCAGCAAATAGCGCACACACACACGGCAGACAAGCCGAGGGAGCGTTTTTTCCGTAAAAACTTAACATTTGATAATTCCGGGTTTGATACAAAACACACTCGGCCGGTAGCAGAGGGCGCACAGACTATGGCGGAGCCAGAATTTTCAGGTATGGGGAGCAACCCCTCCAGCAATGAAAAATGATAGAGGAGTTGTTAGTAAGGACTTGTCCCTTGCTTTTTAATCGAGCCATCGATCGAGGGTCGAATTCAAACCGTGTGTGATCGGCATCACGCTCGCTGAAGGTGAATGAATGCCTTCAGGGAAGTCGTGTACTGTATACGCAACTGCGCACAATTCTGAGTCGCTTATAACTGCTTTGCCATTACTTATTGCCAATTATGGACTCAAGACTATTGTCCTATCATCTCATAGTCCCTGGGACGTAATAATATGATACACAGTGGCAGTGGGGGTCTCAAAATGCCGATTTATTACTAATAAACCCCAATGATCCGATCGAAATTAGGGATTTCTATCGGATCATTGGGGGGGGGGGGGCACGTGCCACCCCACCCCCACTGGCTCCGCCAGTGCACACAGATAATTAGTGTGGCAGTAGAGGGAAACAAAGGTGGCAGGGCAGGGGAGAATCCAAAGCGGTTGCACAGAGTATAAATAACTCCCTCCATCGTTGCGTCTGGCCGGGACGCATCCTGTTCAAGCCTCACTCACTTCTCAAGGGGGTAAGGTCTCTACGCTGCGCGTGTTCTCAAATCCGTGATTTTTTTTGTCAGTGTCGATATCGACACAGGAAGACTTAATACTGCACACAAACTTTCATTTAAATTTTACCAAGCAAGGCCCACTGAGATATACAGCTCTTTTTCAGAAGCGACCTGGCTACCACAAATAATACCTCGACGAAGCTAATTATCACATACACATTTATAGCAGCGAAATACGCGACCACAGGGAGAACACGCAAACTCCAAATATACAGCAGCAGCAGCAGGCGTCAGGGTCGGGATCGATCCCACGACCTCCTGCATACCAGGCGAGGGAGTTAACATCTCCTGGCCACCGTGATGATGATGAGAGAGAGACACGCAAACTCCAAATATACAGCAGCAGCAGCAGGCGTCAGGGTCGGGATCGATCCCACGACCTCCTGTAGACCAGGCGAGGTAGTTAACATCTCCTAGCCACCACGGTGCCACAAAAACTATCGGCATTCGCCACTAAGTGGCGGTGACGTCACCTCAGCACTTGTGCCAGGCTAGGTGCACGTGAGGCGTGGAAGCCCCTTGCTGCCGACAGGCGACGGGACAGGTGTTATGGGTTAACTGCAATAAAAAAATGATTCCTCGTGTAGCCTGAGCAGGCTGTCGGGGCAAGTGCTGTTAGCGAGCACCTATAAAGGCCGGCACGGCACACGAGGGGGTGGGTGGCGAGCACCACACCCGGCCGCCTTTGTCTCCCCAGTGGCGATGTTTACGCATCGCACAAGGTACTCATTTGAGGCCGAGTCGACCTAGGGGAGACCCATTTACTGGTTCATAAAACTGTCCCTGGCGTTGGCCGTGAGCGGGAATCGAACTCGGGTCGCCGGGTTCGTGGCCCAACGCGCCACAGCTCCCCACGTAACAGTCATTGGCTACTAAGCGGCGGTGAAGTCACCGCGGCGCTTGTGCCAGGCTAGGTGCACCTTACATACACACGTACAGTACGCACTGTAACACGGCTCGGTTCACTTGTGCGTACAGTGCGCGCAGCCTGGGCCTGTCCGCGTCTCTGTCGCAATTCAGCGAACCGCGTCCCACCACCGCACGCCTCCCCGCCTGTCTCTCTGCTCTGTCCCAGTGTCTCTCTGCTCTGTCCCAGTGTCTCTCTGCTCTGTCCCGGTGTCTCTCTGCTCTGTCCCGGTGTCTCTCTGCTCTGTCCCAGTGTCTCTCTGCTCTGTCCCAGTGTCTCTCTGCTCTGTCCCGGTGTCTCTCTGCTCTGTCCCGGTGTCTCTCTGCTCTGTCCCAGTGTCTCTCTGCTCTGTCCCAGTGTCTCTCTGCTCTGTCCCGGTGTCTCTCTGCTCTGTCCCGGTGTCTCTCACCATTGCTCCGTCGCCTCCTCGCTGGCCCGCTCTCTCCGCGCTCTCAAGTCTCGTTCGGGTTCTCGTGAGAACTGCCGCGAGACTTGGGCCCGCGGGATTTGCCAGATCGCCCCCCACCGCCACCTCCCCCCCACCCGACCCCCACCGCCACCTCCCCCCCACCCTACCCCCACCGCCGCCTCCCCCCCCCCCACCGCCAACCGCGCGCTGATTGGTCCGCTCCAGCCTCCAGGGCGGTTACGCTAAATTTGAATAATTTTGGCGGGAAAGTTGATTTAATATACTGTATAGACCAATATCATCCATAATTGAGTTTTTTTGGGTTAGATCGCGTAAAATATAAATGTGTCGTTGAAATCCGCCACCACCCGACACAACCAACTAGTAAGGTTTGTCACGTAAAGAGAACATGCCAAACCATAACATTCACAATCTGAATGTAAATCTAATTGTAAATACTCTTGGTTCTTTCGGTAAAGTCACGTAGGTAAAGAAAATAATAAATAAAATTTAATCACAACGTTTCGATTGCAACAAAAGCAATCATCATCAGGTGTGAACACCACAGCAAGAAAATGTTATTGCCACGTGACTTTACCGAAAGAACCAAGAGTATGGATCCTTGCAGTCACGAAAACTTCAAATCTAGTTGTAAATATTGTGGCTTTGCTCTCCAACACATCGGCGTGCTGCACGAGTAACGAATTGGCTTGACGAGACGTCGCTGGACTCACTGGTACAGGCAGTCCCCGACTTACGACGGAGATGCGTTACGACGACCCCATCGTAAGTCAAAAATGTCGTAAGTCGAAGATGGCCTAGCCTACCCAGGAGTCTTAAAGAATGGGGATAATTTAGCAAAACAGAGCAATTTACAGTACCGTACTGTATAAACTGTATATTGTACGTATTTATTAATTACAATACTGTATTGCACAGTAAAATGTGAAGTAAAAAAAAGGTTAATTCTTAGCCTACCTATATGAACTGCAATTTAATAGAAAGTTTTTTCAGGAAACAATCCTATCTGCTATAAAAACTTTTAACATGCATTGAACGTATCGTATCGTGGTAACCCTAAAATTAAATCGCTAAAGCTACGTATTATACATGCATTGCACGTAACGTATATTGTCTGTACTCACCAAGATTCTGTCCGCTAACACCGAGACAACTTAACTCTGTCGACCGCTGGTGAGAGTGAGAGGCATCATCACACAAGGCGGGAGATGCCTACAGTACATCCCGGCAGCGTCCCAATGTGCAGCATCGTACCTCGTACGCTGCTTCGTTTGCCTGCCGCGCGAAATTTTAAATATTTTACAATTTTGTCATATCGCTATCGTAAGATCGAAATATCGTAAGTCAGAACATCGTAACTCGGGGACTACCTGTATTTTAATTTTTTTTTACGTTGGTCTAGGAGATGGCGGTGTGCTTCCCATAGTGGAAGAGGAGGCTCAAAGTTATTTGTGGGTGACTCGATGCCTGCGGGCCCACGAGGGGATGAGCCAGCGGACTCGGGTGGTGGCTCGGATGGAGGGGAGCCCCGACTCCGTCGGCTGCGCCTCCTGCCCGGTTGACGGACAAGGAGCGCCGTCGCTGATGCCCCCCTCATCGCGGCAGCAGCAGATATCACCGGTGCCCCCGGGAGGTGGTGGCGGCGGTCCGTGGATGGGCCGGGCCCAGGAGAGAGATGGCGATTCCGCGACGGGGGTCGTTGCGGCCGACCCGGCCACATCGCGCAGAGTTGCAAGAGCGACCCGCTGCAAGCGACAAAGACGGCGTCCAACTCTCCATCAACTACCGCGGCACTTCAACACCAGGCGAATCGTGACACCTCAGACAGACGGCTAAAAAAATCACCTCATTCATCGAGGGACTCATCGTCACTCACCGCGTCCATCACCATGTCGCATGTACCATCTAAATCGACGAGCGTCGGGGGTAACGAGGTCGCGAAATCTCCTAAAGAAGGTCGGGACTCGCTTTTCAACCGGTGGCCCGAGTCGGGCAACCAGTGGAAGAAGCTGTCTTGGAGGGTTCTAGCGGCAGCCACGGGAACCTCTGTGGTCTTGGGTTCAGTGGGCGGAGTGGCGGTACGCTTATAATTTATTGATACTGGAGCGTCGGCTACTATTATTTCCAATTATATATTTGACTTGTTGCCGCCCAACACTCGCTGTTTAACGTCGATACGAACAGGTATGTGGCGGCAAACGGCGCTAAGGGGCCGTCCATAAATGACGTCACGCGATTTTGGACGATTTTTTAACCCCCCCCCACCCCTTTGTCACACGACGTCACAAAAAGTCAGACCCCCCCTCAAATATGACGTCACAAATCGCTTTAAACTATTGTCATTGTAGTGCGTATTTAATGTGGCGCTGCACTCTGATGTTGTAGGAGAAAACATTGATTAAAAAGTCTATTTCAATAAGTAGAACGTGTTGTCTATATTTATTTAAAGTTGCGCATTTTGATGTGACGTCACATTTCTCAACCCCCCCCCCCCTCGTCACACATCGTCACAAATGTCTGACCCCCCCCCGAGGTGCGTGACGTCATTTATGGACGGCCCCTAACATGGGAATTATGGGAAAAGTCGTTGCACAAGTGCAAATTGGGGAACTCGCCTTGACGGGACTCACTTTAGTTTCAACTATGCTAGCGGCCCCATGCGTGCTGGGAACCGACTTTTAAAACAATTGCCGTTGCGTATACTCACTGATTGATGCTGCATTGAAACGCCGTCCGCAACTCGCATTTTTTTTCTAAAACCAACAGAAAAATATTCCGAGACGGGCATGACAGTGCAGGCATTGGTGAGTGAATCTGTGAATATACCTCCAAGCGCGCAAATGTTAATACCATTGAGATACCGCAAATAAATAACTAATACGCGCACCGAGTGGTCGCTTTTGATTGCTCCATTGCATGCGACGACTCGCAGATTGATGTTAGCAGCAGCACAGACAGTCATAAGAGCGGACCAAAAGCCGTTCTTACAGATGTAGTGTAATAACGCTGGCTGCTGACGGAAAAGTGGTACTGACAGCAGAGGGCAGTATACACACGTCAGCAGAGGGAGTATATATGTACAGGGGTGAGGAGAACTAAAGAGAAGCTCAGGAAGGGGTCCATCTGGAAGCCCGGGAACCTGCTAGTAGGTTCCAGAAAGGGGGTGTGGCGAGGGCGGAGCGAGGCCACGCCAGGAGGATAAAAGGGGGCCTGGGGCGAGAGCTCGGGGCTGTTGCTGGAAGTGGATCCCCCTCGCTGCGTCGCTGTTCGTCACCTTCGTCGCTGCCGTCTTGACCACCCTTAGACGTCGCTGGCTAGACAGCCTGCCAACTGTACTAGCTAGATACTGCCGTCAAAAGACACGGATGTGTGACTAGTGTGTAAGCACGTAGGGTGTCTGTACTTCCCTGACGTGTGGAATAAAGAAGGTGCCTTAACGAACCCTGTCTCCGAAGTGAGTCACTCCACGTATTGAATGTCGGGGAGCAACCGATTGCGGTGCAAGCAGGGACCGTATTATTGCACGCAGGACTTGTAATTATGGAGACGGTGGACCCAACATAAACTGTAATAGCAGGAGTCGCTGTCGATGTTTCGTCAGCCGAGGAGAGTTGGATAAATACATTGTGGAGTGAGAATGCTGAACTGTCCGAAGAGCAAAGCGGCCAAGATAACTGCTCCTGCAATTCTCCAATTTATTCAGCAGGGGGCAGTATGACACAGGGCGATATAAGCCTTGCTGAATATCACATCGACACACGAGATTCTCCCCCTATTCGGAAAAATTAATATCGTATGAGCCCCGTCGGAAAATCACACGTACAGTTGATTGGTAGATGAGATGTTAGCGGCGAACATGATTTCTCCATTTACCTTCCCTTGTGGAGCTACTGTGGTCCTTGTGAAAAAGCCAGATGGCAGTTTGAGATTTTGTGTTGATTTCCGCCGCCTAAATAAGGTCACGTTGGCTGATGCATATCCGCTCCCGCACATTGACGACTCATTAGACGCATTGTCAGGGGCAAAACATTTTTGTACGACGGACTTTGGCAACTCCCCTTGGACAGCGCCTCGAGGGCCTAAACGGCATTTCGTACACCTCAGGGGTTGTATGAGTTTAATTGCCTTCCGATGGGCTTACAATTTGCCCCGGCCACATTCCAAAGGCTTATGGAACTGGGGCTACAGTGGGAGTCATGGCTCATATACTTGGATGGAGTCATCGTGTTCGGTTGCTCGTCTGATGAACAGCCGCAACGGTTGCGCATGGTGCTGCCTAGGGTACGCTCAGCCAACTTAAAATTAAAACCGTCCAAATGTCATTTGATGCAAACGTCGGTGCAATATTTGAGGCATGTGGTAAGCGTGTCGGGTGTTGCTACTGATCCCGAGAAAACTGCGTGTGTGCAAAATTGTCCAACCCCTAATTCAGTGAGTAATGTACACAGTTTTGTCGGGTTCACGTCATGTTATCGGCGATTTTTTTCCGAATTTCGCCACAATCACGAAGCCCCTGCATATGTTAAATAAGAGCCAAACATTTCATTGGGGGATGGAGGAAGAAACAGCCTTTGTCAGGCTGCGCGATCGGCTCACGGATACTCCGCCCTTAGCATACCCAGACTTCCCCCTGCCCTTCATCTTCGACGCCAGTGATCTCGGCATAGGAGCTGTTCTGTCAGCTGAAGGACAGGGTTGAAGTCGTACTCGCTTACGGTAGTCGCGTTCTATCACTGGCGGACTCGCAGAGAATTGCTGGCGGTTGTGTACTTTGTCCAACTATACAGACCCCATAACAATAGGGTTTACTCTTTCTGGCAAAAAAGCAGGTGTCAAGATGTTAAAACACCAAACGAATCCTTATTCAAGGGATCATGTCTTCATTAATCACACGTACTTGTGGTGAACATGCAAACAAAAAACATGCTCTTTTTATTTACCATAAAGGGTAAAACCTATTGCTATATTTTAATACTGACAATAAATGTCGCGTATTGTAGCTGCTCACCCCGAGCTACAAATGCCCTGATAGTGGCACTATCTTTGTGCTGTTCGCCTTTTGGCGTTCTCTGGTCTAACACTTTGAGACTAGGCCCTAAATAAAGTTGTCCCTGGTGTGGACCAATCAGTTTCAACGACAATGCATCATATTACAAGTACGTGTGGTTAATGCAGACAGGATTCCTTGAATACGATTTCTGTTTGGTGTTTTAACATATTGACACCTGTTTTTTTGCTAGAAAGGGTAAAACCTATTGTTATAATTTAATACTGTCAAGAAAGGTTCATATCACTGCCCATAGACTCAACACTGCAGATAGATTCAACACCACCACGACTGAAAACCGCCCATAGGCTCAAAACTGCCCATAGACAATACTGCCGATCAACACTGACAACAGTCAACACTGCCCATAGTCTCAATGCTGCCCATAGACTCAAAATCGCCCATAGTCAACAGCGCCCATAGATTAAATACCATGGATAGACGCAACGCTGCCCTTAGAATCAACACTGCACATTTACTCTACACCGACCATAGAGTCAACACCGCACATTGACTCAAAACACTACCCATAGACGAGCACTGCCATGAAAATCAACACTGGGGTGCCATGGTGGAGAGATGTTAACTACCTCGCCTGGTATACAGGACGTGGTTTCGATCCCGACCCTGACGCCTGGATATTTGGAGTTTGCATCTTCTCCCTGTGATGGCGTGGATTTCCTCCAAGTCCTCTGATTTTTATCTCTAAGTTTAGAATCAACATCACACGTTTTGATTATTTGGCCGCCATAAATTTACACATGATGATAAGCCACTTAGTTGAGTTATCATTTGTGGTTACGTCGCTTCGGAAAAGGAGCTGCATAGCTCAATGGGCCTAACCTGGTAAAAAACAATTATATGGAGTTTAGCTGACAGTTTACTGCATATAGACTAAACGCTGCCCATTGACTCAACGCTGCCCTTAGACTCAACACTGCACATAGACTAAGCACTGCCCATAGACTCAGCACTACCCATAGACTCAGCACTGCCCATAGACTCAACACTGCCTATAGACTCAGCACTGCCCATGGACTCAACACTGCCCATAGACTCAGCACTGCCCATAGACTCAACACTGCACCATAAACTCCGCACTGCCCATAAACTAAAAACTGCCCATAGACTCAGCACTGCCCATAGACTCAACACTGCCCATAGACTCAGCTCTGCCCATAGACTCAACAAAACCCATTGACTCAACACTGTCCATAGACTCAACACTGCCCATTAACTGACACTGCCCATAGACTCAACACTACCCATAGACTCAGCACTGCCCATAGACTCAGCACTGCCCATAAACTCAACACTGCCCATATACTCAACACTACCCATAGACTCAACGCTGCCCATAGACTCAACACTACCCATAGACTCAGCACTGCCCATAGACTCAACACTGCCCATAGACTCAACACTATCCATAGACTCAGCACTGCCCATAGACTCAACACTGCCCATAGACTCAACACTACCCATAGACTCAACGCTGCCCATAGACTCAACACTACCCATAGACTCAACACTACCCATAGACTCAACACTGCCCATAGACTCAACACTACCCATAGACTCAACACTGCCCATAGACTCAACACTACCCATAGACTCAACACTGCCCATAGACTCAACACTGCCCATAGACTCAACACTGCCCATAGACTCAACACTGCCCATAGACTCAGCACTGTCCCCGTGCATTGAACAGTTCCTCTCGTACCGTCCCATTCTTAGAGCCTCACTTCTTCTCGATCGCCCGTTCCCTCTTCCCTCCCCTCGCACCATCAACTCATTCCAGGCCCTCATCCCACACCTCTTCGTAACCCCCTAAGTGCCCCTCTGTCACGGTCATTCGCACCTAACCTTCTGTACGCTCCATCTAAATCATTCTGTCGCACTGTCACCACTTCATTGTTTAAACGATGTCAAGCGTCTTGAGTCAAGGCGCTCCACATCGCATAAGGGGCCGTCCATAAATGACGTCACGCGATTTTGGATGATTTTTGACCCCCCTTCCTCCATTGTCACACGGCGTCACAAACAGTCAGACCCCCCCTCAAATATGACGTCACAAAGCTCTGCCCCCCCCCCCCCAAATAAAACATGCTTCAAATCGCTTTAAACTATTGCCATTTTAGTGCGTATTTAATGTGGCGCTGTACTCTGATGTTGTAGGATAAAACATTTATTAAAGTCTATTTAATTAAGTAGACCGTGTTGTCTATATTTATTTAAAGTTGCGCATTTTTACGTGACGTTACATTTCTGAAATCTCCCCCCCTCGTCACACATCGTCACAAATGTCTGACCCCCCCCCCTAGGTGCGTGACGTCATTTATGGATGGCCCCTAAGATTGTCTCAGCAGCCAAAGTCGCGCTTGCTTGCCACACCCGTGTTGATTCTCGTTTCTGACATATTTGTGCAAATGTTGAAATGCCTTTATCCATGTTTCTGCCTGTTTGTTTTTTCACTCTCTTCCTCTTTTTTTGCGTTTGCTTTTGTCGCCCAGGTCTTCATTGAAGGGAACTGTTTACTCTCTTCAACTCTGAGTTACCTTTGCCACTCGTGCAATATAACAAGTACAAAAAATAACGCCTTCTGCGCTGAAATAGCCAAAGTGAACGGTTGGTGATATATCAGCCAAGGGAAGGAAGAAAAAATACAGCGAGCCACCCCGCCCCAGGGCGCCACGGTGCCGAGGAGATGTTGACTACCTCGCATGGTATACAGGAGGTCGTGGGTTCGATCCCGACCCTGACGCCACACGACTCAGTGGGACCCTACCTGGTCAAATAAAAAAAAACACTTTTGTTTAAGCAAAACTAATCGGGCCCTCTAAACACGTGCGTGCGTGCGTGTGAGTGTGTGGTTGGAGGCCAACACCAGTGACGATTATCTGAACCGGTCCTGCCCCCCCCCCTAAGTCGATTCAGTCTTGATTGAGTACCTGGTGCCGTGTGTAATTATATGCCACTAGGGAGACAAAATCTGTAGTTCTGGCCACACACCCCCTTCACGAGCCCTGCCGGCCTTCATAGGCGCTCGCTAACATCACTTGCCTCAAGTGTCTGTTAATGCTATACAGGGAATCTCTGTCTTTGTAACAGCAATTGCTCCTACTGTCTGTCACTGATATATGCGGGATGTTTGTTGTGTTAGTGTTGTATAGAGCGGGGAGCACAGGTGGTGCATCTGCTGACCATCTCGGGCAGTCAACCCACGGCACCTGATGAGTACATCATCATGCACCGTTCCAGCCTTCATAGGTGCTCGCAAACAGAACATGCCCCAGGAGTCTGTTGAAGGCTATATGGGGGATCTCTGTCTTATGTTTGGTGGAGTGCGAGGCTATGGAGACTCCCGCACACAAACACCTTCGAATAGTCAGTGGCAGAGGTGATGGCACGGTTCAGAGATCAAGAGACAACGCCCTCTTCTTCTTTCGTACGACTGAACCCAAGGTCACTGAGCGCTTGGGTTCAATTTCGAGCTTTTCCAAGGGCACGTGTTTCTGTTTCAGAGCCGTCAAAGCCTACACGGAGCTATTTCTCTGCGGTTGTTGTTGTTGTCGTTTGTGTGTTCGTCAATGAAAACCTCCAAAGATTTCGTAAACATAAAAATTCCATTGTCCGTCCTGCCTATTGCTCCACCACGGGCAATGTGGGGGACCACCTTAGCCCTGTACACACCTTTTAACTAAACACAGGTATAATACCTCTCTAGGAGTGAATAATGACTACACATGCTCACCCCCGCCGCACCTCACCACTCGATATGTAATGAGGAAGCAATCACGTTAGATGTACAATGTCACATTCCGGGGAAACAAAGAGTGTTTGATTTTGGTGACAAGGTTAAAATTCTTGCATTATTCAACCTCCCTGACCCCGACCGCCCGTGCCTCGGCCACCTTTAGGAAAGTCAAGAAAAGCTGAATGCAGTGTTGATGATGGTGGTGAGGATGGTGAGTCTGTTGGTATAAATATTGGGGCAGAGGACTGAGTTTAGCAGCGAGGCAGGCGAAGGGTCTCTGTCTGTCCGAAGGAAAAGAGATCTACTCCACACGCCGCGTGTGACAACACAAGGTCGGTATTGCACGCATCACAACACACATACACACGTGACCATCTATGATCCTCATGGCAGTACCCCGGGATACCAAATAATAAAAAATGGCAGAGGCAATTAAATGTTTTATTTCTGGGACACTATTGTTTTCAGGGGTGTTACTTATCTCCGCGACTGGGGTACCAATCAATCCGACATCACTGCTACACTCCGCGATGTTGAAACGCAGCGAGGACGATGATTGCGCCGAAACCCTGAACGATCGTACGCACCGTAGCGGTGCATCGTGTACAGCTCGTCGAGATGAGTCGATTGCCGCATCGGCGACCATCAGCAGACTAAACATCACTGCATCACGGACTATGGTTCCCCGGAGTACTGCCGTAAGGTTCATATATAGTTATATATGAACTAGGACAAAGATCCCCTGTATAGCTTGAACAGAATGTTGGGGCAAGTGCTGTTAGCGAGTAGCACCTATGAAGGCAAACACACCACACGAGGGGGTGGGTGGTCAGCACCATGCCCGGCCGCCTTTATCTCTCCACTTCTGATGTTGTTTCCGCACTGCACCAGGTACTTATTTTAAGTCGACCTAGGGGAGGCCCCAGGACCGGTTCAGATAATTATCACCGGTGTTGGCCGTGAGTGGGAATCAAACTCGGGTCTCAGATGCAGAAAAGCTGGTCTCATACCTTCATCTCATCTCCTTCACATCATATTACACCCGTGTTGGCCTCCCTCCACTGGCTTCCAGTTTCACGTAGAATACAGTTTAAAATCCTATTGTTAACTTTCAAAGCAGTGAACCATCTTGCCCCAGCCTACATCACTGACATGCTGCACCCATATGTCCCCTCAAGGTCCCCATGATCTGGGGATGCAGATCTTCTCTGCATTCCCAGGTCGAGGTTTCGGTGTATATGGGTGGCTGAGCTTTTTCCCGTGTAGCCCCCAGGCTATGGAACGCTCTTCCACAAAATATCAGGATCTCTGAATCTGGATATTTAAAAAATGCACCTTAAAACCTATTCATGCGCTTCCGCTTATTAAATGTGTAGTTCTTTAAGTAAATCATTTTAAAAATGTATTCATAATATTATTTTTATGCTGAGTGTCTGCTGCTGCTGTGGCCTGTATAGCGCTTTGAGATCTTTGATGAAAGCGCGATATAAATGTAAGTTTAACACGTGTGAGGCTTTCGCGACCAATAGTATTCATAATCAACGTTTTTGAGTTTAGATCGCGTTATTTATAAATGTGTCGTAACCTTCCACCACCCGACACGGCCAATCAGTAAAAAAGTGTCACGTTCACAAAAGACAAAGAGTTCACTGCTTTAGCCCACTGGTGTGTTGAAGCCACAACATTTACAATTTGAGTAGCACGACGTTTCGCTGGTAATTGCATCCAGCATCATCGGGCAATTCGCCAGAATGGTGAGGCTCTGCTGTGTCTCCCGTTCTTATATAAATGTAATTGTTGGCGTTATTGGGAGAGGCACAACGATTTCCGGACATGGGATTTTATCTTTGATTTTGGGGGGAAATTGTTCATTTCTGACATACGGAAAATTGGGGTTACGGATCGTTATGGGGAACCTAACCCTTCCGTAACCCGGGGACTGTCTGTATATACATACCCATGTATACATACGGCAGTCCTCGACTTAAGAACAGGTTCCGTTCCCGATAGCCGTTCGTAAGTCGAGCGGTTGGTAAGTTGGAACACAATAATGTACGACTGCATTTAAATGCACATAGGTCAGTGTTATGAGCTGTGTTACGGTTCACAGGGGGTGGACATAGCATGAAATCACTTGGGGAACTCAGATGTGCCGAGCGTAGTGAGGTAAAAATATTTTTTTATTTTATAAATATTGACACCAGGGGTCGAGTGACCCCAAACATATATTTATAGGACAGCGAGAGGAGCCATGTTCTCGAAGGGATTCCTTTGTTATTGCCTTAAAAAAAACACACGCGCACGCATTCATAATAACACTCGGGATGTACACTGTTGGGGCGCCATGGTGGAGAGATGTTAACTACCTCGCCTGGTATGCAGGAGCTCGTGGGTTCGACCCTGACGCCTGCTGCTGTATATGTAGAGTTTGCAAGTCTCTCTCCCTGTTGCCGCGTGGATTTTCTCCGGGTCCTCTGTTTCCCCCCCCTCACATTTAGAAACACGAGTTTATAGTATTTGGCTGTTCGAAATGTCCAAGTGACAATCCACTTCGTTGAGCTATTATTTGTGATAGCCAGGTCGCATCTGAAAAATAACTATTTATAGCTCAGTGAGCCTTAATAAATCGGGTCCTGTATTTTTTTGTCACTACCTAAGTCTTATTTGTAGACTAATCTATGACGAGGCAGCGAGGAAAACCCCACTCTTAATCTCATATACACGTAACTTTTATAGTAAAAAGTTTAAATACAGAACATCGGAACTGAGCTGGTAGCTACACTTTAGGCTGGTCTTGCATCTCAAAATTTCCGAAGGGAAAAAAACTTTGTTAAATACATATATATGTTACATATATTTTAAAGTAAAATATGCTAGATAATTAAACGGCACAAAATACCAAAAATGCTTTTTTTAATCGTTAAAGCGTTAATACGGCCTATAAAGAAAGAAAGTTCCTATCACTATTAAGTCATTGATTTCGACAGCAATTGAATCAAACACATTTTTTGTAACACACAGCATCAAAACGGGGAGTTCACTGTGTCCGGCTTCCGTTCTTGAGACCCGTTCGTAAGTCGCACGGTCCATAAGTTGGAACGCTGCAATGGACTGCTGCATTTAAATGCACGTGCAGTCAAGGGTTATATAATGTGTTACAGTTCAACGAAAAAGGGAAGCACTGCCAAACTCATAAATAATAATAAATATTGTACATTGGCATGTAATCATGAAATAAATGTTGTAGAGTAAATAAAAAAGTAACATGAATAGAAAAAAATAAATCAGTTTTAATTTCACTTACCTTGAGTCCCGATGCTGGCTTGCTTGTCGGAAGGGGCACGCAATGAGTCAACACACACGGGGCACGCGCGGACGCACACAAGACAAAGATGCACACAAAGACACGCACACAAAGGCACACATGCACACACACTCAAAGATCCCCCATGTAGCTACCATAGACTGTAGGGGCAAGTGCTGTTAGCGAGCAGCGCCTATGAAGGCCGGCACGGCACAAACGGGGGTGGGTGGCCAGCACCACGCCCGACCGCCTTTGTCTCCCCAGTGGCGATGTTTACACACCGCAACAGGTCCTCATTTGAGGCTGATTCGACCTAGGGGAGGCACAGGTACTGGTTCAGATAATCGTCACTGGGTGTTGGCCGTGAGCGAGAATCAAACTCGGGTAGCCAAGTTCGTAGTGCAGTGTGCTGACCGCTACACTGCCGCTCACTCCCCCGCAGCCATATTTGAATCTAGATTTGAAGTTTTCGTGACTGCAGGAATCCTACTCTTTGGTTCTTTCGGTAAAGTCACGTAGGTATAAGAAATAAATAAATTAAATCACGACGTTTCGGGCGCAACACAACCACAGAAAGAAACAATTTATTTATACCTACGTGACTTTACCGAAAGAACCAAAGAGTAGGATTCCTGCAGTCACGAAAACTTCAAATCTAGATTCATATATGCACACGCACATACATATACACACGCACATACACACACGCACATACACACTCACATACACACGCACATACACATACACACACGTACATACACACTCACATACACACACGCACATACACACTCACATACACACTCGCACATACACACTCACATACACACACGCACATACACACTCACATACACACTCACATACACACGCACATACACACTCACATACACATTCACATACACACTTGCACATACACACTCGCACCTACACACGCACATACACACTCACACACTCGCACATACACTCACATACACAACAACCGCCATTTGCCACTAAGTGGCTGTGACGTCACCACGACGCTTGTGCCAGGCCAAGTGCACCTTGAGGCCACGTGAAGTGTCGAACGCCCGCTGGCAGGAGGTCACGGGGCAGACCCAGGTGCCACGGGTCGACTGACCGAGATGACCGAGATGACTGGCTGATGCACCACCTGTGCCCCCTACTGAACCAACTTGCTGTGCTTTAGCCACCCGGTGCTCCGCTCGTTGTTGTGAGCGTCGCTCCTCCGCCCTCCGTTATTGTTGGAGGGCGACTGCCTCCAACTGCCCAGTAGCGTCCTTCACGAGCCTCCTCCACAGAGGCCGATCTTGACACTGCTGGTACCAGTCATCGGCATGTCCACTCAGCTCCATGTCCTCCTGTACCACATCACTCCATCTCCTCTCTACCCCCTGCCGCGCCCGTTTAGCCCCCTCGATCCGGCCGAACAAAAGCTGTTTAGGCATGCGGTGGCTGGGCATGCGGGCTACATGACCCAGTCAACGCAGCCTTGCCTGCCGGAGGAGCTCACCGATGGGACTTTGCCCAGATCTTTCAAGGATTTGTGAGCTCCTCACACAATCCAGCCTGGTTAAACCCAGGATGGATCGTAGGCAGGCCAGCCTAAATGTTTTCAACCGGCGAAGATGCTCCATTAGGGGGGTCCACGTTTCGCAAGCGTAGAGAAGGGAAGGAATGACCGTGGCCGAGAAGACCTGAAGCTTCGTGCGGAGTGACAGACCAAGTAGCTTCCACACAGCGTTACGCAACCGATGAAAAGATATTGCCGCTCGACTGATTCGGAGTGAGACCTCTGCTGTTAAACTGGAGCCGGTCATAAGCACACTGCCCAGGTATGGGAAACTCTCCACTCTCTCCACAACTGCCCCATCACCGATTGGGAGTTGTGGGGGTGGAGTGTCCGATGGTACAAAATACCCAGGCAGGTGCTTAGTTTTGGTGGGGCTGATGGTAAGGCCCCACCTCTTAGTGGCACGCTCCAGTCTCAGCAGCAGCGTCTCCAACTCCTCTTCTGAATGAGCAGCTATTACCAAATCATCGGCATACATAACGTGGTTGACCAATAGGGAGCCATCCCTTTATCGCACCCGGGCGTCGATCAGCCTACCATTATATCTGTACCAAACGGAAATTCCCCCGGTACAGCTATTGAAGGCTTCACGAACTACACGGTCAAAATAGATGTTAAACTAGCTGTACTACCCGGCTTCGCCCGGGACTTGTATCCACCACGACCGGCCGCCTTTGTCTCCCCAGTGGCGATGTTAATACGCCACACCAGTGACTCGTTTTGAGGCAGAGTCCCTCCCTCACCACTCTCCCTCCCTCACCACTCTCCCTCCCTCACCACTCTCCATCCCTCACCACTCACGCCCGGCCGCCTTTGTCTCCCCAGTGGCGATGTTAATACGCCACACCAGTTAATCGTTTGAGGCTGAGTCGACCTAGGGGAGGTTCAAATAATCGTCACCGGTGGTGGCCGTGAGCGGGAATGGAACTTGGTTTGCCGGGTTGGTAGCGCAGCGTAGCGTTAAGCACTACACCCACCGCTCCTCACACACCACACACGCACAGACACACACACAGACACACATACAGACACACGCAGACACACACAGACAGACACACACACACAGACACACAGACAGCACGCTAACCACTACACTACCGCTCCCCACACACCACACACGCACACACACAGACACACACACAGACACACACACACAGACACACACAGACACAGACAGCACGCTAACCACTACACTACCGTTCCCCCTACACAACACACGCGCGCGCGTCCATAGGTACACATACACGCGCTTGCTGCAGACACACACGACTGTCAGGGTGCGTACGCCAGTAAACGACTTAAATAATAAAGCGGAAATGCTGCGCGAGGAACGCCTTAGAGCTGCAACACATTTGTGTAATGCGAGCGTAAACACACAAACACATACACACACATACACACACATACATAAACAGAGACATACACATACACACAAACACACACATACATACACACAAACACATACACAATACACACACACATACATGCAGACACACAGACAGACACATAACACACATACATACACACACATACATACACAGAAAAACATACACACACATAGATACAAACACACATACATACACACAAACACATACACACACGTACATACACACATACATACAGACACGCAGACATACACATAAACACATAAAAAAACCGACATACATACACACACATAAACACACAAACACATACACACACATACATACACACATACATAGAGACACACAGACATACACATAAACACATACACACATAGACATGACCCGGCTTCGCCCGGGACTTGGATCCACCACGCCCGGCCGCCTTTGTCTCCCCAGTGGCGATGTGAAAACGCCACACCAGTTACTCGTTTTGAGGCTGAGTCCCTCCCTCGCCACTCTCCCTCCCTCGCCACTCTCCCTCCCTCACGACTCTGTAGAGGACGTGAAACTTTTATGAATTTACCTTAGATTCGCGTGGTGGGTGTCGAGGCCTAGCACCGTGCAGAGCCTCCCGCCTCGCCTGATTTTCCCACCCGGCTGACGCTGGGTACGGGTGCCGGTCCCCCCCCCCCCCCCTCCCTAGCGCTCGAACAATACCGAGTAATGGCTATTATTTAATTAATTACGGAGCCTATGAAAGTGGCGAAGGCGTGGCTAGCCGTTGGCAGGGGCAACCGCCGTCCAATGAAACTGCAGCCCTTGGCGAAGGCGTCGCTAGCCGTTGCCAGGTCCAATGAAAGCGGCGAAGGCGTCGCTAGCCGTTGGCAGGGGCAACCGGCGTCCAATGAAAGAGCGTATGGTCCGGAGACACACAGACACACAGACAGACAGATAGACAGACAGATTCGCGATTTTATATATATAGATAATGTGGGAGCCAGAGGACATCCCTGCCGCACCCCATACACACGCACATACACACACATACACACTCATATACACACTCACATACACACACTGGCACATACACACGCACATACACACTGGCACATACACACGCACATACACACTGGCACATACACACGCACATACACACGCGCATACACACTGGCACATACACACGCACATACACTCACATACACACACACATACACACTCACATACACACTCGCAAATACATTCACACGCACATACATACATACACACTCGCATACACTCGCACGCACACACGCACATACACACACGCACATACACACGTACATACACACACGCACATACACACTCACATACACACACGAACATACACACTCACATACACACACACATACACACTCACATACACACACGCATACACACGCACATACACACACACATACACACTCACATACACACACGCATACACACGCACATTTTACTTCGCGTGGGTCGTGCACGTCGCTGGAAGGGGTTGATGGTCGACGGTCCAGGATAATGATGCAGTGGCAGCCGAGGATCGGAACGCATCCTGGAGGACATCCTCCTTGGGGACCGTGGAGATGGAGCGTTGACAGCAGTTCCCTGTGCCGGTGGCGAGGGGCGCCACGGTGGCTAGGAGATGTTGACTACCTCGCCTGGTGTGCAGGAGGTCGTGGGTTCGATCGCGACCCTGACGCCTGCTTCTGCTGCTGTATATTTTGAGTTTGCTTGTCTCTTGGTTGTCCACCCCTCGTTTGTTGTCCACCCCGCGCCCCTGCAGGAGTCCACCATGAGGCTGTGTCTGGCTCTGGCCGCACTTTTCCTGGCCCTGGGCACGACGAGTGGCTCCCACTTCCGCGGGGGAACCATCTCCTGGATTCATGGAGACGGCAATCAGGTGCGTGAGTGTGTGAGTGTCTGTGCGTGAGTGTGTGTGAGTGTGCGTAAGTGTGTGAGTGTCTGTGCGTGAGTGTGTGAGTGTGTGTGTGTGAGTGTGTGGGTGAGTGTGTGAGTGTGTGAGTGTCTGTGCGTGAGTGTGTGCGAGTGCAGTGTGAGTGTGTGTAAGTTAGTGTGTGTGAGTGTGTGTGCGTGAGTGTAGCCTCTCCCCTCATGGCGTCTGTGACCACCACAGTGGCTAAACGGGGGCTCTGGACGGGTGCCAGGGGCTGGTAACCCCTCCACCTTCAATTAATTACCACGAAACTACGAATTAAACATAAATATGTAACTGATAAGCTTGTGCCGGAGGCCCCGGGGGGACAGGCGTCTATGACGTCTCCTGGCCAAACCCCAATTGGCGGAACCAGGTGACTGAATCCTTACCCTCGGGGCTCCTCCAGAAACAACAAAAAACCACTACATGTGGCCACGTGGAATGTTCGAACGCTCACTGTGGAGGAGAGGCTGCCACTCCTTTGTCAGGAGCTGGACCAGTACCGCCTGGATCTTTGTGGCATTCAGGAGGTCCGGTAGGGGGCACAGGTGGTGCATCAGCCAGTCATCTTGGCCATCTCAGTCAGTCGACCCGTGGCACCTGGGTCTGCCCCGTGACCTCCTGCCAGCGGGCGTTCGACACTTTACGTGGCCTCAAAGTGCACATGGCCTGGCACAAGCGTCGTGGTGATGTCACCGCCACTTAGTGGCGAATGGCGGTTGTTGTTGTGTGTTCGTGAGTGTGTGTGAGAGTGAGTGTATTGGGGAGCGGTGGTGCAACGGTTAGCGCTACGCTGCACTACAAACCCGGCGACCCAAGTTCGATTCCAGCTCATGGCCACCAACGCCAGTGAAAATTATTTGAACCGGTCCTGGGCATCCCCTAGGTAGACTCAGCCTCAAATTAGTACCTGCTGCGTTGTGTAAACATCGCCACTCGGGAGACAAAGGCAGCCAGGCGTGGTGGTGGCCACCCACCCCCGCGTGTGTCGTGCCGCCTTCATAGGTGCTGCTCGCTAACAGCACTCGCCCCAACAGTCTTTTAAAGCGATAGGGGGGATCTTTGTTTGTCACTGAGGGGAGCGGTAGTGCAGCGGTTAGCGCGCTGCGGTACGAACCCGGCGACCCGAGTTTGATTCTCCTTCCCGGCCGCCTACACCGGTGACGATTATCTGAACCGTTCCCGGGCCTCCCCTAGGTCGACTCAGCCTTAACTGAGTACCTGGTGTGGAGTCCGGGAAACGTCGCCACTGGAGGAGACAAAGGCGGCTGGGCGTGGTGCTGGCCACCCACCCCCTCCTGTGCCGTTCTAGCCTTCATAGGTGCTCGCTAACAGCACTTGTCCCCTACAGTCTGTTAAAGCTTTGCTGGGGCATCTTTGTATTTGTCTGTGGTGAGACAAAGGAGGCCACTCCACCCCCTTTTGCACCGGCCCTTTCCCCAACAACCTAAAGGTGCTACAACAGGGGATATCTTATCTTCTTGGTTCTTTCGGTAAAGTCACGTAGAAGGGAAGTAATAAAATAATAAAAATAAAACATAATAAAACAATTCTCACGACGTTTCGGCCACAACGCAAGCAGCCGTCCTCAGGTGAAAACCAGGTCCGTCGAGGCGACAGAGTCTGAATGAAACAGCACACGAGCTTGGAGCATATATATAAGCTGGGCGCATTGACAAAGGAATTTGCATATCAAAAGGAATTTAGCATATTTATGGGAAATGCAGGAATGTGATTAGTACTGCATATGCATGTGCATTATGCAGGAATAACAGCATCAAAGGGAGCTGTAGTTACTGCTGCTGCAGCAGTTGCTGCTGCTGCTGCAGTTTCTGCTGCTGCTGCAGTTGCTGCTGCTGCTGCACTTGCTGCTGCTGCTGCACTTGCTGCTGCTGCTGCAGTTGCTGCCTTATCCATTTTAATATAACACTATGTATTATTCTACCCACCCTAATGTGTATCATACTGCTATATGTTTACTGTACAATTACGACACCATACATTACTCTGCACACTGCACCATGCCAGTGAGTGGAACGTGGTCTGAAAGTCACCGTAAACGTGAACACAATCAGTTAAGATCCGAAATGGTTTATTACGTCCTTCCAATGATTGCTAAGCCAGAATCCATCTTCTCGGTTGAAATTGTCTCTGTGTTTGTATATGTGGATCGCCTCATGAACGAAATTTAGGGGATATCTTAGTCTGTGTTTGGTGCAGTGTATGGCTACGGAGACTCACACAAACTTCTGCAATAGAGGTCGACCGAAATTCGGTTTCGGTTTCGGCGCCGAAAGTTGGCAAATGGCAACTTTCGGCATACTTTCGGTTTCGGCCGAAAGTCGATTTTTAACTTTCGGTCTGGTTTCGGTTTCGGGCGAAACTGATATTGACTTTCGGTCGTCAACCGAAGATCTATTTTTGGAGTATAACGCTAGTGCTACGTCTCTAACTGCCTATCGGGCTAGGCAATCCTATGAGATAGGCTACAAACACACACACGTCAGAAGCAGCTTGGGAGCGAGGTTACAGCCGCAACGATGGTCTGCTAATGTCAACAGACGGCAGCCTGCATCTGGATCCGTGGGTGGAGTCTCTTTGACGGGACGACAACAAAGTGCTTCTGTTGTCTGTGTAATGTTCTTGAAGGAGACGGAGACTTCTTAGAGGCCACACGCTTTTATTCACCAATACTTACTACACTTAACACAAGGGGTATACGGTCCCCTTACCCGTTATCCTGAGGAGGTACAGCCTCCGACCCTGCACAGCTCACACTCACACTTCGCTCCTATTCTAAGGAGCTACAGACTCCGGACTTGCCGGCTATCTAATCTCCCCCGCTAGCCTAGCATCCTCCGGCTGGGACCTAGGGGAGGCACACTGACCCGCCGCTGGCCCGGCGGGTCCCCGACCTCTGGTCGCTCGAGACCTTCGCCGTCACAAGGGCGGGAAGGCTGGTAGCCAGGGCCCTATCCAGGACCTATGTCCCCTGACCACTGGTGACTCTGAGCCCCAGCCCTGACAAGGGCTGGAAGGCTTGGTCCAGGGTCCTAGCTGTCTTCGGCCGACTTGGGTCTTCGTGTAGCAGAACTGGCCAAGAGCTCTCAGCCCTCCGATTGGTCCTTCCCAATCTGGCGTTTGGATCCTACCTCACCCCATTTGTCCCTAACTGTTTGATTGAGCGGGAAAACCTTGTTTACTAATTGCTCTCTCACAGCTTACGAACAGCGAGTAGTTATCACTACTACATCTGTTCCCAGCCGCCTGCTCGCCTTGGCTTTATGTGTTGCGTTCGCTTCAGTCTACACGCGTGTTGATACCGAGATTCGAAGTCTGACAATATTGATATTCAGTTAGTTAATAGTTCCGTAGCGAATTAGTGATAACGAAATTACGGATCTGAGTGAAGTAGAAAATTAAAGTTAATAAACGGAGTAGTTAATCACCGTGAAGAATGTTGAAACACGTGGTGTGGGATTACTTCACTAAAGTCGATTCTGATCAAAGCAAGACGCAGCAGCAACCTGCTGGGCGAGAATGCGGACAAACTGTTGTTTCTTAACTACAACATTCGTTTGTTTGGATATAATTACTAAGTAAGTAACACCTAAACATTTTATATTTAGCGACTCTTACTGCAGGTTCTGAATGATTAGTTCTAGATACATTTTTAATTAAAGTAGCATTGCATCATGACATATTTCATACATTTTGTGTTCGGTAACTTCGTTTATATATCTTTCTGTTTCGGTTTCGGTCGAAAGTGTAGTTAAACTTTCGGGTTCGGCTTCGGTTTCGGCCGAAAGTCAATATTTTACTTTCGATCTGGTTTCAATTTCAGCCGAAACCAGAAATTCTGTTTCGATCGGGCCTCTAATCTGCAAGCCATAAACGGTAGAGGTGACCGCATGGTTATGAGATCAAAGACTCTGAGCCAGAACCATTCATGTTAAGGCCCCATAAAATATCCAAGCACCTTCCTGGGTATTTAATACGAGCAATGGGGCACTTGTAGAGACCTGGATTTCGCATATCTGGGCAGTGTACTCATGGTAAGCTCGGGTTTGGCAGCAGAGGTTTAACTTCGAATCAATGAAGTGGCATTATATCTGGGGCGCCATGGTGACTAGGAGATGTTAACTACCTCACCTGATATACAGGAGGTCGTGTGTTCGATGCCGACCCTGACGCCTGCTGGGTCCTCGGGTTTTTTCCCTCCACATTTAGAAACACGCGTTTAAAGTATTTGGCTACTATATATTTCCACGTGATGATGATAAGCCACTTCGTTGAGCTAGAATTTGTGGACAGGTCGCTTCTGAAAAAGAGCTACATAGCTCAGTGGGCCTTACCTGGTAAAATAATAATAGTTTAGTTGATTTTTTTCGTGAGTAACGCTGTATGGAAGCTTCCTGGCTTTGTCGCTCCGTGCGATTCCTGCATTTCTGCACCACGAGCCTACCCATGACCCAATCCGATTAATTGAGACTAACAACCCCAACTGGAACCCGCACATTGTATTTCAATGATATCCCTGTTTGTTTGGATTCTATGCAATTCTAGCAGTGTTGTAGCACTTATTGACCCAACCACCTTGATGTAAATTTATAGATGTCGCTCTACATTTGCATCGGCCATGCGAAGTAGCAAGTACATCTCTAATTGAATGTAAAGACCTCTGGTCCAAAATATGAATTCTGCTCAACATTGAACCACACATGGAAAACATTACTTACTCTGCTAAAAGCAGATACTTCGTACGTCGCTACTATTTAACCGGTGAATGTGTAGTGGGTTCCCACGGAGACGTAGTTTATTGAAATATCGTAACAAGGCTCTTTATCCCCGCTACCTGGGGAGGTATGACCTCTGGGCTGTCGTGCCCTATCACTGGGGCTACGGGCTCCGAGTCCTCCGACTAAGAGTGGCCTAGGGGAGGCTATGCTGACCCGACCCAGCCAAGGTGCGGGTCTCGACCACTGGTCCGTGCTCGGCCCCGGCCCTTACAAGGACGTCGGTTCCCGGGGGTGCCAGGGTCCGAGCCTAGCTGGTCTTCATTCTTCGTCTTCAGAGCACTCCTCGAGCCGTCCTGAGGTCCGTCTTTTATACACCCCTCGAGGACTCTACGCCCCTGGCACCGCCCCCTTTCTGGAACCTTCCAGGGGGCTCTGGAATAACCCCCCAACCCCTCACCTGGGGTCGAGGGGGGAACTCGGCCTCTCAACGGTCCGGCTCTCTCTCTATATCAGGGTGGTACCCCCTATAGACCCGTGCCCGCAACTACATGTTTGTATACAGAGGGCGGCGTATGCCATGTTGTTCCGACGCTACAATGCATCTGTTTTAATTTTTTTTTACCTTTTACACCCCTCTCCTCAAGATGATATAAACGTACTTTACAAATAAATAATTATCTGTAAAACCGTTCGGAACATATTCTCCATTGGCCATTTTCTTCCTCTTCCCTCCCCTAGCCCCTCCACTCCCTCCCGTCCCTTTCCTGTAGCTCTTTCCTGACCCCCCCGCCCCCCACGTGCCTCTCTGGTTATGGAGACTCATTATTCATCGGCCCTCGCACTGCCCCTTGGCAACAAAATCACTCGGTTCTTGTAATCGTCTTTAAACTGTGTACAGCGCCTTGAACGAAGGCGCTCTAGAAACACGTGAAGCTGGACTCGGCCTTCTCGATCATACTTGGGACTGTAAATCGCTTCGATTGACGTCGTTTCGATATTCGTCGTCGCACCTTTCAGGAACGCACCCCCAGCGTAAACCGGGGTATCACTCCATATGTAGTTATTTCAGAATAGAGGTTGCCACTCAGCAACCCCTACATCTACACAAAGCAATAGATGTACACGTCACACGCTGACTCTCCGCAGGTGAAGTTCAGCTACATGCTGGCTTGGCGCCGCTCGTTCATGACCCCCTGCACGGACGACGACATCGTGGCTGGGACGTACTTCTCCACGGGCGACCCGTGGCAATGCACCCAGGGCTGCAGCGAAAGCCGCACCATGAACATCGCGTGCATCGAGCAGAATACCAACTCGGACTGGATGGTGGGCAAGGGGAGCTTCAACTTCACAGTCCCAGCCACGCAGCAGAGCATCATCAGGTGAGAGACACGTTGCTGATGATGATGATGATAACGATGTCCATGGTGACGATGATAACAATGGTCATGACGTTGAGAGACACGTGGCTGATGATGATGACGATGTCCATGGCGACGATGATAACAATGGTTGTGACGTGGAGAGACACGTGGCTGATGATGATGACGATGTCCATGGTGACGATGATAACAATGGTTGTGACGTGGAGAGACGTGGGGGTGCCCTGATGTGTGAGGGTTGGGTCCCACGGGGGTTCTTTGCAAACCCCTCGTAAAGTAGTCCAGCCCACCTGAGCTCCCAGCACACAGCCATTCCACATCACAGTCAACCCTTACGAAATACACTTGAATAATCAACACAACTAAACACAACGCAAAAACAATCACATGATCCAAACCACTGGCGTCGCCTGAAAGTCCTCCAACCGCACAATGGAGTTGTGACTCGGGAAATTCTCCTTGGCCTCAGACCCCTGGGCTCTGATGCAGTGAAGACACAAGCCTGTCACCGGTTGCCCCAGGGTGAATGTCTGTACTCTGAGGCACTGTAGACGTTGAACGTCCATGGAAACCCTGTTACTAATACACATCATGTATCAAACAATCTGCCTGTAACTCTAGAACCTTGTTACTAATACACTTGCTGTATCAAACAATCTGCCTGTAACTCTAGAACCCTGTTACTAATACACATCATGTATCAAACAATCTGCCTGTAACTCTATAACCTGTTATTAATACACATCATGTATCAAACAATGTGCCTGTAACTCTAGAACCTTGTTACTAATACACATCATGTATCAAACAATCTTCCTGTAACTCTAGAACCCTGTTACTAATACACATCATGTATCAAACAATCTGCCTGTAACTCTAGAACCTTGTTACTAATACACTTGCTGTATCAAACAATCTGCCTGTAACTCTAGAACCCTGTTACTAATATACTTGCTGTATCAAACAATCTGCCTGTAACTCTAGAACCCTGTTACTAATACACATCATGTATCAAACAATCTGCCTGCAACTCTAGAACCTTGTTACTAATACACATCATGTATCAAACAATCTGCCTGTAACTCTATAACCTGTTACTAATACACATCATGTATCAAACAATCTGCCTTTAGCTCTATAACCTGTTACTAATACACATCATGTATCAAATAATCTGCCTGTAACTCTAGAACCTTGTTACTAATACACATCATGTATCAAACAATCTGCCTGTAACTCTGGAACCCTCTTGCTAATACACTTTCTGTATCAAACAATCCCCCTGCAAAATCCGAGCTGTGAAGTCACACCCTGGCTGCATCAAACATTGCATGGGAACCATGTGACACCCCCATCTGTGAGACCTTTTAGCCAGTTTCCAAAATGATGAAAAATAATAATAGGTTTTACTATTTCTGGCAACAAAGCAGGTGTCAAGATGTTCAAATACCAAATAGATGCCTTTTACAAGGCATTAATACATCACAAGGACATGCAATTAATGCAAACTTGATGCCTTGTAAAAGGTATCTTTTTTTTATTGGCAGAAAGAGTTAAAGCTATTGTTTTGTTGTTGTCACCGGTTACAAAGTTTGTAGGCAAATTGTTTTAAATAGTAAGTGTATTCGTAACAGGGTTCCCTGTTAATAACGTTTCTCCTGGACTCGCTCTGCCTGAAAGACTCCAGAATAACCCGTGGATAACGTTATCCTGGATTCTCTCACTCTGCCTGAAAACTGTTCTCCTATAACGCGGTAGTAGTTGCGTTCCTTAAGAACGCCACGTTATGGTGAAATCGCGTTATAATATATAATCTAGGGGTAAATCACAGTCCGCGACAACGCGTGACATGTGTACGCAGGCTGAACAAAGACTGAGGCGTGTGGGTAGCATCTAGAAGCATCCAGCAGCATCCCGCCTTGTGTGACGATGCTACGCCGAGGCAGTCGTACAACCGCTTATTCCTACTCGCGCGACGTAGTTCTATTCACTCGATCGCGTTATATACAATTCCCATCTGCGTTATAAAACGTTTCCTAATACATTCATCGCTTTATATCTAATTCGCGTTATGAAAACACGCAGAGTTACAAGAGAGCAAACTGGGAAAAAATAGAATCACACACGTGAATCAGTGCTCTACCTTTAGAATATTCATGGGAATCACTTTCCACAATGCACAGCGCCGAACCGCGGGGAGGGGGGGCAGAATTCAGAGGTGGGTGCGGAGATGAGCGGCTCGCAAAAGGGCCTCTAGAGGCTGCCCCAATGAAGGCCGCCTTCCTGAGTTGGCAGCTCGCGGCTTCAAATGAAGGATGGCACGATGCCCCAAGTGACAATTAACGATGCCAGTGAGGATGATTGTGATGTTGATGACAATAGTGTTACCATATTGATGGCAATGACTTTGATGATGATTATGACAACTCATGATGGTAATAACTGCAATGATGACTATCATGTGGATGCCATTGATGGTGATGATGACGATGGGTTTGCTAACATCAGCGATTATGACAATGATAATGGCCCCTGAGTCGTATGCGAAACTGGTAGAGTTGAATCTAGATTTGAAGTTTTCGTGACTGCAGGGATCCATACTCTTTGGTTCTTTAGGTAAAGTCACGTAGGTATAAAATACAATAAATTAAATCACGACGTTTCGGGCGCAACACAAGCGTCCGTCATCAGGTGCGACAACCACAGCAAGAAACAATTGCTGAAGTGGGCAAAAGCGGCTGCTACAACAAGCGGCCATATAGGCAAGAGACGGTGGGGGGAGGAGGCAGGGAGGGTGGGGGTGTGGGGTAGGGGGAGTGGAGGCTACAAGTAAGATTCAAGCACCCCTCCCCACCCCGGCATTTTCTGTCGTGCTTGAGTCTTACTTGTAGCCTCCACTCCCCATACCCCACACCCCCACCCTCCCTGTCTCTCCTCCCTGGCTCCTCCCTCCTTCTCTTGCCGAAATGGCTTCTTGTTGCAGCAGCCCCCTTTGCCCACTTCAGCAATTGTTTCTTGCTGTGGTTGTCCCACCTGATGACGGACGCTTGTGTTGCGACCGAAACGTCGTGATTTAATTTATTTGATACCTACGTGACTTTACTGAAAGAACCAAAGAGTATGGTGAAGTTGAAGTCACGCCGCAAGCCCTTTTGGACCCATGAACTGAACCTTAAACGATGCGAATTCAACCCCCGATGAAGCTTAGAGAGCAGAATGGAGCTCAAAAGAACTCGCAAACAAACACCGAGTTGTGAAAGACCCAACGTAGAAGATCCCTGGGGTTTGATCTTCCACGAAGCTCATGGTACACCCTAAATCGCATACACTGCACACACCCCGGCAGATGCGGATACCTGATGCGCACATCGAAAATGAAAAACACTCCAGTAGGAGCGTGCGACTGTGGTCATCCAGAACAGACCCTACAACGTATGACAAAGCAATGCTTCGATCCATAAATACAAAGGATACATTACAGCGATACACAACTCCGCTGCTCCTGATGTGGTTATCTGGGCTTGACCCATCTGAATGTGAAAGTGCGGTTGTTGCTCTGCATCTGCATCAGCAACCGTACGACAAGAAGAAGGTGGCAATGATAACAAACACCACAATGCTGATGATATTGGTTGTTGTGGCACACGTGTCTGACCATAGCTTCGCAAGTTGTTGCTGGGTGCCCGTGACCATCGCCACTTCTCAGGGCACCTACGACCCTGCAAGCAACCCGGTGTGGTCCATGATCACCGTACTCAACCCGGGCACCCGGAGCGACACCGGCAGCCCCAACATCTCCCCCATGACCACCTCCAAGCCGCTCATCAAGTACGCAGCAGGGCCAAGCGATTAGAAGACTTGTGGCAAGTTTATGTAGTGACAGGTTTCTACAGGATGGCCCAAAAGTCAGGATACATAGGGTTATTATATAGGGTGGCCCAAAAGTTACATTAGGTTATTTGATTTATTTTAACAAATGTTAAAGTTGGCTTCCATTAACAGTAATGCACGATGCGTGATGTCTCTTTTGAAATGAATTTAGGACTTTAAAAACAACGACTACAGGGCATAATCTTTGAGCATTCAACTTCAATTATGTTTTGTTGTCTCGATTTCATTTGGGGTTCTCGGTCAAGTTTTTTAAACAAAGGATTGGAAGTGATCCCACAGAATGAAGAAAAACAGATATTAGCAATTATAGTAGATTAATATATTAACTTAAAGGATAAACACAAAAAAAATAATGTCAGTGTTGAAAAAAACAAACCATGTGTCCTTAAAGAGGTTTGTGGTTCAAGTGTGGTGGCCACCGCTGATTAATGCTGCACATGTATTGATCATGAAGGACGCCACAGTGGCTAGGAGATGTTAACTACCTCGCCTGGTATACAGGAGGTCGTGGGTTCGATCCCAAACCTGACGCCTGCTCTATGTTTGGCCTTTGCATGTTCTCCCTGGAGACGCATGGATTTTTCTCCAGGTCCTCCAGTTTTCCCCTCCACATTTAGAATCACGCGTTTAGACTATTTGGCTGCTATAAATTTCCGCATAAGCCACTTCGTTGAGCTTTCATTTGTGATAGCCAGGTCGCTTCTGCAAAAATAACTACATCGCGCTCAGTGGGCCTTCCCTGGTAAAATAAAAAAGTAAATATGCACTATTTGCTTCACAGTAGACGTTATGTATCTCGTGACTTCATTTTAAAAATAGTAGACCGTGTGTGATGTCACGGTCCAAATCTATCAGGTGGAGAAAAAATAAATACTCAAGATTGCTTAATTTGGGATAATACATTAAATCAATACCCTCACCCCGCCCCCGGGAGGTCTTTTGTGACTATCATAGAACAGGAAAATTTTTCAAACTATATTTGAAACTTTCGTGACTGCAGGAATCCATACGTAGGTGACCGAAAGAACCATAGAACAGGAACATATTTCCCCCAACTTCTAGCAAACTGCCCACTTGCAGGCCCATTCTGCGTACACCTTGTGCCCCACAGAGACAGCCGCCAGTGTGCCGATTCCCTTGACGCGAGATGTTGATATGAGGCGACGTGAGCTGCCGAAGCGTGCGAGCGCCCCGCAAAATTCAACATCGGCGGGTGTGACGGACGTCCCGCAGGCTCAAAGTGGGCTGCACCACGGTGTGGAGCATCCCTGTGCTGGACTCAGACAAGGATGTGGTGAAGTGTCGCTACGCCAACAAGGACAGCCTCGACGAGTGCGGGAGCATCTGTGGAGTCGCGCCCTTCGGAACTCTGGACGGGGTGCGTCCTGTCGCATCCATTACCCCTTTTCCCACTGGCACAATCCGAGCCGTGCCGGCCCGGGTACTCTCACGGTACAGGTGATATTTCCACTTATTACTACTGAGCCAGGCTGTGACCCAAATGCTATTTAATGGTTTCACAAGACATCGATCTGAATGCAGCCTGGGGCAGGGCTGCAGACGCATTTGTTACAGGTGACGTCATGTCAATACACCGACACACAGAATCACCTCGCAATCTTCTGTACGTGCTTCTCGTCTCATTCATGTGGAAAACCGGTACATGTGGCAGGTAACCGGATGGATGAGACTTCAGAGCACTGAACTCAGATCCCCGGATTCAAATTCCGGTTTCAGTCATGCATGATTGAAATGGGTTCTCAAGTATAGCAAGCTGATGGTCTCTGCACGGTCACCGGTAACCTACGGGTTTCATAGACTGCATAGAGACCCATTGACACACAGTGGCCTATAGACGCATATAGGCGGAGTTGAGTTTAATCCAGGTTCACAAGTGTAGCAAGTTGATGGTTCCAGACAAGTCACCAAAGATTGCAAAACATAACCCCGTAATATTGACTACACAGTCTTGATGTATAGCAGCAGAATGCACAATCACCCAGCGTTCGCGTTATAACGCAGAACGTGCACCGTCATGAGCGGTAGACGACGAACTACTTTGAGCTGCACGGCTGAGCGGTACAGCGATACAGTACGAGGAGTGAAACAGTAACGCAGTGGTGACATACCATCTCACTGCTGTGTGTGTGTGTGCTACATCACATCTCACTGCTGTGTGTGTGTACATCACATCTCACTGCTGTGTGTGTGTACATCACATCACACTGTGTGTGTGTGTGCTACATCACATCTCGCCAAACTTTATCAGGACATTATTTATGGGTGGGAAATTGTTTTCGCGGAACGCGTTTTTCGCTCAACGCAGAACCTTTCAACAATGCATTTACAGTGAGGGAAAAAAGTATTTGATCCCCTGCTGATTTTGTACGTTTGCCCACTGACAAAGAAATGATCAGTCTATAATTTTAATGGTAGGTTTATTTGAACAGTGAGAGACAGAATAACAAAAAAAAATCCAGAAAAACGCATTTCAAAAATGTTATAAATTGATTTGCATTTTTATGAGGGAAATAAGTATTTGACCCCTCTGCAAAACATGACTTAATACTTGGTGGCAAAACCCTTGTTGGCAATCACAGAGGTCAGACGTTTCTTGTAGTTGGCCACCAGGTTTGCACACATCTCAGGAGGGATTTTGTCCCACTCCTCCTTGCAGATCTTCTCCAAGTCATTAAGGTTTCGAGGCTGACGTTTGGCAACTCGAAACTTCAGCTCCCTCCACAGATTTTCTATGGGATTAAGGTCTGGAGACTGGCTAGGCCACTTCAGGACCTTAATGTGCTTCTTCTAGAGCCACTCCTTTGTTGCGTTGGCCGTGTGTTTTGGGTCATTGTCATGCTGGAATACCCATCCACGACCCATTTTCAATTCCCTGGCTGAGGGAAGGAGGTTCTCACCCAAGATTTGACGGTACATGGCCCCGTCCATCGTCCCTTTGATGCGGTGAAGTTGCCCTGTCCCCTTAGCAGAAAAACACCCCAAAGCATAATGTTTCCATCTCCATGTTTGACGGTGGGGATGGTGTTCTTGGGGTCATAGGCAGCATTCCTCCTCCTCCAAACACGGCGAGTTGAGTTGATGCCAAAGAGCTCCATTTTGGTCTCATCTGACCACAACACTTTCACCCAGTTGTCCTCTGAATCATTCAGATGTTAATTGGCAAACTTCAGATGGGCATGCATATGTGCTTTCTTGAGCAGGGGGACCTTGCGGGCGCTGCAGGATTTCAGTCCTTCACGGCGTAGTGTGTTACCAACTGTTTTCTTGGTGACTATGGTCCCAGCTGCCTTGAGATCATTGACAAGATCCTCCCGTGTAGTTCTGGGCTGATTCCTCACCGTTCTCATGATCATTGCATCTCCACGAGGTGAGATCTTGCATGGAGCCCAGGCCGAGGGAGATTGACAGTTCTTTTGTGTTTGTTCCATTTGCGAATAATCGCACCAACTGTTGTCACCTTCTGACGCAGCTGCTTGGCGATGGTCTTGTAGCCCATTCCAGCCTTGTGTAGGTCTACAATCTTGTCCCTGACATGCTTGGAGAGCTCTTTGGTCTTGGCCAAGGTGGCGAGTTTGGAATCTGATTGATTTCTTCTGTGAACAGGTGTCTTTTATACAGGTAACAGGCTGAGATTAGGAGCACTCCCTTTAAGAGTGTGCTCTTAATCTCAGTTCGTTACCTGTATAAAAGACACCTGGGAGCCAGAAATCTTTCTGATTGAGAGGGGGTGAAATACTTATTTCCCTCATTAAAATGCAAATCAATTTATAACATTTTTGACATGCGTTTTTCTGGATTTTGTTGTTGTTATTCTGTCTCTCACTGTTCAAATAAACCTACCATTAAAATTATAGACTGATCATTTCTTTGTCAGTGGGCAAACGTACAAAATCAGCAGGGGATCAAATACTTTTTTCCCTTACTGTACTACTACTACTACCGCGTTAAACGAGGACTTGCTATACCCATGTCTACACTACAGAGTATCCCAGAGTCCAGGGAACATACATTTAGAAGTGTAGCATGAGAGCAGTTGACTTGAGCTAGACAGTCGCAAGCTCATTTAGTGCCTTGTAGGTTAATATCAGAATGTTAAATTTGAACAAAGAAGGGCATAGGGGGGGGGGGGGGGGGGACGGTCGATGGTGTGTTGGAGGAGTTGCAACGACGTAAGTAAAGCTGCCTGGAATAGGGAACAGCTGTCACTGGACTGGAAAAAGATAATCATCAATCCACCAAATAAGCGTGATTCGGAGATGTGGGAACACGACGGGCACGAGGGGAAGGTAGCCAGAACTGGCGCCAATATTTGTCCAATTTTGAGAAGTCTGACCGACCGCATGCATCGGCGAACGCACGCACGCACGTGCGTCGCTTTGTGGTGCAGGACGCGTGCACCGTCACGTTCTCGGTGCCCACCAACGCCTCGGGCCTCTGGGCCCTGGCGCTGATGATCGAGGACTTCCCACGCAGCAGCATCACCATGGACTCCACCTCGTACTCCCCCAGCAGCCCGCTCTCCAGCATCCCGCTGCAGGTCATTTTCGAGAGTGAGTCGCGCACACCCGTCAGGCGCGTCGTGATGTCACGAAGGAGCCGTCCATAAATGACGTCACGCGATTTTGGACGATTTTTGACCCCGCCCCCCATCGTCACACGGCGTCACAAACAGTCAGACCCCCCCTCGAATATGACGCCCAAAAAAAACACATGCTTCAAATCGCTTTAAACTATTGTCATTGTAGTGCGTATTTAATGTGGCGCTGCACTCTGATGTTGTAGGAGAAAACATTTATTAAAGAGTCTATTTAATTAAGTAGAACGTGTTGTCTATATTTATTTAAAGTTGCGCATTTTGATGTGACGTCACATTTCTCACCCCCCCCCCCCCTCGTCACACATCGTCACAATTGTCTGATCCCCCCCCCTAGGTGCGTGACGTCATTTATGGACGGTCCCTAAGTGATGTGCTCCGTAATTTTCAGATTAAATAAAAAAAAAATTATTTAACAAGCCTGAAATCGGGGCTAGATGTGAAATTTAGAATGATCCGATATTTTGTGGTTTGGGATCAAAGCATGACGTCACAAGATATGACATCACATTTCACGTAAAAAAATTCCACCAATTGTGGCATCGGGTAACGTCACTACTTTTAGCAGCACTAAACATCTCGTGTTTCTTATTTTTCGGCTTTCATATGACATTGTTATGTGATGTAAGGCAGTTCAAAATGCTGAGCCTTTTAAGTGCGCTGTACATAAAAAGATTATTGGGTGTTTTGGAAACGCGTTTTGATGCTAAGTTGATGTGTGCTGCTACCCATGTGCAGTCTTCTTTTCAGTTGTGCTCCTTAATTTCGTTGGTGCTTCAGCACTTGTGTTATACTTGTGTAAACAATAGTTGATGATTCCTGTAATTCTGCCCAAGCTGACAACAAGCTCTGAAGAGGGGATGTACTTCTCCTATGAATGGGACTGAATGAGTGGCCGATAGTCTTGTTAGGCTGTGCCCTCCACCACTCAAGTCGCTTTTCAAGACAAAAATATACTAATCTTATCACCCGGGTTCGTCTTCATTTTACCAAACCAATCTAAATTCCAGAAAAAACAAGCAAAATTAATTGCAAGAGAGTTCATACATTTCGCATCATCATCATCTTTATAATCCTCCGTCTTTACTTTTTGGTTCTTTCGGTAAAGTCACGTAGGTAGAAAAAAAATTATAGATCACGACGTTTCGATCGCAACACAAGCAGCCGTCTTCAGGTGAAGACGGTGACTTTCCCGAAAGAACCAAATAATATGGATTCCTGCAGTCATGAAAGCTTCAAATCAGTCCTCTGTCTTGTGCCAACATGCTCAAGTGGTGCCACATCTTTCTGGCAGCAATCTCTTATGTGGTCGTCAAGCCAACACACTTTTAATTCTCTTGGTGTTGTCCAACATGTGGTGTTCAAATAATGGCAGTTTCCTTCTCATCACCGTCTACATCGTCTGGACTTCTTCTTATGTGCAGCCTTTGTCTTCTACGTTGGTCACTCTTTGGGTCCAGTTTAGATACCATATCCTCCTGTAGCAATTCATTTCGAGTGCAAATATCTAAATTGTATTTATTCTAGATTTGAAGCTTTCGTGACTGGAAGGATTCATACTCTTAGTTCTTTCGGTAAAGTCACGTAGGTAAAAATGAAATTAAAATTAATAAAAATAAAACAATAAAAATCACGACGTTTCGGAGGCAACACAAGCTTCCGTCTTCAGGTGAAACCGTCACAGCAAAATATCTGTACCTTATATAGTGGTTAAGGTGGGAGGAGCCAGGAAGGGCAGCGGGGGAGTAATCGTGATGATGGGTACAAACTTAGTAATCATTGGAAAGATGTTATCAACCATGCAAAAAAGATGTAATTACACATTTTTGGACCATCTTATCTGACAGGCACTATTTTACTTCACCGAGTGCTAACATCCCTAACGTGTAACAGTACTCTTTATTGTCAGCCAACACTGGTATAAACATGGGCATTTCCGCTCCTTTTCTATTATGTACTTCCACAGTTACTTGCGCAACACGTCCCTGGCCACGAGTCCATTCATCCCACAGTGACTTGCGCACAAACAGCATAACAAAGAGCGGCTTAATCTTATCTAATTCATTTACCCACCCAGCAGTATAACAAAAGCAGTAATTGACCACTTCACAACTCTTCCTCCCCCACTGCCCTTCCTGGCTCCTCCCCCCTTAACCACTATATAAGGTACAGATAGTTTGCTGTGACGGTTTCACCTGAAGACGGAAGCTTGTGTTGCCTCCGAAACGTCGTGATTTTTATTGTTTTATTTTTATTAATTTTAATTTCATTTTTACCTACGTGACTTTACCGAAAGAACTAAGAGTATGAATCTAAATTGTAGTCTTGGTTCTTTCGGTAAAGTCACGTAGAGGGGAAATAATAAAATATTAAAAATAAAACCTAATATAATAAAATTCTCACGACGTTTCGGCCACAACGCAAGCAGCCGTCCTCAGGTGAAGAAACAGAGCTGTCGGATTATTATTTTATTATTTCCCTTCTACGTGACTTTACCGAAAGAACCAAGAATATGAATCCCTGCAGTCACGAAAGCTTTAAATCGAAATCTAAATTGTATTTTGATTGTTATTGTGATCTAACATCAAATTGGGATTTTTTGCACAGTTTAGTACGCAGCATAAACAAACGGTGCTTTTCTGAAATATTTTATTGTTTTTGTAGGGGATGTTTCAATTTGCGTACAGTCAATTTTAAATGTATCTTGCAATTGTATTGTTTGTTGCGGTTGCACCCGAATCAAGAGCCAAATGGCTCACAGGGTTATTCCAAATAAATGAAATGAAAACTGAAACTTTAAATGTCCAAGTCTCGCAGGCATACAAAGCTGCACTGAACATGCATGTTCTTAAGATGTTCAGTTTGGTATTCTAGCTGATTTGTTTGCTTCTCCAGATGTTATTGAATCCTGCCATGACTCCTTTTGCCTTTGAGATCTTTGCTCTGATGTTTTTCGTGCAGTCATCGTTCTATGTTAGTAGACTTCCCAAGTATACAAATTCCTTTAAATTCACAATCATGCTGCTTTCTATTCTAACTCTTTTTTCTCAATGTCCTCCCTTCCGAGTACCATTGTCCACATTAATCCTCAGCCCTGCATCCTTTCCTGACTTATTCAGCGTACAAACTCTTTCCTGCAGTGCTATGAAGCTTTCTTCCATCAGATCTACGTCGTCCACAAATCTCAGGTTGTTTATTGTTTATCCTTGCACAAATATCCCTGTGCCTTTGTCTTGAATGGCATCCATCCCTCTTTCCAAGTATGTGATGAAGTTGTTTGGTGATAGTGGATCTCCCGATCTCATTTCTATTGTTGTTGGGAACCATTCTCCTGTTTCCTGTCCAAACTTGTACTGCTGACTTTGACCTTTCACCTATATCCTGCAGAATCTGCGTCAGTCTTTTCCCTACTCCGTATGATCCTAATGTTTCCCACGTTATGTTGCTGTTAGGAATTTTGATTCATTTGCTTTCTGATGGCGTCGTAGCTGCTGCTCGATTGGAGACGCAGACCTTGTTGATCTGGGCGACGTACGAGCTGGTGTCCTTCTTTAATATGAATGTACATTTCTAAAAGCTCATAAAAGCTCGTAAAAGTTTCCGATGTCAAAGGTCACGGGTCGTTTAGCGTGATGTCCAATGTTTTGCTCTACGTGCTGGAAGCTTCTTCAGCACGTGGAAAAAAGAAAGAAAAAAAACATCGGACATCACGGGTAACCAGAAAAACCAGGCCAGGGAGCCGCAAAGCACTGAATCACCATGAACACCTTCGCACGTCTGTGTTTTGTGGTCGTCTTGTTTTTCTCTGCCAGTCGAGACTGGAAGTTCTTGCTCGGGTCCATTTTTCACGGGAGTGACGCCTCTGAACGGAAAAGCGTTCCAAGCTACGCAGGGCGTCCTATTTAAGCTGGAGGTCGACATTTCCCTGCCCAGCGACGCGGCAGCAGGGTGAGTGGGGCTTAAGTCACTGAGTCTGTCCCGTACCGGTAACGTGGAAGATCAGTCCCAAAGCCTCTTGCGTCCTGCATGTTTCACAATTGTTTGGCTGGAACATCCAGGAGCCAAGCTTTGGGACAAAACCTCTACTAGCCGTCTAGACCAGGGACCCGTTGTCAGGCCTGATCCTTGCAATGTCCTATGAGGGCAAGCAAGGGGCCATCTTCCGTTGGAGTTTTTGCACGTGACACATTAACAAAACAGAACTAGAGACGGTTCAATCTTGATTTGAAGCTTTCGTGACTGCAGGAATCCAGACCCTCCTCTTCTACGTGGAGGGTTTTCACACAACTGTTAGATCTTTTAACAGACTGCGAGACAAGAAGGTTCACCTTATCGAGTCACTCACCTTTATATTTTAGGACTTGTTTTAGTAGCCTGTCTCTCTCTCACCTGAAGACGGTTGCTTGTGTGGCGATTGGAACGTCGTGATCTATTATTATGTTTCTACCAACGTGACTTTACCGAAAGAACCAAAGAGTATGGCTTCCTGCAGTCACGAAAGCTTCAAATCAAGATTATATAATAGGCAAACATTTACATATGCAAAATAAGAAAAATATTGAAAGGTTAAACGGCTTTTTAAACTGTAAGAAACTTTCCACAAAAAGGGAAAATTTTTAATCACAGCTAAAACAATTAAATATAAGGACTCTTCTACTTACAAACATTCGACTTACAACTTTGATAAATACGAACAAACCTGCCCATATATCCACTTCCCTATTTGGACCGAGAGTCGTAAGTTGAACCGCCACGCAATAGATGGCGGTGGCGGCATCTACACGAAGAACCAGTCGCATCTACATCCACAGGAGATTATACAACTTTTAAATCAATTTCCAGTGTTTAGTGTACATGCCGTATACCATGTTTGGAATAGACAGCAGCAAAGTTGAGCTTTTGAACAAATCGACTTACGAACAAACCTCTGGAACCTAACTCGTTCGTAAGTAGGGGAGTCTCTGTACAAACACGATAAATTAACTGTAATAAATAAGAAGCAAAATTCAAGGTAAAAGATTTTGCATTTTGACCATAAAGCTACTCGCACAGAGAGGCATGCCAGCATCCTCTCCCACGCGTGATGAGCCAGAAAACATCGTTCCAGAAAACATCCCCTTTGACCTCGACCTCATGACCTCGACCTGCTGCTGTTGCTGTGTGTCTCTGCACAGCGTGACGATCGTGCGCCTGGGAACCATCGCGCCCATCGGGGTGCAGAAGGGTGCCGTCAAGGCTGATGCCGGAGACCCGAAGCTCTTCCACACGGCGCTGAGCTGGACCCCTGGCCGGGCGGACGTGCAGAGCCACCAGATCTGCTTCTACGCGTCCGACAGCAACGCGTCAGTAGCCATTCCAGGCCAATAGCGAGTCCGGTAGCATAAGTGGCACTGTCGAAAGGAGCAACGAGATGAGAGTGAATTACTTGCAAGTGCATCGACCAATGGTGCGCACTTGTCTGCTTCACACGTGGGACGTTGCAGACCCCGTGGCATTGTGCGACAAAAAGAGGGCCAAGAGCGCCGACCTCGTGGCCCCAAGATGATGACTTGCTCGCAAATCTCTTTGGTTGGGAGGACAAAAAAACCACGCAGGAAGGAACATCACACCCCTGCTCGCAGGCTAATGTCCCACTGATAAGAGAGGCGCTGTGTACACCTCACGCTACCACTTGGGGGACCCCTTGGGTTATATTGCAGCCGGTTGTTAGGATAGACGAGATGAGATGCGATGCAAATCGCAACAGATCTGTGTTTAGTATAAGATTGGAGCTGTTTGCTGTTCGGGTTATGATTCCTTCCCCATTGGTCCTTGCACAGCAAGTCCTCGTTTAGCGCGCTGGATGTGTTCCTAAAGAGTCGTGCTGCGTTAAAGCGAAAAACGCGTTCGGCGAAAACTACTTCTATGCGCACGCCGTGAGACGGCAGGACAAATAACGGAGTGTATGTCGCCGCTCAAGAAAGTAGTTCGTGATTGACAACTCGTAAACCGCGTTATAACGGTGTGCGCGTTCCGCGTTGTAACGCGTTAGCTCACCCGCGCGTTAGTTCACCCGCACGTTAGCTCACCCGCGCGTTAGCTCACCCGCGTGTTAGCTCACCCGCGCGTTAGCTCACCCGCACGTTAGCTCACCCGCGCGTTAGCTCACCCGCACGTTAGCTCACCCGCGCGTTAGCTCACCCGCACGTTAGCTCACCCGCGCGTTAGCTCACCCGCACGTTAGCTCACCCGCGCGTTAGCTCACCCGCACGTTAGCTCACCCGCACGTTAGCTCACCCTCACGTTAGCTCACACACACGTTAGCTCACACACATGTTAGCTCACCTGCACATTAGCTCACCCGCACGTTAGCTCACCCGCGCGTTAGCTCACCCACGCGCGTTTACTCACCCAATGTGTGCCGTGTGTGAGCAGCCAGGAGACGGAGCTGCGCTGCGTCAATGTCGTCGTCGAAGGTGAGCCAATCGCATCGCTCAACGCCCACACGCACGTTCATCCTCATCACAGCTGGGACCCGGAAATTAGTTTAACCAATCGATTGATCCACCAATGATCGATTACTCCACCAAGTGTGTGTTGTTGTCGTTTTTGTAACTCGCTGACCCGCCCCCTACTGGACATCTGTGAAGAGCTTCATAGCTCATCGGATTCCTGCAGGATAAAATATCGATTCTGATTCTGAACTCGACGGGTAAGGTAGAAAATCGCGGAAAGAGGCGTCACCTCTGTCGCCTTCAGATTGATTAACTCTCTGATTGGTCGAGCCATTGCTAGCATATAAATAGGGGGGTTTGGGAACAAGTCTCACTTCTGTTCTCACGTGTGCCGCTTGATGGGAGGTAATGGACGGGGCTTCATTGACTTCATTGGAGTCACGCTTGGCATTGTTGTTGTTGTTTAGGGGATTTCCTGCCCTCAGGTGACTACGTGTGTCAACGATGCACTGCCAAAAAAAGCAGTCGTCCAGGTCTCTCGAACCCTGAACAATTGCAGAAGTCGTCCTATTGTTGTTGTCGTTCTTGTATTTGCTCATAAGATGTAGTGGCTTAAAAACGATCACCACTCGTCGATGACTCTCTCTGCAGATTTATCCGATAGTACGGTGAGAGGACACTGCCATGTGTATGAAAGACTGATGTTACCTTACCCCTGCCCCAACAATAGAAAACTGGCATGTGGTAATTTGGCATTCGCGTCCAATATTATAAGATATTTTTTGGGTTGAATAGCGTAAATATAAATGTGTAGTTAAACCCGCCACCACCACTCGACACAGCCAATCACCTACTCACCCACCCACTCACCTACTCAGTGGTCCATTGGCGTGGAAGTCACCCACCCACTCGCTCACCTACTCACACACCCACTCATCTATTCATCCACCCACTCACCTACTCAGCGGTCCATGGGCCTAGAATTCACAACCGCTGCATAGTGTTTTAGACTATTTACAGACATTTAACCAGTTCAGCAGATAATGCAGGAGAGAACCGTCCAATACTGTGCATTAAGTTATTGGATTTTCACGTGAATAAAGGTGCTTACTTACTTGCCCCGGGCTGATAATGTGTAAATGAAAATTTCACTGCCTCAGGAGACATGTCCGAGTGTGTCGTGTGTCTTGCCGCGTCTCCACTCTAGGCACCGGCGGACCCATCGCGTTCTCCTACGACAGCATCACCACCAACGACTTCCCCATCGAGTGGACGATCACCTTCAGCGACGAGGTGAGGAAAGGTCCGACGATGTTGCTGAACGTTAAATCGTTTCTCACGAACATTGATCGACGCTACAACTGCACAGGTTTTCGCGGTTGTGCCACACAGTTCTCCGATATCTCAGGGTGTACCGCGTGTTTTTACAACGTTTCGAGCCGTGTGCCGAGAGCTTCTTTAGTTCCTGTTCAGTTCCTGAAGAAGCTCCCAGCACACGGAGCGAAACGTAAGATAACAGGAGACCGTTGCTATCCATGGGTCTCTGTGTATGTCTTTGGGGGTTTGTGTGATGAGTTTTTGGGTCTCTGTGTGATGAGTCTATGGGTGTCTAATTTTCTGACCAGTGCTGCATTCTCATTATACTTCATACAGACAGCTGACACTTGCAGTCCCCTTGTCTCGACTGCGGCATTAGAATGGGTGAAATGTAATTGTCCTTGATATCGGGTCAGTTCGCAACCAAATCACTTTCGGAATCACACAAATTAATCTAACAAAATTAAAATCGGATTGTGTAAAGCAACATTCACACAAGGCGTCACATCCGCTTTACTTAATATAACCCAACTCTGCTTCATCACCAACAGCTGCTTTGTCCACATCTGGGCGAGTAGTTGCGGAACAAGGAAAATGGACCAGCGTATAATTCAGGATCGTAACATGCAATCACAGTTGGCCAATGTGCAGCACGTGCTGATTAACCACGTCGCTAAAAAAATCGCAGTGCAGATCGATGTTTACAAGTCGAGTCCATCTCTACAGCTGCTCGTCAACGTTTGCACAGACGTCCACACATAAGTGATTCAGTTTCATGCACGCTACCAGGTTGGGCTCACTGAGCTATTTCGCTCTTTTTAAAATAGTATCCTTGCCACAAATGATATCTCAACGAAGTGGCTTATTACGTGGAAATGTATGGCAGCCAAATACTCGAAACGTGTGATGTTGGTTAGAAAAGTTAAGGAAAAAACCAGAGGACCCGGAGGAAAATCCACGCGACCACGGGGAGAAACATGCAAACTCCAAATATACAGACGTCGGGGTCGGGATCGAACCCACGACCTCCTGCATACCAGGCGAGGTAGTTAACATCTCTTAGCCACCGTCTAAGCGAGCGCCCTACATACACACCTTGCTCGCTCTGCCGCGCTCCCTACTCCACCCCCCGCAGATCGTCCTGCCCACCGTGTCGAGGTACTTCCGCTTCTGGGAGCTGCGCAGCGGCCGTGAGGTGTACCGCGTGGACGGCACCACGGTCACGCTGCTGCCCAACGGCACGGCGGTCCGCTTCACCACGCCGTCGTCCGTGTTCGGCGGCGGCGTCCCGCTCTACGTCACCGTGGACGAGGGCGCCGCCATGATGGTCGTCAACGGCTCCGTCGTCACCAAGAGCAACGCGCGCAGCCGCAAGGACTGGGTGTTCACGCTGCGCAAGAAGGTCTACGGTGAGCAGCATCAATCACTCGAGTGACGGCGCGGCACTGGCGTGGTGGTGAATCGGTCGATCGTTCGATCGATGAATAAAATGGCCGCGGATCACTTCGCAAGTAAACGTGACGTCACAATGATTGACTGGGCCAAGTTTCAGTCCCCTCCCATGGCTATCTCCCCTGTTCTTTTTCCGATCAGAGCCACAATTGCTGAAATAAGTTTGGAATTGATGGTAGGTGGGTTATAAACGTTCAGAAACGTTTTATTGTATGCCGTGCACCTTACCTGCGAGAATATATTTATCCTGGGGTCCAGCATAAGCATGTCTACTGAAATACAATAAAAAAATGTTCAAACATCAAATATACACCTTTTGCAAGGCATTAAGTCTGCATTAAGCACACACACAAACATGCAAACAAACATGCTATTGGTGTTTGAACATCTTAACAGCTGTTTTATTGCCATACAGAGTAAGGGCCTATTCTTATTTTTCATTATTCTTGATACTTGCAAAAAGGTCACCATAGATACAAAAACTAATATTGACCGGGATAGTCATAACCCTGCTACCCGAAGTAGAAACGGCATGGTATACTTGCCCTACCCTGGTTGAGAAAGTGAAAAAACCCACCATTTAAGAAGGGTGGACTGTTTCTTAATGTGGGTGATTCAGGCCATTAACATTTAAAGAGATGATGCTGGGGCGAGGGGGGGGGTGTCGCAGATATGGAAAGTGAGGGGGTACTCGGGTCCATCGCACCAGGCATTACTGCCGGGAACAGAGCTGGGCCAGAGGGAAGTATCCGAGCTCTCCCGATTGGGACACAACAGCTGTCGCGTGCGGGAAAAATGTGGAAAGAACACTTCACAAAACTTAGTAGGGGAACACGAAAATAGATGCCACTGCGCTCAAAACCGAGCCCAGACGTAGTCAACCATGGACTCCCGATGACACCAAAGTGCAGTGCTCAATGCCAGACCCTATTACCAAACGCGACCCGCAACAAGAGAAAGTATACCATTCAACACAACAAAACAACCACTTGCAACCAGAGTTTAACAGACAGGAGAGAGAAGGGGAGACGGCCTAGAGAGAGGAGAGGGAGAAGCCGAAGGGGGAAGAAGCCAAAGCGCCAGACCCGACCGAGACTGTGAGCGGGGGAGAGAGAGAGGCTGGAGGACTGAATGGATGCCTCCCATTACACGCCACCATCCGAAGACTGCACGATGCTGCAGTGTTGTGGCCCCGGGTTGTCTCGCGCCGCTGAAGGCCAAAAGGTCCTTGTCTTAAACACTCCAACTCAGGATCGGCCTCCAATCCCATTCACGCCTTGCAGAATCTGCTGCACTTCTTTAAACCCCATTGCTTCATCCACCGTCAGAAAATACAGCCTTCTTTCCCCAACTTGGATTCGTAGCTTTGCCGGGTAAAGTAACTGGGAGCATATCCCGGCTCTCCCCACCAAGTCCCTGTGCAAGGGCAGGGGACGATTCCTCTTCTTGGCATCCGCCGGAGTGATAAAAACACGGTTGGCCCTGCAGAAGGGTGCCCATGCCTATTGCGGCCCAAGTTGCCTTCAAAGCTTCAGAGGCGCCATGGCAGATCGCAAACAGGATCAGCAGGGGACGAGGTCTCACGTTATTTGACTCCATCAGGTCCCTCCCACCCGGCATTCCTGTACTATCCCCTCCGACTTCACAGGCTGTGTGTCAGGAGATTCCAAACTTCTTCGAGCTTTGGGCAGGTGCTGCTGAATGGAGGCGAGAGAGCACCTTGACTCCCTCGGGGAGGCCGTAGGCCAGAGGTCGCAACTGGGTACCCGATACCCGTACCCTACCCGATACCCGGCTACCCGTACCCGGCCGGGTACGGGTACCCATTTGCGACCTGGGGCGGCCGGTTACGGGTAGACCGTGAGTCACTGGTGAGTAACCGTTTTTCACTCATTTCCCAACGTCTTGTCTCTTTTCACAATTCAAGTTCCTAGAATCAACCCACCCGCACCTGCAATATGGCTTTATCCCAGAGGTCGCAATCAGGTACCCGATACCCGTACCCGTTTGCGACCCTGGTGCGGCTGGGTACGGGTACGGGTAAGGAATCAAAACCCGTTTGCGACCTCTGCCGTAGGCTTTAAGTTGGCACTCACGCCACTTCGCGTCCAGCCTTGTTGTTAAGCATCCTCAAGCTTCCATCAGCGTGGATTTGTGGGTCCTGCCCGTCTCACTCTGCTCCTCCAGTGTTTTTTTTTTATGGTTCATCACGGCGGCCTCCTGCCTCTCCACCCTCTCCCAGACCTCACTTAGCTTCTCGTTGAGAACCCAGAGAAGGGCTGTATTCTCCTCCGTCTTTTCCAGGAGGGCTTGTAGAAACTCCCGCGTTCCTCCACACCGGAGTCTCTGAGCCCACCTTGATCGGGGAGGCCGGTGGGGACGAAGCCTTGGATTACTTCCCCTGGGGACCTGTCCGCCATGAAGCACGAGGATACGGGGAGAAGTCCCCGTAACATAGTCACAGGATCAGGCTCGAGCTGCCCACAAAAGGCCCTAGGCCTCGAGGGGTCTGTGAATTGCCCTGGGAGGCTAAATAAAGGAAGGAAATCTAAAAATCTAGGGCCCTTTCTGGGCACCTGAAGCTAGGAAAAAAAGTAGAAAACTGACTATTAAACAAAGAAACAGGTGGTTTAGTGGACAAGGCTTTCTAAAGTAGGAGTTGTAGTGGCCCGTTCAGCGCTGCCCACTGAGCCATGAAGTCACCGGACATCCAGAATCAGAATCTTTATTTAGACTGGAGGAATGATATGAGCTACGAAGCTCATTTTCACAGATGTGCAGTAAGCTCACAATCGAGAGGTCGCCAGCTCACTTCGATCTCCTGGCATGGCAGTTGAAAACCCCCCACAATGTAATGTATATTATGTTGCACCTTCTTTCACGCCGTACGTAGCCAACCGTTCTAATTGGAGGTGCTCATATAAGCGGGTAAACCATAGTTAAAGGGTCTCAGCTCCCGACGAAGGATAGATAAGCCTGTGTTTGGCCCCTGTCCGAAACGTGCGGAACAACTTTTACCACCTTTTCTCACCTCTTGCAGTGCAGTTTTCATCCAACCACAGTTAGTCATTCAGCAGACCATGTGTGGCGAGGGTACAGTGTGGATAATTTTCACCTCCTCCAATACGTCTGGCCAGCATTGAAGAGTAGACCTAATTACCCTCAGGATGGGCTCCCCCATAGTGGAGGTCCCCTTTCTGCCAGTGGCGGTATGGGCAAGAAAATATCTGGGCTGCGCCTCCTTTACCTTTTCAACATCGCGGGTTTCGCTCCCCCCCCCCCCCACAGCCGAGTGCTACGCCGTCGGCGACCCCCACTACAGCTCGTTTGACGGGCGCCTCTTCGACTACATGGGCACCCGCACCTTCGTGTTGGCGTCCAACTGCCTGGGCTGGCAGCAGCAGCCGACAGCCTGGCGAGTGCTCGCCAGGAACGAGCACCGGGGCCGCGCGGACGTGGCGTGGACGCGCGAGGTGCACACCGAGATCTACGGCCACACCGTCTCCTTCCTGAAGAGCGGCGCCGTCCGGGTGAGTGTGCGAGAATGCGACAGAGTGAGCGGGAGGTGCGATCGCGGTGGGTCTGTGAGAAATGCGGACGCGCGCCCGCCCAGACCATAGCAGATGTGGATACCTGATGCACAAATGGAAAATTAAAAAACTGTCCAGTAGTGCGCGGCTGTGGTCATTCAGAACAGACCGTGCAACGTAATGAAGACGTAAGGACCGATGCACAGATACGACGGAGACATCACAGCGATACACTCTACTACTTCTAACTCGGTTATCTGGCTTGGTCACCTGAATGTGAAATTGTAGTTGTTGCTCTGCATCTACAGCAGCCATACGAAAGAAGGGAAAAAAAGTCTGTTCTGTCTGTATGGGGAGTGGTAGCGCAGCGCTGCGTTACAAACCTGGTAGAGACCCGAGTTCGATTGCCGCTCATGGCAACCACCAAGACCATTGACAGTGATTATCTGAACTGGTCCTGGGCTTCCCCTAGGTCGACTCAGCCTCAAATGAATTTCTGGATTGATATGTAAACATCGCCACTTGGGAGACAAAGGCAGCCAAGCAGGCGTGGTGCTGGCCACCCACCTCCTCGTGTGCCGCTGTAGCCTTCATCAGCGCTGCTACATGCCCCGACAGTCTGTTCAGGCTATAAAGGCGATCTTTATCTTTGTGCATCGCAGCTCGACGGGCAAGCCATCAACCTGCCGTACTACGAGCCCAGGGAGAGGTTCCGCATCACCAGCTCTGGGGGCTACGCACGCCTCACCACCGACGCCTTCTTCAGTGTCGAATACGATGGTGAGGAGGTTCGGACCACATATGTCTACTCCAGGGAGTTCTAACCTGGTGTGACTTGGCGTGGAGCTTTTGTTATTCCCACGGATGTTGACTAATTAAACCGCGTGACATACGGCTGGCAAAACGAAAAACACATCGGAAAGTGACTTTTCTACCGTTTCTACTTTCGGTGAAAAAACCGGGATCCGATTTACGACGATCCAATTCATGACCCACAGTGGGGTTCCGGCAAGGCGTTGTGATGTTGTTCGAGCGCGAACCGCCGATACTCCCCTCCTGACGTCGCGAGGTTCCCGTTTATGTCGGCGCTGCCAGTGTACAGGTGTAGTGGTGGTGTTGACGTGCGCCGACAGTGATGGATCACGGGGCGCGGGGTTGGGCACGCGATGTGGGCGTGGTATGAACGCGCACGCCGGTGGTGAGGCGCGCTGATACAATCGGGGAAAAGAGGATCGTAGCCAGCGCGCGCAGTGATTGGTCAATAAGATGGGTGCTCTCAGCGACGTCCGCAGGAGGGGTATAAAGGGAGACGCGCGAGAGCACTCGTGGTCAGTGTTAACCAGTTGAAGACCGAAGACGGAGTGGAGGAGGTAGTGGCCCGAGACCCCTAGTCCCGCTGTCCTTGTCGGGACCGGGGCCCTGTGTGGCTCGGAGCCGGGACTGGGGAACCCGTAGTCCGACGCCCGCGTGGGTCGGGACGGTGGTACCCAGAGCCGAGACGGACACCCCAGCCGGGTGTGTTCCGGAAGGCTACGGGGCGTAAGAGCCCGTGTCAGTATAGCTGAGTGGGTGTTAGTCACCCGAGTAGCTAGGTGGGTGTTAGTCACCCGTGTAGCTGAGTGGGTGTTAGTCACCCGAGTAGCTGAGTGGGTGTTAGTCACCCGAGTAGCTAAGTGGGTGTTAGTCACCCGTGTAGCTGAGTGGGTGTTAGTCACCCGAGTAGCTGAGTGGGTGTTAGTCACCCGAGTAGCTAAGTGGGTGTTAGTCACCCGTGGAGCTGAGTGGGTGTTAGTCACCCAAGCGGCTGGGTGAGTGTTAGTCACCCGTGTAACAGTTTGGTGTCAATAAAAAGAGTGTGCTACCCGTGAAGACGTCTCCCGCCGAGTTACTACTTTACACAGGAACTACTTTTGTGGGGTAGAGGAGTCACGCGTGGCGGGGCAAAGTGGCGCCGTCCCAGCATCGCTTGCGTCCCAGCTCAGTCTTCGTTCCATTGCGCCAGAGTTGTTCCACGCGCGAAACCAAGATTCAGACAACGTGAAATAAGTGTCGTGCTTTTGTGATGCAATTATTCTGAACAGTGCGTGGAAAATGGCCAGCAAGTGATATGGGTGGATCTGATAGGAAGTGTTATATTCTTAAAATGTATATTCTTTCATGACTTTTTATATTTCTTGCAATGTATTTGCATTTCTTTTATATTATGTTCCTGTATTTTTTCAACTCATGATAGTTTTTTTTTGTCTGGTAACAAAAAATGCCCGCAGGAACGTAACCTGCGACTTTACATTATTTCTTATGGGTAAAATAGGTTCACTTAACGTCGCTTCACTTAAAGTCACATTTTTCAGGAACGTGGCTAAACGACATTAAGTGAGGACTCCCTGTGCTGGGCTTGCCCACCGGTGCATTTAACAATTATCCAGCACAGGGCAGTGTGGAACGAGTTATTTTGTATTTGATGTGGGGGAGTAAAAATGGTTAACATGGAAAGATGTAGCGTGGTTGACTCCCAGAAATTCGGTAGCTTTAGATTCGCCTTTTTTTATTATGGTGGAGTTTCTGATTTTCATATGTATTTCCAAAATACAAAACCCCAGTCCAGCTATTACATTTTCGATGATCTGGAAAAAATGTCTTGGCTCATATTGACCAAAAAACACGACATAATTTACAAAGTTTGCCCATGAAATATGATGTCACTTCACGTTGGACGGCGACACTATTTTTTGCGTGAATATATTTTTCATCAGTAATGCAAATCTGAAGTTGCCCTTGAGAATCTTAAACCTGAAACGTATCCATAATTTCCCATACAGACACAGCAGGCTGTGATTGTAAGCTGTATGTTCCCCATGTCTCCCCCCCACCACAGGCCGGGACAGGGTGGTGGTGTCTCTGCTGAACCACGACGTGTACTGGAACGGCACGTGTGGCGTGTGCGGGTTGTGGAACGGTGACCGGAGCGACGACTTCACGATGCCCGATCACTCTCAGGCTCCCGACGCGGCCACCTTTGGCAACAGCTGGGAGGTTCCCGAGAAGAAGAATACGGAGAGGTGCCATGTGGAGACTTACAAAGACAGCGGTCCCCTTAACAGGCTGGATAGCATGAACGGGCCACGTGGCCGTAACGGGCTGCGTATCATTAACGGGCTGTTGGGGCAAGTGCTGTTAGCGAGTACCGAGGGGGTGAGTGGCCACTGCCATTGCCTGGCCGCCTTTGTCTCCACAGTGGCGACGTTTGCACATCTAGGGGAGGTCCAGGACTGGTTCAAATACTCGTCACTGGTATTATGGGACGTTTTTTTGCCAGTATCAAATAATGAAAAATGAGAATATGTTTATCCCTTTCTGGCAATAAAACCGGTGTTAAGATGTTCAAACACCAAATAGAAACCCTTTGCAAGGAATCAAGTCTGCAGTTATCACAATAACTTGTGGTGAACATGCAAAAAAAACATGCTCTCATAATGTATGCATTGTATTTGAAGTTGATAGACCTACATCAGAGACAGCCTAGGCAGTTGAAGTGGGACAACTTCTTAAGTTCAACTGCCTCTGTACTCCCAGCAGTTACGAATGAGGCGATCGACGAGTCGCGGTGTGGTGGGGCAAAGCGTGGGTGCTCCCCACTTTTTCGTGGTGGCGAGACGTTAACCACCTCGCCTGGTATGCGGGAGGTCGTGGGTTTGATCCCAACCCTCACGCCTGCATATTTGGAGTTTGCATATTCTCCCCGAGGTCGTGTGGATTTTTTTCGCTCCACATGAAGAATCAACATCATGCGTTTGCAGTATTTGGCCGCTATAAATGGCCACGCGATGATTAGGCACTTTGTTGAGCTGTCATTTATGATGGCCAGGTCACTTCTGAAAAAATCGATGTAGCTCAGTGGGCCTTACCTGGAAACATAAAATATAGTTTAGTTTTTCAAAGACGTTCTGGCTAGTTTCCAGGAGTTTGCCTAAAATAATAATAAACCAGAGGGGGCTCTCAATCTTTGCTCTCTCTCTTTCTTTCTCTGTTCCTCCTTGTGCTCAATCCACGCTGTCAGTCTTTCTGTCTTCTCGCTCCCTCCCTTCACTGGAACACTTCCCCCTCCACATTGAGCAGTCAGTCACCTTCCCTCACTAGTTTCCGCTCCTCACTCAAAATTCACTCTTATTGTTCCCGAGCTCACCCCACGAACCCCACTTAACCACCACCGTTAGTTCCCTCTTTGTATTCTCATTACATGGCTATCACTCATTCCGCATTCATTCAATCTATCATCATCATCATCATCATTTACTGTCATAATATTTTATTTCACGGAATTCACACATCACGGATTCACTTCCACTGCTTAGCTCTCATCTATTGTATTCATCTAATCTCCACCATCACATTCACATACACACGGATTATACTGTTCTTCATTCTCGGCAAAGAGCCATGGTTAAGGCGCTTTCGTGGGGGCCACTTCCACCACCAGTTGTGTAAACCAGCAAATGCAGGGCCTGCTCCTGTAGCCATTATATATATACTGTACAAGGACTCCACTACTGACGAATGACGTAGGTTCCAGAGGTCTGTTTGTAAGTCGATTTGTTCGTAAGTCCAACTTTACTCTTGTCGATTTCAAACATGTTGTACGGCATGCACACTAAACACGGGGAATGACTTAAAAAATGGTATCATCTCCTGTAGACATAGATGCCACTGGTTCTTTACATTCTGCAGACGTAGATGCCACCACCGTCATCTATTGTGCGGTGGTTGAACTTACGACTGTCGGTCCGATCAGGCAACTGGAACACACGGACAGGCTTGTTCGTTTCTCTGAAAGTTCGTAAGTCGAATGTTTGTAAGTAGAGGAGTCCCTGTATGTATTTTCTGGTACTGTTTGTCTCCGTGAACATTACCCCCCCCCCCCACCCAACAGTGGGAACAGCGACACGGGAGCCTCGTCTGGCGCTATCCTGGACGCCGGCAAGGTGGCGATCGCGTCCGGCCCACAGAACTGCGGGCAGCTTCGTGGCATGGCCGGCACGCTGGCCCCGTGCTTCACGTCCGTCGACGCCGCGCCGTACTTCGCCGACTGCGTCTTCGACATGGTGCTGTCTGGCATGGACGCGGCGGTGTTGTGCCGGTCGCTGGAGGGATACGCGGCGGCCTGCAACGCGGCCGGCTTCTCGTTCGCCAACCCGTGGAGGAACGGCACCGGCTGCGGTAACTTTTGCCGAGTAAAACGAACATTTAAACATTTTTAAGCAGATGGAGCCCCACTGAGCTGTGTAGCTCTTTTTTCGAAGGGACCTGGCCCCAAAGGACAGCTCAACGAAGAGGACGATCGTGTGGACATTTATAGCAGCGTACCTAAATGTGGAGGGAAAAACCAGAGGACCCAGGAAAAAATCCATGCAAACTCTAAATATACAGCAGGCGTTAGGGTCGGGATCGGGATCGAACCCACGACCTCCTGTATACCAGGCGAGGGAGATAACATCTCAACACCGTGGCGCCGAGTAGGGAGGGGGGAGCATTGCAATTCCAGTGTCGTCTGTCTAAACGTAGACTGGCATTTGGAACATGGTGCCGACCTTTGAACGTTGAGCTGCGCAAAAGTAACTGTCCCCTGGGCTTTGTATTGCGATGCACTAGCTGCTACACCGTTGCTATGCCCATTAAAAAAAACACGCCAGCGTATGAATGCACACGTCTATGTATAAAGACACAAAAGAAGAAAAAGATTCCCCATATAGCATTAACAGACTGTTGGGGAAAGTGCGGTTTGCGAGTGGCAGCGCCTATAAGGGCTGGCACGGTACAGGGGGTGGGTGGACAGCTACCACGCCCGGCCGCCTTTGTGGCGATCGTTTACTACACACCGCACTACGTACTCATCAGCCAACGGGAATCGAACTCGGGTTAGCGGGTTCGTAGCGCAGCGTGCTACCCACGTGTACTCTATAAAGATACAACTGCCGTTCACCACAAAGTGGCGGTGAAGTCACCACGGCGCTTGTGCCACGCTAGGTGCACTGCGAGGCCGACTCGGCCTCAAATGAGTACCAGGTGCGATGCGTAAACAACGTCGTCACTCAGGAGACAAAGGCGGACAGGCGTGGTGCTGGGCACCTAACCCCACTCGGGTGCCGTCAGGCGCCGTCGTTACTCGCTAATAGCACTCGCCCCAACAGAACATTGAGGCTAACCGGGTGGGGGGGCGTGGAATTTTCGTCTCTTTCATAGCGGCGAGCTGTGGTGCTGGCACGCGCTTCAGCTCGTGCGCTGTCGCGTGTCCGGCCACGTGCTACGACCCCGCGGCCCCGGCGGGGTGCGCGGACCCCTGCGTGGAGGGCTGCGAGTGCGCCGACAGCACCCAGCTGTGGGACGGCGATCGCTGCGTGCCGCCGGGCCAGTGCGGGTGCCGGGACGCGGACGGCCGCTACTACAAGGTGAGTGGGCGGCCGCCGCCGCTTCACTCACACAGCGGACTCCCACACTCCTCCCGCACTCAATGCCATTAGAGACCACGTGTTTGGGAGGCTCAACTGGGACACAGACGATCGATACGACCAGGGGAGTGACACCGCTGCTTCACCCCAAACTGCCACACTCCTCCAGGACTCACTCCTAAAAAGTGACCACGTTTCTGGGAGGCTCAATGGATACGCAGACGGCTGCTACTAGCAGGGGAGTGGTGATGCCCTCCCGCACTTAGTCAGGCAATCACGGACTCGCATGCACACACAATCAAGAACACTGCCAACAACAACAACAACTGCCATCTGCCACTGAGCGATGGTGACGTCACCCCAGCGCTTGTGCCGTGCCTGTTCAACCCCTTCTATGCAAAAACAACCCCCTACCTCCTCGTGGTGCCGGAAGGGCAACGTTATCGTGGGCAGTGCTGTGGGGGGAGGACCAATTCCGATTGGCCTTTCCCCTCATGGCGTTTGTGACCACCACAGCGGCGAAATGGGGGCTCTGGATGGGTGCGAAGGGCTGGTAACCCCTCCACCTTCAATTAATTACCACTAAACCATGACGGAACATTTTAATTAATAAGCTTGTGCTGGAGGCCCAGGGGGGACAGGCGTCTTTGACGTCTCCTGGCCAAACCGCATTTGGCGGAGCCAGGAGACCAAATCCTTATCCTCGGGGCTCCTCCAGAAACAACAAAAAGCCACTATGTGTGGCCATGTGGAATGTTCGAACGCTCATTGCGGAGGAGAGGCTGCCACTCCTCTGTCGGGAGTTGGACCGGTACCCGCTGGATTTCTGTGGTATTCAGAAGGTCCGGTGGACCGGCTCTGGCTCCTGCCACCATGGGGGGTGGACAGTCCTCTTCTCTAGTCAGGAGACTGCCAAACAACAGGGAGTGGCGGTGAGGTGTGGGAAGCTGTAAGACCCAGGCTACTTACGCCCCCACTGAAGACGAACATCCGTGGAGGGATGCAGGCAAGGCCGATGAGTCAGATGCCTTCTATGACCTCCTGTCACAAGTGCTGGCTGGCACCTGGTCTGGAGTGATGGGAAGGCATGGGCCTGATCAGCTGAATAATAATGGCAGGAGGCTGCTAGATTTTTGTGCAGCCGATAGGCTTGTAATTACCGACACACTATTCCGGCATCGGCGCATCCACACAACATCATGGATGCATGCCGGTTCCAAGCAAGAACATCTGCTGGACTACATAGTGACGGAACAGCGGATGCGGGCCCATGTCCTTGACACGAGGACCTACCATGGAGCTGATCTGCCCACTGACCATCGACTTGTCATCAGTAAGATGCGCCTGCTATTCTTCCACTCCGGTGGTGGGTGTACACCCAGGACCCCATTCAAACCCTTAGTTGCATGGTCTCAGCTAGCTGATGAAAGTTGCAAACGAGAATTGAATCATCGCTTGCGGCTGGGGTTGGCATCGTCCCCCACTCCTCCTGATGTCGAGGGGAAATGGGCGAGGTTTAGGACTGTGGCTCATGCAGCTGCAATGGCTGCTTTGGGTATATGGTCCAGATCTCCCCAGATACCCTGGCTGACAGAGGAGGTGTTCAAGCTGGTTGAGAAAAAGCGACAGGCCCACTCTCATCAGCTACAGCATCCCACGTCGGAGAATGAGTCGGAGGTTTGGAGAGCCGTGAGGAGCTGCAAGTATGGGTGGTGGTCGCGGGTTGCTGAGGAGATGGAGTCTGCCTTAATGGCCTGTGATCACAAATCGCTCTTTAATTCCATAAAAAAGTAACCTGCAGCACCACACCTATTACTATAATTAGGGAAAGAACGGTGAACCAATCTCCGACCCCCAGGAACAGGTTTACAGATATGCTGAGCATTTCTGTGAGGTCCTGGGAGAGGGGACATCCTTCAGCCTGGATAACAACGTGGGACAAAGTGGAGATGATCCTGCCGAGGCTGCAGTGCCTCAAATATTAGAAGAATTCACCCCCTGTGAGTGGCTGGCTGAGGTGTCATCTGTTGAGGAAATACTGAAGGCAATCCAGAGTCTGAGACTAGGAAAGGCACCGGGCAGAGATGATCTCCCAAGCGAAATTCTGAGTGAGGGTGGCGTTTGTGCACAGACTGCCCTACATGACATCATAACAACAGTCTGGACCACTGGACGGGTTTTGCAGGATTGGAAGGATGCCCTGGTGGTCCCCCTCTTTAAGAAGGGGGACCGCACAGACTGTAACAACTACAGGGGCATCTCACTCCTCAGTGTGCCGGGAAAGGTCCTGGCAAGGATTATTCAACATCGCCTTGCTAGGCACGCTGAGGAGAGGCTTGCGGAGCCCCAATGCGGTTTCAGGAAAGGGCGGTCCTACACAGATGCCATGTTTTTTGTCCGTCTGCTACAGCAGAGGTGTAGGGAATCCCAACAAGACCTACATCTCTGCTTTATTGACCTCGTCAAGGCCTATGATACCATCAGTAGGCCTGGGCTCTGGGTTGTTCTTGGGTTATTTTTCGGGCTTTCGGAGTCGCTGACCCTCTGCTCACGATCATTAAGGACCTTCATGATGGTGAGTGGGCCCGGGTAAAACTACGTGGTCGGGAGTCAGAGCCTTTCCATGTGTAATAACAGCCATAGAGGGTTCACGTGGGGATTGGCTTGCCGGTCCTGCTTTGTAGCCAATAAGGGTTGAGACAGGGAGCATGGCCTCTGCATGTTAGCAGGGGTGATTGGCCTGGCCATTCGGGGCCCCAGCTAATGGGGAGCCGGATCAGAGGCGTGGTCCCGGGATTGACAGGGAACCATCGAGAACGGTCAATGCTGTCTATGGAGGATTGGCTGGGGGGTACCACGTGACGAAGGGATTAAGAGAGAGAGAGAACGATCGAGAGCAGACTGGGGAACGACAAGAGCAAGAGTCACGCGCGTACGGGGGCTCTGGGTGCCACGTGCGCGGTGGGGACTTGGTGTGAAGTCTGCCCTCTCTCCGTTGTCTGCCAGCAACGGAGAGTGTGTGAGTAAAGTGTATTTGTGGAAGTGGAAATAAAAAGGACCGATTCCGAAGCCGTCTCAAGAAGGTTTATTACACCTGTACACCTTGGGGTGCGACAGGGATGTCCTCTGGCTCCCACATTATTTAACATCTATTTCGACCACGTAGTTTGTGAAGCCTTCAATAGCTGTAACGGAGGAATTTTCATCTGGTACAGGCACAATGGGAGGCTGATCTATGCTCGGGTGCAGTCAAGGGATGGCTCCCTATTGCTCAACCATGTTATGTATTCCGATGATCTGGTAATTGCTGCTTACTCAGAGGAGGAGTTTGAGGCGCTGCTGCTGAATCTGGAGCTTGCCAATAAAAGGTGGGGCCTTACCATCAGCCCCACCAAAACTAAGCACCTGCCTGGGTATTTTGTACCATCGGACACTCCACCCCCACAACTCCCAATTGGTGATAGGGCAGTTGTGGATAGAGTAGAGAGTTTCCCATACCTGGGCAGTGTGCTCATGACCGGCTCCGGTTAAACAGCAGAGGTCTTACTCCGAATCAGTCGAGCAGCATTATCTTTTCATCGGTTGCGTAACGCTGTGTGAAAGCTACCTGGTCTGTCACTCCGCACGAAGCTTCAGGTCTTCTCAGCCACAGTCATTCCCTCCCTTCTCTACGCTTGCGAAACATGGACCCCCCTAATGGAACATCTTCGCCGGTTAGAAACATTTAGGCTGGCCTGTCTATGATCCATCCTGGGTTTAATCAGACTGGTTTGTGTGAGGAGCTCACAAATCCTTGAAAGATCTGGACAAAGTCCCATCGGTGAGCTCCTCCGGCAGGCAAGGTTGCATTGGCTGGGTCATGTAGCCCGCATGCCCAACTACTGCATGCCCAAACAGCTTTTGTTCGTCCAGATCGAGGGGGCTAAATGGGCGTGTCACGGGCTAGAGAAGTGATGGAGTGATGTGGTATAGGAGGACGTGGAGCTGAGTGGACTTGCCGATGACTGGTACCAGCGTTGTCAAGATCCGCCTCTGTGGAGGAGGCTCATGAAGGACGCTACTGGGCAGTTCGAGGCAGTCACCCTCCAATAACAACGGAGGGCGGAGGAGCGACGCTCACAAGAATGAGCGGAGCGCTGGGTGGCTAAAGCACAGCAAGTTGGCACAGTAGGGGGCACAGGTGGTGTATCAGCCAGTCGTCTCAGTCAGTCGACCCGTGGCACCTGGTTCTGCCCCGTGACCTCCTGCCAGCGGGCGTTCGACACTTCACGTGGCCTCAAGGTGCACATAGCCTGGCACAAGCGTCGTGGTGACATCACCGCCACTTAGTGGCGAATGGCGGTTGTTGTTGTTATGCAAATATAAGATGAGAATTATTGGTTAGGGCTAGGAGTTAGAGTTGGGGTTAAGGTTATAGATTCATGATTAGGGGTTATGGGTTTACGGGGTCGGGTTTACAGGGGTTAGGTCATGGTTTTGGGTTATGGGTGAGGGATTACAATTTAGTTCAGGATTAGGTTTAAGGTAGGGTTAGAGTTAGGTTTTGTTTTGTGGACATGAGTTAGGATTGGGGTGTATGAAATACTGTTTAAGGTGAGGCTTAAGGACAGTCGTAACCTAAGGCCGCTCTTTTCGCCCCACCCACTCCGTTCTCCGCTGCCCTCTGCCGGCGTGCACCCCCCCCCCCCCCCACCTTGTGCAGCTAAACGAGGCGTTCTGGCGGCCCGGGTGTGCTGTGCAGTGCACGTGCGCTTCCCCTGGCAGCATCCAGTGCCAGCCGAGCTCCTGCCCCCTCACCTTCAACTTCTGTGGCACTGATAACGAGGGGGTGCACGGGTGTCACCGCAAGAGCCGTGAGTTCCCGCGTTTTTTTTCTTCAAGAAATGTTCTTCATTATCTCACGGTCCGTCATCGCCCGGCACCGAAATACTGATCTGGGCGTCGTGAGCCACAGGTGTGAACCTCAGTCAAATTCGGGGTTATGTTCCTGGAAAATGCCGCCTTGGGCAAAGACCACATACGACAAATATTATGTCTTATGGGAAACATAGGGTTGTGTTCCTGGGTCCGAAGTGATCACCCTTCTCCACTTTCAACACAAAACCGCTGTCTCCGTGACTCTACCCGCAGCGCGGCACTCACGCCCCAACGCTCGCCCCTGGCGCTGAATTGCCCGATGCTCGCCCCTGACACTGACACTTGAATGCTCATGATTCGCCATCTCGGCATCCGTCTGACTGATTAGGAAAAATAAGAATAGGTTTTACCCTTTCTGGTAACAAAACAGGAGGTGTTAAGATGTTCAGACAGCAAATAGAAACCTTTTGCAAGGAATCCAGTATCCATTAACCACACATACTGGTGGTGAACATGCAAATACACATGCTCTTATAACACATTCCTGCGGAGGGAGCTGGTAGGAACGTTGGGTTGCTCGGTCAATGGCCAGGGTCAACGTCGGCGTGGTGTATTCCGCAAATATGCCCGACTGTGAGGCCGGGCACAAGCCGGCGTGAGTAGGTTAAACGTTGAGTTTTATAAGGGCACCACGGGGTGACCAGCCCCTCCCCACCCAGCCCCACCCCTCCCACCCCCCACCCAGCCCCACCCACTCCACCCAGCCCCTCCCCACCCTCCCCACCCAGCCTCTCCCCACCCTCCCCTCCCCACCCAGCCCCACCCTCCCCACCCAGCCCCTCCCCACCCTCCCCTCCCCACCCAGCCCCTCCCTCCCCACCCAGCCCCTCCCTGCACGACAGACACAATAATCCCCTGTGGGCTGGTGTAACCAGGAGGTTCCTACCACTATAAATATGCACATTGTCTTTTAAACTGATTGGTCGACACCAGAGGCAGCAGCCTTCTTTATGGCCCAGTCTCACCAGCATCAGACCAGAGAACGCCAAAAGGCGAGACAATGCACGTATCAGAGCATTTAAACCTCGGGTTGAGCAGGTATATCATTGGACCTTTTGTGCCAGTATCAAAAGTATGAAAAATAAGAATAGGTTTTACCCTTTCTGGCAATAAAATAGCAGGTATTAAGATATTCAAACAGCAAATAGATACCTTTTCCAAGGAATCTGACTGATGTCCGACTGATGTCCCCAACTAGCGGACGGCTACATGCACGCGGCAATGTGTGAACAATTGCATTGTGCCGTTGAGTGCATTGTGTTACACCGTCACACGGAAAAAAGCATGCAAGAACATTCGCACGCGCAGAAAAACACATTTGCGGTACATAAATCGCTCTCGCTGTCGAATCGTTCCGACCTTGCGACGGTCACGGCACTACTTTTCGATGCAGAGATGAGAACCTGAGCATCGTCAAACCGCGTGGAACCAGAACATCACCCCCGGTGTTCCGAAGACAGACCGCATTTAGGCACACCGTGCATAGCCGAAAACACGCGTTCGATTAAACTGCATTGGGCGAGGTTTTCTTGTATATTGTAATGCTCCTACTTTATCAACCCGAACTGACCAGTGTGGCAAATTACGGTTGAACAACCCCCACAATCAACACAGCGTGGGGAGGCTCTCATCCGGTATGAGATTGACACAAGCGCTGTACATGTACAACCCATGGTTAGTGTACTGCATATTCCGCTACTTTAATGGTAAATATTGTGGCACAAAGCAGTGCATTATTTTTCGATTTAAAGCTTTCGTGGCTGCATGGATTCATATTCTTGGATCTTTCGGTAAAGCCACATAGAATGGAAATAATAAAATAATAACAATAAAACATAAAAACATTCTCATGACGTTTCGGCCACAACACAAGCAGCCGTCATCAGGTGAAGAAACAGAGCTGTCGGAAAGCGAGGGTCCTAATGAACACCGCTAAGCTTGGCAGCGTATTTTAAGCTTGGTGGGAGGAGCAGAGCGCCTTGACAAAGGAGTTTACATATCAACAGAGGAATTTAGCATATTGACGTTAAATAACTGCTTCTACCATACCACCATACAATAAACCGATGTGAAAAAACTTGGTATAAACTACATCAATATAATTAATGTACTCTCCAATAAGCTGAGCTATTAACATTAAGTATATGGGTATACACTATTTCTTTAACGTTTTTTTAATGTTATCGTTGTTGATGTTGTTAATGTTATTGTCATAGTTAATATCATCGCTGTTAATCGCATTGATGATGGTTGATATTTTTCTCGATGTGATTGTTGTGGTGGCTCAAGTGGAGTGCACCGCTTGGGGCGACCCACACTACATCACGTTCGACGGCCGCACCTTCGACTTCATGGGCACCTACACCTACGTCCTCACTCAGGTGCGCGAGCCTCGCCCCGTGACCTTTCCACTGCGGGATGAAGGCCTTCACTTGAGTGCCTGGAGAGGGAGCTCGCCATCCACAGCCTCACACTCAGCAGACGAAGTCTTATCAGGCTGGTAGATTCTCCTTGGTGAAGGTAGGTTACTCATCTTGTTTCGAGATTGACCACTGTAGTACAACGAGGCTCTGTACTCGGACCTCCCACACCCTTTGCTGAGTACGTTTCGCCAATTGCCCACCTCATTGAGAGCTTCAATATCAATTGCTGCAACCCGTGAACGACGATACCCAGCTCTCTTCAGCCACAGTTCCTGCTAGGCACATGTGGAACCTGGAACGTTGCACCTCTATTCTGGAGCACTCGTTCTGGTTCAACGATTTTCTTCTAAACTCATCTAAATCTGAAGTACTCTTACTGGACACCAGGAAACTATTCGATTCAACCACAAACAATGTTTGCGCATTTTTGTTAAAGAACGCATATGCGAAACTGAATCAGAATATTTATTTTCCTGGAGGAATCCGATGAGCTATAAAGCTCTTCTTCACAGATGCCCAGTCCGGGCACGGGGTAAGAACGTCACAAAAACAAATAGTACAACACACGATGGTAGTGCAGAGTACAAGAAAGGTAAACAAATCACACATACAAATACAATCCATCCTAAAAGGCAAAGCCCATTGAGATATTAACTTATTTTTCAAATGTGACCTGGCCACAAATGATAGCTCAACAAAGTGGCTTATCATTCGGACAGCAGCAAAATTATCAAAATAATACACTCATAAGGAAATGTGTTCCATAATTCATCAGTGACGTAATGTGAAGCAACGCAAAATGCGATTCCTCTACAGCCCTTCGACAATGACCAAAGCAACACATGCTGACTACAATTAAACCCGCCGTATGTGTATGTACACGCACGCACGCACGCTGCGCCGGCAGCTGTGCTCTGGAGGTGGCTGGAGCGTGCAGGTAAAGAACGAGTTCATCGCTGGCAGCTGGTCCATCGCCTACACCCGCGACGTCTTCATCGAACTCTACCACCACCGCGTGCACTTCGGCCTCGGCTGGAGGGTCTACGTGAGTCTGGGCCCCATCCCGACTGCTGGCCAGGCTAAAACAAAAAAATTCTCTGCTTAGCTTCCGAGTTGCGCGGAAAGGTGGCGTGCGGGGTGGGGCGCTCCCACTCGGGGACGCTGGCCAAGTCGCTCAGAATGAGCGAGGTGGCCAGGAGACAGCAGACTCGCAATGGATTCTTGAATCCATCTGTACGGCGTTTTTTATTGTTATCTCCTCGAATGCCCCCGTGGGTTTTGTCCGGGTGCCTTTCAGCTTCCACCCACGGCAAAGCCAAACTCTCATTCGTGGAATGGAGGGGTGCTGCCATGGCTTAATGGTTAGCACACTGGACTTGCAATCCAGCGGTCGCCGGTGGGGTTCGGGGTAAAGCTTCGGTACTTCCAGCTTTTGTTAGAGGTCTGGCTTGCATGGAAGTGTAGATCTAAATAGCCTCAATAGGGGCTCTCTAGAGCTTCCTGCAGTGGCTTACCTTACAGGCCTGCAACTTTTTTACTTACGTACAATGTGCCGACGATAATTAAAATTAAAATATGAAGCAAATAACTGTATGTAATGGCAGAGATTAGGGATTAATAAAGTACAACCATAACCACAATCATATCAACAGAAATCTATGCATTGATTTATATGAAGACAAGTCCAGGTATTGTGGCCAAGGTTTAGCAAATAGTTTTTTTTTACATAGCATAGCAATTATTTTTTTTATAGCAATATATTGGGGGGGACATTTTGAGCATATTTTCATAGTGGGGGGGATGTGTCCCACCCAATATATATTTTATTTACGGCCTTGCAAGTGACGAGTATGTTCATAAGCCCTGGGCATCCCTTAGTACGGGTGCTGACCTCGTGTGCCATGCCGGTCTTCGTAGGTGCTATTCGCTAACAGCACTTGCCCCAACAGTCTGCTAAGGCTAGATTACCATTGTTGCAACTGCCGTGCCAAAGAGAACTACCGCAACGTTCACAGTAGCAGTGGTAGCACTGACAAAACCTTGTTTTCCACAGCTGGACGGAGTAGCGATCAACGTGCCGTACTACTACTCCAACGGCAGCGCGGAGTTCTCCGTGATTCGCTCGGGGAACTTCATGCGCCTGTGGAGCGACTTCAAGCTGGAGGTTCTGTACGACGGGGGCAGCCACGTCGTGGCACGCCTCCCCACGTCCTTCAACAATGCGCTGTGCGGCCTCTGCTCCAACATGAACGGGAACCCCGGTGACGACTTCGTGATGAGGGACGGCACCCGCACCACGTCGGCCTCCGACTTCGGCAACAGTTGGAAGATAACGGAAGCCGGCTCTCCCGAGACGTGAGAGTGTGTGTGTGTGTGGGAGATGACATCCTGCCTTGACGAATGGACGGGGAGCGGTGGTGTAGTGGGTTAGTGCGCTGCGCTACGAACCCGGCGACCCGGGGTTTGATTCCCGCTCATGGCCAACACCAGTGACGATTATCTAAACCGTTCCTGGGCCTCCCCTAAGTCGGCTCAGCCTCAAATGAGTACCTTGTGCGGTGTGTAAGCATTGCCATTGGGGAGACAAAGGCGGTCGGGCGTGGTACTAGCCACCCCCTCGTGTACTGTTCCGGCCTTCATAGGTGCTTGCTAACAGTACTTGCCCCAACAGTCAGCTAAGGCTACACGGGGGATCTTTGTCTTGAGGAATGTTCCACACTTTATAGTGAATGGTGTCTAAACTAGTCCACTGGGCCACAGGGATCCTCCTCCACACCCAGAATTTAGTCATTCCACGTGGCCAGCCACAGCGATCTGTTGTTTCTGGAGGAACACTGATGGGGGGTGGGGGGTAAGGGAGTTCAGTCTACTTCATGACATCAGACAACAGTGAGTGGCTCTTCTTTTCTTCAAAAGAATGAAGGGGGGGCTGAGGGGAGGTGCAAGTCACAGGCTTATGTGGGCTCAATACCCTGTCAACAAAAGGTGGGTTAACGGTGGTGGTTATTTATGATCCCACTAAAGATGAACATCTGTGGAAAGGATGCAGGAAAGGATAACGAGTGGGATGTCTTTTACGTCCTTCCTGTCCGAGGAGCTGGCTAAAGTGCCCCTCCCCTCTGGGGTAGAGTCATCTTATTGACGCCAAGAGTTGGGCAGGAGGGATTGAAAAAGGCATGGGCGAGATTGGCTCAATGACAACGGTGTGAGGCTGCCAGGATTCCGTGCAGCCCATGGACACGTAATCCACCAGCACGACGTTTCGGCATCAGCGCATCCGCGCGACGTCACGGATGCACTCCGGCATCTGCTGCCTGCCCGCCAATTGTCTCCCCTGCGGTTTCTCTGTTCTCAACAAAAAAATAATTCTCACAGCGGCTCCGACGACGCAGGCGACGGCAAGGCCCCGGACCCGACCGACGTGGCCGCGGCGTTGGGTAACGACAGGTGCGGCATGCTGAATGACTCCACGGGCCCCTTCGCCGCCTGCGCCGGCGCCGTCGATCCACGGCCCTACGTGGATGGCTGCGTGTTCGATCTGGCGCTGCAGGCCCCCGCCGGCACCGCCCCGCTGTGCCGCGCCCTCTCCGCATACCACGCTGCCTGCGTCAAGGCCGGCGTCGCCCTGGGCGGCTGGAGGAACGAGACACTCTGCCGTGAGTCGCCCGGCATCGTATCGACCCTCCGGCATCGCACCCTGAAGCAGTCGGGGGCCAAGGGGCCCCCCTAGGTGGCAGCTGCCCCTATGTGGCATCAGGTGCACTCACAATACCGTTGTGGTGTATTTGTTACCACGCTGAATGGAAGGTCGACGGGATTCGATTTGATCTCCTGGCTTGGTAAGTGAAACTGTGGTGCAGGTTTCTGGAATCAGCAGCGCCAGTGGTATGAATGGGTACAGCACAGTCAATCGACTGGTCACGTGTAGGGAAAGTGTGCGAACTTCCGCTTCTTTTAAAAACATAATGCCATCATGAGAGTAGGCCAAAGTAACTTATAGAAGGCTTCCTAGAGCCCTTACAACAGCAGTGGTATGAGAAAGTAAACAAAAATGAAAACTTTATTTTTATTTTACCAGGTAAGGCCCACTGAGCTACATAGCTGTTTTTCAGAAGTGACCTGGTCACAAATGACAAAGTGGCTTATCACTTGGAAATCTGTTGCAGCCAAATACTCGAAGCACACATTTCTAAATGTAGACGGAAACACCGGAGGACCCAGAGAAAAATCCACGCAACCATGGGGAGAGAGACACACAAACTCCAAATATACAGCAGCAGGCATCAGGGTTGTTATCGAACCCACGACCTCCTGTATACCAGGCGAGGTATTTAACATCTCCTAGGAACCGTCGCACCCCAGTGTTGGTTCTATAGGCAGTGTTAGTCTATGTGCAGTGTTGAGTGTGTGGGCAGTTTTGAGTCTATGTGCAGTGTTGAGTCTATGGGCATTGTTGAGTCTATGGGCAGTGTTGAGTATATGGGCAGTGTTGAGTCTATGTGCAGTGTTGAGTCTATGGGCGGTGTTGAGTCTATGGGCAGTGTTGAGTCTATGGGTAGTGTTGAGTCTATGGGCAGTGTTGAGTCTATTGGCAGTGTTGAGTCTATTGGCAATAGACTCAACAATCTGGGAAATAGAGAAGAGGTGACGGTCAACATCCCGCCACCGCGGTGCCCAATTTCCGGCAGGGCTACATCTTGACTTTCACCTCCACCCACTCCTCTCCCTCTTCATCCGTGACCTCTCCACAGCCTCCCCAGTGTGCCCCGGCAGCGGCTCGTACTCGCACTGCGCCTCCCCGTGCCCCGCGACGTGCGCACGGGGTCCGGGCGAGGGTCAGTGCACGGGAGGCTGCGTGGAGGGCTGCGTCTGTGACGCGGGCTACCTGCTGGAGCACGACCGGTGTGTGCGCGCGGACCAGTGTGGCTGCATCAGCAACGGCAAGTACTACAAGGTGAGACGCGTGTTTGCGTGTGTGCGTTTGTGTGTGTGCCAAGGCCGTAATTATAATATATATTGAGGGGGACACATCCCCCCCAATATTAAAATATGCTCAAAATGTCCCCCCCAATACATTGCTATAAAATAGATTTCTGTTTATATAATTGTGGTTATGGTTGTACTTTATTAATCCCTAATCTCTGCGATTACATACAATGCAACAAGAAAAGGTAAAAAAGAAAAAACTGAGCAATGTAATACAATTACACTATTAGACATTATTGTAAAAAATAAATAAACGTCCATCCTATGTGTTAGTGAATTTTTAAATCTTTTAGGCAGGAAATGGCAAGAAATTATTTTCAAATTTAGATGCTTTTTTCTGGGGGGGGACCCCCAGACCCCCTGGAAGATTTAGTCCCCCCCAATGTTGACTCCATGGCTACGGCCTTGGTGTGTACATGCAGTAGATGGTACAGATATGTAATAAAGGACTCGTTCACTGTGTCTGTCTCCGTTGTCCTTTATTCGGGTTCTTTACAACTTGTCCCACACGGCCCTCGCTCAGAGCCTCTCCGCTTGGCAGCTCGATGCTGCCATCGCTCCCGTAGTCTCTCTCCACTCCGATGCAGCTCCGCTGCTGGTACCCCCGTGCAGGCCTCTGGCTGCCCTCACTGCAGCCCCACCGCTGCTCCCCGTTCCTCCGTGCTCGGTCACCGCTGGCCGACGGTGCCGAGTCTTACTGTGTGTGTGGCGAACTCGCCACTCTCCAACATCCGCCCTGCGTGGCCTCACTCTATCTCTATCTCCAACTCTCTCCCGTCTCTTCCGGTATCTCTCCCTTAAGACCTCATCTCTCTCTCTCACGTGACCTAACTCCTCCCCCCGTGACGTCATATCCACGAGGCCGTTTACGCCCGCATTACAGATACAATGGGAGGCTGATCGATGCCCGGGTGCGATCGAGGGATGGCTCCCTATTGGTCAATCATGTTATGTATGCCGATGATCTGGTGATTGCTGCTCACTCAGAGGAGGAGTTGAAGGCGCTGCTGCCGAACCTGGAGAGTGCTACTAAGAGGTGGCGTGTTACCGTCAGCCCCACCAAAACTAAGCACTTACCTGGGTATTTTATGCCACCAAACACTTCACCCCCTCAGCTCCCCACTGGTGATGGAGCAGTTGTGGAGAGAGTGGAGAGTTTCCCATACCTGTGAACAGTGTGCTTATGACCAGCTCCGGTTTGACAGCAGAGGTCTCACTCTGAGTCAGGCGGCAATATATTTTCATCGGCTTCGTAATGCTGTGTGGAAGCTACCTGGTCTATCGCTCCACATGAAGCTTCGAGTCTTCTCGGCCACAGTCATGCCCTCCCTTCTCTATGCTTGTGAAACGTGGACCCCTCTAATAGAACATATGTGCCAGTTAAAAAGATTCAGGATGGCCTGCCTACCATCCATCCTGGGTTTAATCAGGCTGGATTGTGTGAGGAGCTCACAAATTCTTGAAAGATCTTGACACATTCCCATCAGTGAGCTCCTCCGGCAGGCAAGCCTGCATTGGCTGGGTCATGTAGCCCAAGCAGCTTCTGTTTGGCCGCATAGAGGAGGCTAAACGGGCACGACACCGGCTGGAGAAGAGATGGACTGATGTGGTACGGGAGGATGTGGAGCATAGCGGACTTGCTGAAGACTGGTACCAGCGGTGTCAAGATTGGCCTTTATGGAGGAGGCTCGTGAAGGACTGCTACTGGGCAGTTGAAGCCAGTCGCCCTCGGACAACAACTGAGGGCAGAGGAGCGATGCTCACAACGAGCGGAGTGCCAGGCAGATAAATAGCAGCAAGTTGGCACAGTAGGGGGTACAGCTGGTGCATCTACCAATCCATGGCACCTGGGTCTGTCCCGTGACCTTTTGTCAGCGAGCCTTCAACACTTCACTTGCCCTCAAAGTGCACCTGGCCTGTCACAGGTGCTGTGGTGACGTCACCGTCACTTCGTGGCGAATTGCGGGTATTGATGTGTACGTGTGTGTGTGTAAATGTGTGTTTACGCGTGTGTGTACGTGTACATATGTGTGTGTTGTGGGGAGTGGTGGCGTAGCGGTTAGCACGCTGCGTTATGAACTTGGCGACCTGAGTTCAATTCCCGCTCATGGCCAACACCAGTGACGATTATCTGTTCAGGCTACATGGGAGGTTCTTTCTCTTTGTTTTTGTTGTTGACGTGCGAGAAACAAACCCAGAGGTTCCTGGAGGCTGGAAAAAGAGGGTGCAGTGGTGGCTAGGAGATGTTAACTACCTCGCCTGGTATACGGGAGGTCGTGGGTTCGATCCTGACCGTGACGCCTGCTGCTGCTGCTGTATATTTGGAGTTTGCGTGTCTCTCTCTATGTGGTCGCGTGGATTTTTCTCCGGGTCCTCTGGATTTTCCCTCCAAATTTTGAATCAACGTCACTATGCATTTAGAGAATTTGGCTGCTGCTATAAATGTCCATACGACGATGACCCATTTTCGCAGAGCTATCATTTGTGATGGCCAGGTCGCTTCTGAAAAAAACAGCTACATGGCTCAGTTTAGTTTAAGAATGCCACGTGAGGCCTCCTTGTTCATTATCTTATGGGAAATAAATAAATAAAGTGCCACTCTCATCCTACCTGAGGTTCGCGGCAAATATCCACCTTTCGGAGCAGCACGGCACAAAACACGCAAGGCACACGTGTGTCACGTGGGGTGCACGTGCAGCTCGGGATGTCTCCTTATTCTGGGTTATAAAATTCCTTAACACTCTCCTGTGACGCCGCGTGTAGTTTTCATAATGCGAATCGGATATAACGCGATGAATGTATTATAGGGAACGTGCTTTTATGAAACGCGGATGCCAATTGTATATAACGAGATCGAGCGAACGGTTGTACGACTGCCTCGGCGTAACATCGCCACGCAAGGCATTGGGATGCTGCTGGATGCTTCTAGATGCTACCCACGCACCTCAGCCTTTGTTCGGCGTGCGTACGCATCTCACGTGTTATCGTGTACTGTGCTTTACTCCCTATATATTATATATTAATGATTAAAACGAGATTTTTTCCCCGTAACGCGGTATTCTTCGAGAATGCAACTATCACCGCTGCGTTATAGGGGGAACACATACAGTGAGGGAAAAAAGTATTTGATCCCCTGCTGATTTTGTACGTTTGCCCACTGACAAAGAAATGATCAGCCTATAATTTTAATGGTAGGTTTATTTGAACAGTGAGAGACAGAATAACAACAACAAAATCCAGAAAAACGCATTTCAAAAATGTTATAAATTAATTAGCATTTTAATGAGGGAAATAAGTATTTCACCCCCTCTCAATCAGAAAGATTTCTGGCTCCCAGGTGTCTTTTATACAGGTAACGAACTGAGATTAAGAGCACACTCTTAAAGGGAGTGCTCCTAATCTCAGCCTGTTACCTGTATAAAAGACACCTGTTCACAGAAGAAATCAATCAGATTCCAAACTCGCCACCTTGGCCAAGACCAAAGAGCTCTCCAAGCATGTCAGGGACAAGATTGTAGACCTACACAAGGCTGGAATGGGCTACAAGACCATCGCCAAGCAGCTGCGTCAGAAGGTGACAACAGTTGGTGCGATTATTCGCAAATGGAACAAACACAAAAGAACTGTCAATCTCCCTCGGCCTGGGCTCCATGCAAGATCTCACCTCGTGGAGATGCAATGATCATGAGAACGGTGAGGAATCAGCCCAGAACTACACGGGAGGATCTTGTCAATGATCTCAAGGCAGCTGGGACCATAGTCACCAAGAAAACAGTTGGTAACACACTACGCCGTGAAGGACTGAAATCCTGCAGCGCCCGCAAGGTCCCCCTGCTCAAGAAAGCACATATGCATGCCCATCTGAAGTTTGCCAATTAACATCTGAATGATTCAGAGGACAACTGGGTGAAAGTGTTGTGGTCAGATGAGACCAAAATGGAGCTCTTTGGCATCAACTCAACTCGCCGTGTTTGGAGGAGGAGGAATGCTGCCTATGACCCCAAGAACACCATCCCCACCGTCAAACATGGAGATGGAAACATTATGCTTTGGGGTGTTTTTCTGCTAAGGGGACAGGGCAACTTCACCGCATCAAAGGGACGATGGACGGGGCCATGTACCGTCAAATCTTGGGTGAGAACCTCCTTCCCTCAGCCAGGGAATTGAAAATGGGTCGTGGATGGGTATTCCAGCATGACAATGACCCAAAACACACGGCCAACGCAACAAAGGAGTGGCTCTAGAAGAAGAACATTAAGGTCCTGAAGTGGCCTAGCCAGTCTCCAGACCTTAATCCCATAGAAAATCTGTGGAGGGAGCTGAAGTTTCGAGTTGCCAAACGTCAGCCTCGAAACCTTAATGACTTGGAGAAGATCTGCAAGGAGGAGTGGGACAAAATCCCTCCTGAGATGTGTGCAAACCTGGTGGCCAACTACAAGAAACGTCTGACCTCTGTGATTGCCAACAAGGGTTTTGCCACCAAGTATTAAGTCATGTTTTGCAGAGGGGTCAAATACTTATTTCCCTCATAAAAATGCAAATCAATTTATAACATTTTTGAAATGCGTTTTTCTGGATTTTTTTTTGTTATTCTGTCTCTCACTGTTCAAATAAACCTACCATTAAAATTATAGACTGATCATTTCTTTGTCAGTGGGCAAACGTACAAAATCAGCAGGGGATCAAATACTTTTTTCCCTCACTGTAGTTTATTGTATTGATGATGCACCTTCCGTGCAGCACATCTCGAGTTGGCCTACAGCAGTCTCGCCAAGGTGGACTCCCAGTCGCAGGCTGTCCCACAAGGTGGTTATGGGTAATGTTGATGACGATGACATTGATGAGGATGATGAAGCAAATGTAAACGATTATGTTAAATTGATGATGACTCGAATGCTGATTATACTCTGGATGATGATGTTGTTGATTCTGTGTGTATGTGTGCGTGTGTTTGCGCGTGTGTGTATGCATGTGTGCGCCTGTTTGCGCGCGTCTGTATGTGTGCTTGTGTGCGCGCGCGTGTGTGCGGTGTGTGAGCGTGTGTGTGCGTGTGCATGCGTGTGTATGTGTGTGCGTGTGTATGTGTGCGTGTGCATGCGTGTGCGTGCGTCTGTGTGTGTGTGCATGCGTGTGTGTGTGTGCGCCAGCTGGGAGATGAGTTCATCTCGGATGACTGCAGGAGCCGGTGCGTGTGCGAGGCCGGCGAACTGGAATGCGACGCCTTCTCCTGCCCTGCCCTCCACACGTGCGGACTCACGGACGACGGCAAGATCGGCTGCAATGCCCTGGAGGGTGAGGTCATCGTCGTCACCATCATCATCGTCAACATCCTCACTAATATCTCCAACGTTACAATCAATACAAACATCATCATCATTACAACCATTCTGCACGTGGGCATGAGTCTGGAAGGAGGGGGAATGTGTTGCTCTGTGGCTTTCCACAATTATTTTTTTATTTCATCTGCCTTCTTCCTCCCCTGTGTGTAACCACCCTCCCCCACTCCCCCCATGCCCCCTTCCACCACCCCCCCACCCATGCCCCCTTCCACCACCGCCCACCCCCGGACCTCCAGGTCACTGCCAGGCGTCCGGCGACCCCCACTACGTGACGTTCGACGGGGCCTACTTCGACTTCATGGGCACGTGCGCGTACACGCTGGCCGCCCCGTCCGCGCGTTACGCCGGCTCGCGGCTCAGCGGCGCGTGGCACGTGCTGGTGGAGAACGAGGCGATGGGCGCTAGAGCTGACGTGTCGTACACGCGCGCCGTCGAGGTGCGGCTCGGCAACCACACCAGGGTTAGACTCTTGCCTGGGGGCGTCGTCCAGGTAAGGGTTTTTGGCTTGGCAATTTGTTTTCATAAATAAAGCACACACAGACAATTTCAACGAACCGAGTCGACAACAAATTCCAGACACGGACGTGCTTGTTTTGATTGCGTGCTATTCATGTTGAACTGATTTCGCACCGCCGTACGTAGTCACCCGTGCTCATCGGAGGTGCGTGGTAACTGAAGCATATTCAAAGTGAAAAATAAATGTTATTGATGCCACCAATCGAGCTGTGGATGTGGTTGGTTGCCAAGGGAATAGACCAGAGGAAAGCCACTCATACGCAGTGTTGCCATCGGCCATCCTTGAGGTTCTTCTGCCACCCTAAGACGTGGGAAAGCAGTGGCATCCCAACCGAGCACCTTGATGAAGAGCCGATTAATGGAACAGCCCTGGTTTCTCTCTGCTGCCCCGGAAAAAGTGGGGATCGCTCTCAACCAGTGTCCCCACAACATCACGTGAAAGATATTTCCTCCGTAAATAAAACTATCGAGGACCCCACCAAATTGTGATTCTGGTGAGGTGTCAAACCACAAGGCGTGTGTGTCACTGATCACTGCCCCGATATAACCACGCTGTGCTACTTGCCCCCCCGGATTACCATGGAATGGCTCACAACGTTAAATGCATACTGGTAGCCCGTTGCCTTTTTGTGTACAAACGCCATGTGAAAGAAGGAGTAATGAACAGATTACCTACGCTCCCACTAGCCTTGTGGCGGCGGACTGTATGTGCCAACTTTCCAGAACGCTCTTTCAGAAGACAGCTTTCCGCAGATATGAATTACCCGCCAGAGGACAGCAGGACCACCACCAGCTGTTTAAAATAAATTTCCAGACATTTTAAAGTTGTGTGTTCAAAAACACCTCATTAAAGACGATTCTCTTGAGCACCGTATTCCCTTGATCGTAAAACACGACGAACAATTTTTAAAAATTACCCCAAAGTTTGGCGTGCGGCTTACGTTCTCGAGTTTCTTAAAATGCAGAGAATATGATAAACATGAAGCGATTATAACGACGAATCACCGTCGCCGCCCGACAGCTGAACGGCGAGACGGTGAGCATGCCGGCGCTGCTGCCCGGCGCCACGGTAGTGCAGCTGGGGAGCCTGGCGGTGCTGTCGGCGCCGGCGGCCGGCCTCACCGTCAAGTTCGACGGCGTCGCCCACGTGGACGTGGGGCTCAAGGCCGACTTCGCGGGCGCCGTCGAGGGGCTGTGCGGGAACTACGACGGGGACGCCGGCAACGACTTCACGGGGCCCGGCGGCGAGCGTCACCGCACGCCGCACACGTTCGGCAACGCCTGGCAGAGCGAGGCGTCCGCCAGTAAAGCGACGTGAGCGCTCGCACCAAGGCCGTAGCCATGGAGTCAACCTTGGGGGGGGACCAAATCTTCCAGGGGGTCTGGGGGTCCACCCCCCTAAAAAAAATCTCTAATTTGAAAACGAATTTCTTGCCTAAAATGTAAAAAAATTTCACTAACACATAGGATGGACTTTTATTTATTTTTTACAATAATGTCTAATAGTGTATTGTATTACATTGCTCTTTTTTTCCTTCTTTTTTTACCTTTTCTCGTTTCATTTTATGTAATGGCAGAGATTAGGTATTAATAAAGTACAACCACAATCATATAAACAGACATCTATTTTATAGCAATATATTGGGGGTGACATTTTGAACATATTTGAATATTGGGTGGGGGGGGATGTCCCCCCCTCAATATATATTATAATTACGGCCTTGGCTCGCACGCACAAAGACAGAGATCCCCCGCGTATAGCGTGTAACAAATTGTTGGGGCTGTTTGCGAGTAGGCACCTATGAAGGCCGGCACGGCACGGCACGTGAGGGGGCGGGTGGCCAGTACCACCCCCGGTGTGCGATGTGTACGACACACCGCACCAGGTACTCATTTGAGGCAGAGTCGACCTAGGGGAAGCCCAGGACCGGTTCAGATAATCGCCACTGATGTTGGCCGTGAGCAGGAATTCAACTCGTCGGGTTCGTAGTGCAGTGTGCTGACCGCTACACTACCACTCCCCATGCACACGCATGCACATGGACACACTTTACAGACGGCTCTCTCATTTACGGATTAGTCTGACAATCGGGCCTAGATATGAAACTGTTTGGATTGTCCTGAAACGAAAACTATTGTTTCAGATTAATCCAAAGATGCAACGTTCATTTCATTCCGTCGCAGGGTAGCGATGTCACCTCCATGATGTCACGGGTAGTGACGTCACAGTCATGACGTCACACCAATGCCATTCCCGCTAAAAGTGGTATGTAACGTGGCTGACGTGATTTTGTTGGCACAAATTACACGTCACGTTATCAAGCAATCTAAGATCCGAAATTGTGCTTGAAAATTCGATTGAAAAAAAATATCAAACGCATTCATAACGCATGCGGATGTCGCGTCCCCACGGGCACGGGGAGAACAAACTGGACCCTGTTCTAGCCACTGGGTCATTTGGGCCCCGGCCAAGATTATTCCAACCAAGGGGGTTGTCTCCTTTGTGGCGGGCGTTGTGGCTCACTTTGCCAAGAGCAGCCGTTGCACTATTCCGCCAGGCCACGCTACGATAACAATGTTAATGTCACAAGGCCTCAGATCCCCCCACTCCCACCTTCGACCCCCAACCCCAACCAAAGCATCTCTCTCTCTCTCTACAATGATTGCAGCTGTGAGCCAGACTACGGCCACACGGTGATGCCCGGCGACGCGGAAAAGGCGTCGGCCGAGGTGCTGTGCGACCTCTTGCGCAGCGAGCGGTCGCCCTTCGCCCCGTGCTTCGCAGCGGTGCCGCCCCAGCCGTACTTCGCCAACTGCGCGTTCGACCTGGCCCTCTCGACGGGGACGGCGCTGCGCTGCTCGCACCTGCAGGGATACTTCGCCACGTGCCTGGCGCGCGGGGTGCTGCTCGCGGAGTGGAGGGCGGCCGCCAACTGCCGTGAGCTACATTTTCCTGTCTCACCGTCGTTGTCACCACCACCACGACCAACGTCGGCACCGCTGCCACTATCCGCAACCATTACCGGCGTCATCAATTGGCACTGGCGTGGCCGAACGGTAGTGCAATTTGTCACTTGTGGCAGAGGTTCGTGGGTAGAGCCCAGTGGCAGTGTTGGTTCAGAGTAATTGGCTGCTGCTATGCATTTCCACGTGATGATATGCCACTTCGTTGAGCTATCGTTAGTGGCCAGGTCGTTTCTGAAAAAGAAGAGCGATATAGCTCCGTGTGCCTTACCTGGTAAAATACAAATAAAACATTTTTTCAATAGTTGAAATACTGATAGGTATTAAAGATCCCGTGACGTTTTTCGGAAAGAAATAGGCCATGTATGCAGGCGTCACAGTCAAAACTTCCTCGTTTGATAAATTACTCTAAAATCACCCAATTTGGAGAAAACCTAGAGAGCAACATCACCCCGTGTTAGCAGACTTATGCCCATTTTGTGGCCTGCGCAGAGTTCTCCTTGCACTGCACAGGAGCAGCTGGCACCTTGGACCCCCCTTGGCTAGACTGCAGCGGATGCCTCGAGATGCATGGGAGGGAGTGGGATACAAATTGAGGTGATCATCATGATCGTGTTCGATGCAAGAAAGAGTGGGTCTTGCAGGCCACTCATTATTCACTATCGGCTCTTCCATTGCGGCAGATACTGGCCAAGCCTGGTGTGAGTGTAACCTTGGTGAAAGGGTTATCTCCATTAGCTCACAATCTGTGTGTGTGAATGCGAACACGCTGCTAGTGTGGCTAAATGACAGTACCTACTGTGTATTTGTGTGTGTGGGGAGCGATGGAGTAGCAGTTTGCGTGCTGCGCTGTGTACCCCGCGACCCGAGTTCGATTCCTACTCAAGGCCAATACCAGTACAGATTATCTGAACCGGTCCTGGGCCTACCCCTAGGTGTGCTCAGCCTCAAATGAGTACCTGGTACGGTGTGTAAACTTCACCACTGGGGAGACAAAGGCGATTGGGCGTGGGACCGACCACCCACCCCCTCGTGTACCGCGCCGGCTTTCAAAGGCGCTCGCTAGCAGCACTTGCCCAGACAGCCTGTGGGAAAAAGCAACACGGGTTATCTTTGGTGTTCACCGCACTGGCGTGTATTTGTGTGCCACAGCGCTGACGTGCCCGGCTCGCAGCGCGTACAGCGCGTGCGCCCCACCCTGCCCGCCCTCGTGCGGGCTGCCCGCGGCCGCGTGCCCGCGGGGCCGCGTCTGCGCCGAGGGCTGCGTGTGCGACGCCGGCTTCTTCCTGCAGGGCGGCACGTGCGTGGCGGCGGCGGACTGCGGTTGCACGCACGACGGCGTCTACAGAGATGTGAGCTCGACACGATCACGCTGAGATTAACAATGAACCTATTGCTCACCCTATCGCTCACCCTACGTTCATCGCAAGCACGGTCCCAACACCGACACTGCATGCATGACGGAGTCTACAGAGACGTGAGCTCCACACGGTCACACTGAGATTAACACTCGCCCTATCACGTATCAATACTGGAACATAAATACGATTCTACCACTGATACTGCATCGCAAATGGGAGACTGCAAATGGACGCAGGAAAGTCAAACGACACTAACGAGATATCTGGGACACTTTTTCCAGCATCAAGATTTTTAATGATAAAACAAAAGATTTGACCAATTTTGGCATGAATACACATGCAAAAACGAGACACCTTTTAACTATTACAAGGCATCAAATCTTTACGTCTTGTTATAGGTATATGTGGTTAATGCAGTATGTGTGGTTAATGCAGATTTGATGCCATTTGTGTATTAGGTATCTGCATCATGGCAGATGCGGATACCTGATGCACAAATGGAAAATTAAAAGCTCTCCAGTAGTAGTGTGCGACTGTGGTCATCCAGAACAGACCGTACAACGCCTAACGACGCAATGACACAAAGACGCACATGCAACACGGGTGCTGTTTTTCAAGATGGCCACCATATTTTCCGCTCATGTACATTTAGACACGGAAATTGATTTGAGTGATCTTCGTGTCTGAATACTATACTGAATCACATCTATGTTACACTTAAACTAAATCCGCGATAAGTAAATTACTCCAGTGTACTTTTGATGTCTATTAGACTTGTGTATATGTTATTATCAGTCCTGCATCAGTCATCTAGACCAAATTATTAGAAAATTACAGATACATTCACTGGGTATAGTAAATCTATTTTCCTAACTTCATCAAATGAGGTTCTTCGGTGTGGCACAAGTAGAAATGTGCACCTACAGTTTTATTAGTTTTCTCTCAATAGTGGAAGTTGGTATTTTTTTTACAAGGTCCCTATTTGCTCTAGGTTTCAACGACACGTGTATGTACACGGTCGTAATCAATATTTGATTCTGGTCAGTGAGTGGCTGCCCCGGCTCTTGAGTGGCCTTGTTTGCATAATTGCACATGAGCTGCGTAGATAATGGAGGTCTGCTATAGGCCTGCTCAGCGTGACATTGTTCCATTTTACAGGTAAGGGACCTACGTTTGTGAAAGATAATTCCAAAAAGGTTAATAACCTTCAACATCCCAATGCCTTTTGCAATACTACGCCGAGGCAGCCATACCACCCCTTATTCCTACTCGCACATCGTAGTTACATTCACTCGATTGCGTTATACTATATATCCAATTTGTATCCGCGTTATAAAATAATGCGTTCCCTAATACATTAATCGCGTTATATGCGATTCGCGTTATGAAAACCACACGTAGCAGGAGAACTGACTATGTCATTACTTGATTGTGTGGTTCCGTCTGTGCGTGTCGTGTGGATTCCCAGGTGGGGCAGTCGTGGTATAGCCACGACTGCTCGCGTCGCTACAGGTGCCGCTCCCAGGGGGTGGTCGCGGAGGAGGCAGGCGGATGCCACGGGGGAGAGGCGTGCTTCCTCAAGGAGGGCCGCTTGGGCTGCCACCCAGGTACGCCCTATCCCACCCCCCAATCCCACTCTCTTGCCAGGACCACCCACACAGGGACGCCTTCACTCATAACCCCTTTCTCGACTGGCGCATCCAAGCTGAGCTAACGCCGGGGCCACTCAGGGTGTGGGTGTTTTTTTCTCCTGCAGGCACAATCAAGCCACGTCAGGGCGTGGTGCTGCCTATGAGGTGCCAGGTGTTTTTTTTCCACTGCAGAAGCTGAGCCATACTGCCAATGTCACAAGCCATGAACGAGTCACGACGCGTGTAGACGATGCGGCGATGTGTTGCGCTCCTCGCAGTGTGCCGACTGACGTCCCCTCTTCCTCCTTCTCTTCCCCCGTAGCGGAGGTGGCGTTGTCGTGCGAGGGAGAGCGCATGTCGGCGCGCATCCCGCGCGTGCTGGTGCTCAACTACACGGCGAGCGACACGCGGCTCAATGACCCCACGCCGCCCGGCTGCTCCCTCGTCGACGACGGAGACTTCATCACCTTCGACATCGGAATAGCCGACTGCGGCGCCGTCTGCCAGGTGACGGAAGATCACATTCAGCACGTCCATTGATTGACCGATCGTCGATGGATCCACAAATTGACTGACTGACCAACGATTATTTTTTAATCGACAAATAGACAGACTGGCTGACAAACGTGTGGACCAACTGACGAGATGGAGTAATGAAATGAGCTCTTGTGCAGTTGCTACCTGGATTGTTGCATCGCGAGGACTGCGATGCCTTGAGGAGACCTTTATCTAAAAGTGGATAAATCATGGCTAACATTGGTGATGTGTCTTTATCTCTCCCGCACCGTGCCCCTTCTTATTTCTGCTTTGCCCTGTGATCCTTCAGGAAGTGGACAAGTCAATGATTTTTTCACAAACGGTGATGCTCAAGGCAAACAACAGAAGCCAAGTGATCACGCGCAACTTCAATGACATCCAGGTTCTCATCAAGTACGTGCGTTTGTTTGCGTAATATTTGCTAGCTAACAGCACTTGACCAAGCTGCCTCTGTAAGTTACACGGGAGATATTTGTCTTTGTGTGTGGGCGTTAGTCTGTTTGGGCGTTACCTCCGCGGTGGTGCCAGATGGTATTGCTGTGGTGGATGCAATCAATGCCCCTCATGAGGCTTGTAGCCATCACAGCGGCCAATGGGGACTCTGGACTAGTGCGAGAGGCATGTGCCAGATCAGCTCAATAACAATAGTAGGAGGCAGCTAGACTTCTGTGCAGTCCATGGGCTTGTAATTACCAACACTGCTGTTCCAGCATCGGCACATCCACACAACATCATGGTTGCACTCCAGGTCCAAACAAGAACATCTGCTGGACTATATAGAGATGGAACAGTGGATGCGGGCCCATGTCCTTGGCACCAGGACCTCCTGAAGAGATGATCTGCCCACTGACCACCGGTTTGTCATCTGTAAGATGTGCCTGCTATTCTTCCACCCCGGTGGTGGGTGTCCATCTAGGACCCCATTCAAACCCACAATGGCCTGGTTTCAGCGAGCTGATGAAAGTTATAAGTGAGAATTCCATCATCGCCTGCAGCTGGGTTGGCATCGCCCCTACTCCTCCTGATGCCGAGGGGAAATGGGCAACGTTTAGGACTGTGGCTCATTCAGCTGCAATGGCTGCTTTGGGTACGTAGTCCAAACCTACCTAGTGACCCTGGCTGATGGAGCACGCGTTACAACTGGCTGAGAAAAGCGACAAGCCCACTCCCACCATTTACAGCATCCTACGTCGTAGAATGAGGAGGCTTACTGTAGCCTTCGCTCGGAGGTTCGGAGAGCGGTGCGGTGCTCTAAGGATGGGTGGTGGTCATGGGTTGCAAAGGAGATGGAATCTGTCTTCTTAGTTCTTTCGGTAAAGTCACGTAGAAGGGAAGTAATAAAATAAAAATAAAACATAATAAAATAAAATAATTCTCACGACGTTTCGGCTACAACGCAAGCAGCCGTCTTCAGGTGAAGAATGAGACAATGCCAAGCTAGGAGCTTATATATAAGCTGCGTTGGAGGTGGAGGAAAGAGCGCCTTAACAAAAGAATGTGCATGTGAAGAGGAATTTAGCATATTCATGGAAAATGCGTAGGAGGTGGGCGGGGGGGTTTCAAAGTCATATTATGCCCATGCATTATGCAGGATCAACAGCACCAAGGGGGGGGTGCAGGGATTAGCAGTAACAAAGGAAAGGAATGTTAATGATATGTAGCTGCAGTTACTCAACCACCACGTCGAAAACTAAAGTATAAACTACATAAAAAACTAAAGTATAAATAGCATAGCACCATCAGTATACTTACTATACTCTACACTAAGCTGAGTTACTAACAGCAAGTAATACATTACAATTCTACGTCGTAAAAATTATATAATATGCTTCCATCTAAACTTTATTCTATTGCATCACACGAGCATATACCGTACTATATACTGCCAACATTAAATTATATACTGTATTGCTGTAAACCAACCTATATCTTATACATTTAATATAACACTATGTATTATTCTACCCACCCTAATGTGTGTCGAAATGGTTTATTACGTCCTTCCAATGATTGCTAAGCCAGAATCCATCTTCTCGGTTAAAATTGTCTCTGTGTTTGTATATGTGGATCGCCTCATGAACGAATCTCTCATGATAGCCAGATGGCTTGCAGAGAACCTCTGTCTTGGAGAAGTCAATATCATGTGAGCCCACTGAGTTGTAACAGTGATCTGCCACGGCTGAGGTGTTTGTCCTACCGTGTTTCAGGTCAGCTTTATGTTCACGGATGCGGTCCGAGACATGTCGTTTGGTTTCCCCAATGTAACTGCTACCACAGAGGCAACTTAGTTTGTAGACGCCAGGGTACTGTATGTCTGGAACCACATCTTTTACAGACGGTACCAGATCACGGATTTTATGTACTGTGTTGAATCGGACCTGGATCTTGTGTTTAATCAGGATTTTGGAGATCTTTTTTGTGACCCCAGCAATGTAGGGTAAGGTGATGGTCTTGAAAGGCTCCTCAACAGGATCCTTCTTGATGGTTGGAGTGATGGCTTTGCGGATTGTGTAGTCGGAGTAACCATTAACCTTAAGAGCTTGGCGTACGTGTTTGAGTTCACTGGCAATGTGTTCATGGTCGGAGATGCATTGGGCTCTATGATATAGAGTCTTGATGAGGGAATTCTTCTGGGATGGATGGTGGTGGGAATCCGGTTTTAGATAAGCATCCGTATGGGTGGCTTTCCTGTAGACAGAGTGGCTCATTGAACCATCAGGTCTCCTTTTGATTAGGACATCCAAAAAGGGTAGCTTGCCATCTTTTTCGACTTCCATGGTGAATCTGATGGCTGGGTGTATGGAGTTGATGTGGTCGAGAAATTGGTCTAGAGCAGCACGGCCATGTGGCCAGATGACAAAAGTGTCGTCTACGTACCTCTTCCATAAGGTCGGGCGTAGAGTGGCAGTATGGATGGCGTCCGTCTCAAATTTCTCCATGAAGATGTTGGCTACAACCGGAGATAGGGGGGAGCCCATTGGGGTGCCCTCAGTTTGCTTGTAGAAAGTTTCATTCCAGGTGAAGTATGTATTGGTTAAGCAGTGTCTCACCAGGGGGGGTACCCCAGCATTCAGTCCATGATGAACCAAGTCTTCAATGATTGCGATGGTATCAGGTACAGGAACCTTGGTGAATAAGGAAACCACATCAAAACTGACAAGCAGGTCGTCTGGGGACAGGGCAATCCCCTTGATTGTCGATACCAGGTCAGTAGAGTTTAGTACCGCAGAGGTGGTGTTTCCAGTGAAAGGCCGTAGGATTTCAGACAAAAAACGAGCTAATTCCATCAAAAAAGTAACTTGCAGGGCCACACCTATCACCATCATTAAGATAAAGAACAGTGATCCAATCTCCGACCCCCAGGAACAGGCTTGCAGGTTTACTGACCATTTCTGTGAGGTATTGGGGGGGGGGGGGGGAAATCCCTCAGCCCAGAAAACATCATGGGGCAAAGTGGGGATGACCCTGCTGAGGCTGCTGTGCCTCAAATATTGGAAGAAGTAGTTACCCCCTGTGAGAGGCTGGCTGAAGTACAGAAGGCGATCCAGAGTAAGGCTAGGCAAAGCACCGGGCAGAGATAATTTCCCAAGCGAACTGCTGAGGGAGGGTGGCGTTTGTGTGCAGAATGCCCTATGTACATAACAACAGTCTGGACCACTGCACAGGTTCTGAATGATTGAAAGGATGCCTTGGTGGTCCCCATCTTTAAGAAGGGGAACCACACAGACTGTAATGACTACAAGGGCATCTCCCTCCTCAGTGTGCCGGGAAAGGTCCTGGAAATGATTATTCAGGTCTTCTCAAGCATAGCCATGCCCTCCCTTCTCTATGCTTGCAAAATATGGACCCCTTCAAATGTGAGGAGCTCACAAATCCGTGAAAGATCTGGACACAGTTTAATCGGTGAGCTCCTCCCGCAGACAAGGCTGCGTTGGCTGGGTCATGTTGCCCGCATACCCAGCCACCGCATGCCCAAACAGCTTTTGTTCGGCCAGATAGAGGAGGCTAAAAAGGCGCGGCACAAGCTATAGAAGAGATGGAAATGTGGTATGAGAGGATATGGAGCTGACTGGTACCAGAGGTGTCAAGATTGGCCTTTGTTGAGGAGGCTAGTGAAGGACGCTACTGGGCAGTTGGAGGCAGACGCTCTCCGGCAACAACGGAGGACAGAGAAGCGACGCTCACAACAACGAGTGGAGCGCCGAGTGGCTAAAACACAGCAAGTTGGCACAGTAGGAGGCACAGGTGGTGAATCTGCCAGTCATCTCAGTCAGTCAACCCATGGCACCTGGGTCTGTCCCATTACCTCCTGCCAAGAGGCGTTTGACACTTCTTCACGTGGCCTTAAAGTGCACATAGCGTGTCACAAGCGCTGTGGTGACATCAATGCCACTTTGTTGCGAATGGCGGTTGTAGTTGTGTGCATGTGTACACTGTACACTATTTGCTTTTAATTCCTTGTCTCGTTATTGTTCTCCATATTTACGGATGAAAATATCTAAGTTGTGTTGAAAAGTGTTATTTTAGTAGGATTTGGATCATAAAATATGTTCTTAGGACCACATCTTGGGTTGAGTAATGGAACCTTATAGGAAAATATATTTCAATATACATTACAATTTTTCACTGTAAGTTCAGGTTTTCAGCCCAAACATATATCGAGGTAGGCCCATACAGCCAAGAAGCAAAACTAAACCGTACAATAAAAACGTGCAACAATTACCTTATGGGAAATGAATATCGTGGTAACCACTATATATCGTGAACATTGTTATTGTACCATGAACAATTATATCTCGGCAACCCTCACCACACCTCCGATTAGCACGGTTGGCTACGTACGGTGCGAAAAAAATGCAACATTCATACACCGCACCTACTACCTCTACCCCTTCCCTCAGATGTGTGTATGACAAGCGCAAGGGTCTGGCCGTCAGCTTCACTCCGGACACGAACAGCATCTTCATCAAAGAGGAGGGGCTCGGAGAGTTCGTCTTCACCATCGACATCTTCACGACGGATGCGTTCGCGCTCGCCTACAGGCAGGGCTCTTCACCGCTCATTCTGAAACCTCCCCGCTGGTAGACCCCGAGTAGAGGTGGCACTTGACGAGTGGTAGCCACAGTCACGACGAGGGAGATGTACAGGATGTGGCATGCCGGCTGCGGAATTATCTTGACCGAATCATTGACCCGGACAGGTAAAGGTGCAGCCCTGCACTTGCTTGCTCGTGTCACTGCTGGCAGAACGGCCTCCACTTAGGGGGAGCACTCGAGAGCCCCCCGGAAGGATATTTGTTTGACCAACTTTTAAATGCTGGCTTGACATCTGGGAATAGGTGGGGGTACCCACACTGTGCCCAACACATGAGATCTGCCCATCGATTAACTTGGGTGCACCCATTATTACTGCAAGTCCAGGACACTTATCGTGACACCATAGACGGAGCCGGCTGACGTGAACCCCCGTGTCTGTAGGAAGAACGACTTCCCGGTGCACTACTACGAGAGCCAGGAGATTTATCTGCAACTCGCCGTCAACTCCACCCTGAGCATCGCCCTCTTTGCCGAGAATTGCTACGCGACCCCCAGCGGTGACCCCCGCGACCCCATCCGATACGACCTCCTGAAGGACGGGTGAGTGAGAGGGGGCCATGGTTTGGCGTTCCGCAAGCGGGAGAGTCCGGGATGCTCATCCGGGAGACGTGATGGTGAGATAGTGATGTGGGGGAAGGACAACAAACTAAACACAAAAAAGCAATTCTAAATAAATTAGTTTTAAATCTAGATGATTTAAAGTGCATAGCTCCAGTGGCTTGCTAATATCGGCAGGAAGAGCATTTCAGACGACCGCAGCAGCACATCTAAAAGTGTGCAATGCAGTGACGGTCTTTGTTCGATGGTTAGTCAAAAGCTGCTCCGAGCATGATGGTGGTTTATGCTCCTTGACTAAATCAGCAAGGTATTGTGGTTCATTTGTGGCAAGTACGTTGTGTGTAATGAGTGCAACTTTAAAATGTATTGTTCACCAACCAAAAGACAATGCAGCTTAGCGAGCATTGGACAGACATGGTCGGACCTTTCAGTACCCGTCACGAGATGTGCCTAAGATGTTGTACACGCCTCAGCTTGGCAATGTTTTTGCCAGACGTCCCATAGAGTAGCGAGTTGCAATACCGAGCCTTGTCGATACAATGCTACACACCACCGTGTTGGCTGTATCACGACTCAATAGTGGTTGAATGTATCGTAGAGCTCTGATTTGGAAATTGCAGGACCTGACTAGATTTTGCACGTGGTGATCAAACCACATATTCGAGGCTCTCCATATCAGTGCGGTGTACAATTGTGTATCATCAGCATGAAGACGCATCTATGCGCAGGAGCACTCAAGTGGCTCTGCACCCGACTTTGATCAATGTAGTCGGTGTGAGCTTACCTGTGATGAATCACACGGAAAATGATTGTGCTCTCTCATACGTGTTGCTGTAATTACTGTGGAGAGCCAGGTGCATTATTATAAGCGAAGGCGATGATGATCAGAGATAGGGTCCCCAAGCCTCACATGCACAGCAGGCCATGCCCAGCAGTGCGTACTGAGGGACTGAGCCGAGGTGTTGTGTGACATGGAGGATGATACAGCGGTGTGTCTGGTCATTTTTGCAGGCACGCAAATGCTCCTCGGAAGAGCACTTTGAAATAGAGCATCGCCTTTTCGCAAACCTCTGATGCTCATCGGTTGTGGAGTCGCCCACTTCTCAGGAGGATAGAACACAACACAGAATATCTACCTTCTCGTCTACGAACTTAATTATTTTATTCTCTATTTATCCGACCTATCCCCTGGTTAGGATTCATGGGAGGATAGGGACAGGGCGGGCCGGCTACAACTTAGCAACTCACTGCATGAAATCCTGGTGATGATGCTGATGGTGATGATGCTGATGGTACTGACGCTGCCGATTTCTGTCTCCCAACAGCTGCCCCATCGACCCCACGTGGAGGAGCTACAGGAACTTCCTGAAGAAGAATCAGTTCAGCTTCACGGTGTTCAACTTCATCGGCAACTTCCACCAGGTCTGCCCGCCCAGACACGGCCATTATGAGCCACCTGAGTGAGAATGAGGCATCTGAAAGGCACCATAGTGTCGCCTGCCCATCCTGTCTCTCTCGCTCTCTCTCCTGCCGTAATTGTAACGAGATAACAGGCCAGCTGATGAAACGCATTCGCGTTGGGTTGTCATCACTGTGAGCCAATCAGATGTGAAAACCAGAGGAGGGGGTGGGGGGTCAATATAGTCATATACATTACAATGGGTCTCTATTATTAGTTGGGTTATTCACAGTAAATCAACATACATAATGTATGTACATTAGTTAATGCATTAGCTCTGTCCAGCAGCGTATATATGTATGTACATTCTTGGCTCCACGGTGGCGAGATGTTAACTACCTCGCCTGGTATGCAGGAGGTCGTGGGTTTGGTCCCGACCCTGACACCTGCTGTATATTTAGAGTTTGCATGTTCTCTCCTTATTTTGTAGATTTTTCTCCGGTTTTCCCTCCACATTTAGAATTAACATGTGTTGACAGTATTTAGCTGTGATAGATTTCGACACGATGAGCCACTCCGTTGAGCTATCATTTGTGATGGCCAGGTCGCTTCTGATAAAAGAGCTACACAGCTCAATGGGCTTTACCTGGTAAAAAAGAAAGATTAGTTTAAAGTATGTACATTACCAACCTTTGGGCCCAAATATCGTTTGTGTTTTCATCTCTTCCCGCCCTGTGTTAACCCACCCCCGCCCCGCTGGGCCGGCAGGTGTTTGTCCACTGCGACGTGATCGTGTGCAAGGTGGGCGAGCCCAACACCCGCTGCAAGCAGGGCTGCCTGCGCACCGGGGGGGGCTCTGCCAGGCGCAGGAGGAGCGCGTTGGAGGACACGGTGCAGTCGGAGGTTCACACCGTCTCACGGGGCCCGCTGGTCTACGGGGAACCGGCGGAGCGATCGCCTGGAGGTACCCACCACCCCCCCCACAGATAGACAACAATACAACAGAACCAACGTTATACCGCCGCCGCCGCCAAACCATTGGGCAACCTCTGTTGACTTGCCGGACGGTGGTAGCTCGTTTTACCAGCTGTACACATGGATTGTGTCATGTTATCCCATCATGTGTTGGGTTCCAGGAAGTATTAAATTAGCTATAATAACGGTGGCGTTCATAAGCTCCCGATCAGACAAAAAGGGGTTGGATAACGACTGCTGGGGCGAGTGCGATTCAGTCGACCGGCCTGGAATGCTGAGGCGAGACATTTTGGCACTGGTTTGTGTTTCCCCAAGTTTTGGGCGACTGTTTGATCAGGGAAAGTCCCCAATAGTAACAGAGCTCGAAACTAAAGTTGTGCGCAAATTGGCTCGTTTTAACGAGGATTAGTGTGTTACGGACGGGCAGTGAGACAAATGGACAGAGCTTTAAACTGCATATCTATTAAAATGTCGAGTTGACATTGGAAGTGATGAGTGGCTTAGATTCGCGCAGTCAAACCGTGAGGACGATGTCGTGATGCCGTGCCGCCTCCTCTTCTCCCACCATCGTCTCGCCCTTGACCCCAACCCCGCAGTGAACTTGACCCAGCTGCTGACCCCGCTGGCCGTGGTGTTTGCGGCTCTCTTCGTGGGCGGATCCTTGATTTACCACCGCAGGCAGCAAGGACACAGCGGCGGGTACAGCCGCCTGCCGCTGGAAGTCTCCGGGTGAACGGGGAAAGGAGTGGAGGAGACACGGGGAGAGAGAGGAGACATGGGCAGAGAGGGAGACGGGATGGATGGGAGATGGTGAACGTTAGTCTATGTTTCAAGATCATTTAATATACGTGTCAATGTAAGTCGAGGGGACGTAACTTTATTGGTTCAACATTCAGTACGTGGCCATGAACATGTATCAATATGTTAAATTCATAAGTTATAAAATAATCCACTTTTATTCAACGGTTTTACTTAACTTTGTCCTGTGTCGTGGTCAAATCTTGTAATCTACATTTCGTCCACTTCCCGTTGGCCAATCAATCCCTAATTGTGCACACGTACTCAGATCCGGTGACAATGCATGCCTGTATAAAAATAGCATCAAATAATCAATTACTTGGCTCCTTGAAAGCAATTCACTTTTTGTATGGACGACTTATTAATTATATATATTTGTGGTGGTCAAAAAGCCACGGTCCCTAAACTCTGGAATCGCCTCGCCCAAGAAGCAGGCACCAAGCGTTGACGTGGGAGCAGCCGCAGCATCATTCACGTACTTCTCGACGGCGAGTTAAACGAAGTTGTGAAAAAAAAGTGATTAAACTTCATTCCTCTGTATGCCGTGGTAAAATCTTGTAATAAAAATGTCGTCCAGTTCCCCTTGTCCACTCGACTCATTAAACTTCATTCCTCTGTCGGCGTCAAATCTTGTTATCAAAATGTCGTCCACTTCCCGTTGTCCAATTGAGTTATTTACATTTTAGTGCACTTTTAAATAAAACCGTTGTTAAATTTTTTAAGGAGTTTATTTTCCAATAATGCATAATAGATAGTGTTTTGCTACATTGGCCGGGCCATCCGACCGATGGATCAGGGACACTTGAATCTACGATGGTGGCTGCACAGGGGTGATTTTGAGCTGTTGTGATGCCTCTGCTGTAATCATGATTGTGGTGTTCCCATTGCACATGATTTACGTGTTATCCTCAATGTACCTTATTTCGTGTGGTGGCGGTGTTCTATTTAAGCAGGCGCTGTATTCTTTAGAGTTTGAGATTTATTTTAATCTGGTCGGTGTGTGACCCCAGCAGCCTGGGCACCGGGCGCCATGGTGGCGAGATCGTAGCGAGCTCGCCTGTCATGCAAGAGGTCGTGGTTTTGATCCCGATCTCTCTACTCGTGGTCGCATGGATTTTTTCCTGGGTCCTCCAGTTTTTCCCTCGACATTTAGAAACATGCGTATTTGGCTGCTATAAATTTCCGCGTGATAAACCACTTCATTTGTGAGAGGTATAAGCTGAGTGGGCCTTACCTGGTAAAATACAAAGTTTTTTTTTTACTTGTGCAGTTATAGATATTGATTAGGCTGAGACTTGCCCTGACCCCGATTCTATCGGGAATTACACAAGAGAAATCACGGAAGTTACAAAAGAGCTTTGGGGTGGTTGAGGCCACCTTTTAAGGCCACCATTACTCACGTCATCGCACAAAGACAAAGATCCCCCGTATAAACATAGACTGCTGGGGCAAGTGCTGTGATCGAGTAGCACCTACGAAGGTCGGTATGGTTCACGAAGGGGTGGGGTGGCCAGCACCACACATGCAAGCAGACGTTCCCACACAAAATAGCACACTCGAACAATTATGTGCATGCACTCTCACACACTCATGTAAATGTATGCAAAATCAAACTCACATTACTGTACTTGACTAAAAAACATTAATAACAAATATCCAACTTACCTCGCCACAGAACTGCTGAACGAATGGAGCGATGATAGTGGCCATGTTGCATAGGGACTTCACGGCAGCCATATTACAAGAGGATTTTATTCCTGGCAGTTGATTGGCTGGTGCAGCAGAAGTGATCCCTAGCTACCACTGATGTGTGCCACGCATTATAATCTCGCCTCCAACGTGCACAAACACTGCCTGGAGGATATTCCCCTTTTTTCTGATTTGTATAACTAGACGTGGGTCACATGTTCGGGGTATCTCTTACTTTATGGAGCCTCATAATCAGGGGAATACAGCAATTATTTTTTCTGCATTAAGTTCTGATTGTATATTACTGCACTAAGATGTTTTTGAGGTGGGAAATTGTATTGTTTTTAATACACATGAACATTATTTGAAGGGTAAAATTGGTCACATTTTGTTTATTCCCACCGCTCTCCAAATGAATCATGATTGTGCTATTGAAATCATTAAATGAAGAATAATAATTACACTTAGCTCAAGGCACTTTAGATCAATGACATTGCGAGGGGTGGGGGGGGGCTAAGTTCAAAATAAAAAAATAGATGCTTTTGTGAAGCGGATTTTCAAGGGAAATGTATCTTATCGTAATTTATTCAAGGCGCTTCACATGGAAGAACAGTACACCGTGTGTGTGAATGTAATGATAGCGATGAGGTAAATACAACTGTTGAGAGGGAAGAAATGGGGGCGAATCTGTGATAACGCGTGAATTTGATGAAAGCGAAACTGATGACAGGAAATGATGAATGAATGGATTGAATGAATGCGGAATGAGTGATAGCCATGGCATGAGAATATGAAGAGGGAGCAGTGACGGTGGCGGTTATGAGTGGGAGATTAAAGGTGGAGCGGCATCGTTGAGCGCTGTACACGATTGCCACTACTTGCAGCCTGCAGTAACGGCCTCGAGTCAACAGGGAGCAGAAGGGAGTCTATGGATCTTGGGAAGACCATAGAGTCTGGGAGGTCTTGCCGCCGATGGTTTTAGAGAGGGACGTTTGCTTGGTTCGATTAGGGAAGTCGAACTCGTGATGGTGCTGTTGGTTTTTGTCGTTAGGCTTTTAGTGGGATCGTTTTTAATTTTGGAGTAACTCCCATCATTAAGTAGGTCTCTAAAACCATCGGCGGCAAGACCTCCCAGACTCTATGGTCTTCCCAAGATCCATAAAGAAGGCACCCCGCTACGACCCATCGTGTCGACGATAAACTCCCCCTACTTACAAACTGGCCCGGTTTCTATCAGATACTCTGCTCCCCTTCACAGGCAAGACCTCTTCGGCAGTACTCAACTCAACCCAATTAGTCTCTATGGTCAAGGACATGGTACTATCTCCTGATGACATCCTCGTCAGTTTGATGTATCTCTGTTTACCAAAGTCCCAGTACCGGACACCCTAACAATAATTGAGGACTTAGTCCAACATGGATTGAATTCTGATGTACCTGCGCTGGTTAGGCATTGCCTCACCAATACCTATTTTACCTGGAATGGTACCTTCTACAAACAGATCGAGGGTACCCCTATGGGCTCCCCCTTGTCACCAGTGATAGCCAACATGTTCATGGAAAAGTTTGAATCAGACGCCATCCAGACATCCACCCTGCGTCCTTCCCTGTGGAAGAGGTATGTGGATGACACTTTCGTCATCTGGCCACATGGCCTCCCAGCATTGAACCACTTCTTGGACCACATCAATTCCAGACACCCATCCATCAGATTCACCATGGAAGTGGAGAAAGATGGTAAACTACCATTCTTGGATATTCTGTTTGAGAGGAGACCTGACGGATCCTTGGGACATTCTGTGTATAGGAAAGCCACCCACACAGATTCCTACTTGAAACCGGATTCCCACCACCACCCATCTCAAAAGAATTCTCTCATCAAAACGCTATACCACAGAGCCCATGGCATTTCTGACCAACACCACCTGGCCGGTGAATTAAGACATGTACATCGGGCCCTCAGGATGAACGGATACTCTGACCACACCATCCGCCAAGCTGTTTCTCCCACCATACAGAAACAGCCACATGAAACTCCGATCAAAACTATCACGTTACCATACATAGCAGGCGTGACCAAAAAGATCTCCAAAATTCTAAACAAACATAAGATCCAAGTCCGATTCAATACAGTGCATAAAATCCGTGATCTGATTCCATCTGTGAAGGATGTCGTTCCTGACTTACAGTATCCTGGAGTCTACAAACTGAGTTGCAGTTGTGGTGATTGCTACATTGGAGAAACGAAACGTCATGTTTCTGATCGTGTCCGCGAGCACAAGGCAGATCTGAAACACGGCAGAACTGATTCTTCGGCTGTTGCCGATCATTGCTACAACTCTGTGGGCTCTCATGAAATTGTCTTTTCGGAGACCAAGGTGCTCTGCTTACCTCCTGGCTACCATCAAAGGTTTGTACACGAAGCCATACAAATATACAAACACAGACATAATTTCAACCATGATGAGGGTTACAAACTGAGTAATCATTGGAAAGATGTGATTAACCATGCAAAAAAAGATGTAACTACACTTATTTGGACCATCTTATTTGACAGACAACTATTACAGGTTATTGATAGAAAGCCAGTTTGTTGTTTTACCAGTTTTAGTTTTTACAGTACTTTCTTTTTTTTCACACTTTTGTTATGTATGCTAGGTGTTAGTTACAAACCGCACCTCTCCATAACAAAGGCTCAGCCCTTTGTTATGCAGTCTATTCTTAGTCTTAAGCTTCACCTTACCATATTAATAAAAAGTGTGCCGTTCCTGGCCCTTCCCCCCTCAACCATTATATATACGGGGTGGTATTTCTTGTGATCTCTCATTTACTTGATACAGCTGTCGTGGCTGTGACGGTTCCACCTGAAGACGGAGGCTTGTGTTGCTTCCGAAACGTCGTTATTTTTTTATTTTATTTTTATTTTACTTTTATTAATTTACATTTTTTACCTACGTGACTTTACCGAAAAAACCTAAGAATATGAATCCTTGCAGTCACGAAAGCTTCAAATCTACTATACACTACACTACTATACACTACTATACACTACACTATACACTACACATTGGGCTCTATGGAGGCCCGTCGTTAAGCGATTAGTCGTTAAGAGGGTTGGTCGTTAAGAGGGGTTCGACTGTGTTGCAGGGTGGTGGTGGTTGCACACGCCAGTAATACAGCACTGGAAGTGAGGGCCAGTGGATCTAACAAATGTTACGACATCTCCCGTAGACATTGAAAGGACCAATACCTTGCCGGGGGATGGCAGTACTCCAAGTGGATTAATCTCCATCTTGAGCCAGGATGCTGATGTTGGTACTTCTGCCATCCCATCCCATCTATATATATATAAAAGGGAAGTTTGTGATTATGTGTGTCTGTTCAAAATGTTTAGCATACTTCCCGACATGCAACAAACTTGAAATTTGGCATATGGGTAGCTTCCAGACTGTACACAATGCAAAAAGTATAAAAATAGACTTTTGTATTTGGGGGGGGGGGGGGGGGGCAATAATGCATATATTTTGCACGGCAAGTGAGTGGTGACGTCACATCTGTCATGTCACCCGCATGCGGCAGCGTCACGCAGTGTGCCTGCTGACGTCATGCCCCCCCCCCCCCCCACCCTCCGCGTAGGCCGTGTATTAATCCAAGAAAAGAATCCAAGTCTCGGGCAAAGCCGGGTAGTAAAGCTAGTTTAATACTAAATTATTCTCTGAAGGCATTGCTGATATGAACGCTCCAATGCCTTGCAGGTGTTTCTGATAAGTTGTCCAGCTTCAAACAGCCTGGTGGACAAGAGGTTTGGTCTGGGTCCTGCTGCTGTCACGATCATCAAAATCAGATTGTGGCACGTTTCATCCGATGGCCAAAATCATCTCTGAGGTTAC